TAGCTTCATTTTTGTTTTGGTGGAATGAAATTATTTAAAAATTATTTTAGACATAGGAAGGTCCTTGAAATTTCAAGAGAAAGATTGGAGAGCTGGTGGAATTAGAACATAGAATAAAGCTACCAAGATGCTTATTTGTTAGGAAAAAATACACTTCTTCCCCTGAAATCAAAGAGAGAATGAAGAAGACAGACTTTGAGAGAAAGAGGATGAGGATAGAATTTATATCAGTGATTACAATCTCAATAAAGCATAAAGCAACTTTGAGAAAGGAAGGGAGCGTCAGAAAATGTTTTTGGTGTGAAGAGAAGAAAAAGCATGAAATAGATGTTTTAGGAAATGTAATAGTAGTCAACCATGTAAAAATAATTGCTGAGAGAAAAAAGGTATAAAAAAACCCCCAAAGATAGTCAACCATGTGCATTATGCTGGGGGAGTTCATGAAAGAACTAAATTAATTTTGTTGTTCAGTTTCTCCAGTTGGTGTAATCTACTAACATTTGCGTCAGAAATTTAATGTGTGGAGTTGCTACCTCTGTCTCAAGTACTTTATTAGAATAGAATATCTGAAATGTTGCTGAAATACATTTCTAGAAAAAGGATCTTAAATGTCATCTAGTCTAATCTAATTCCTCTTTGAGAAATTAATGCACAAGTGAGTAAAAAGTCTCCCCCATGATCATGCTACGTATTACTAGTTTTCAGCTGACTAATGTCCAAGCCAAGCCACTATCTGCCTTTCCACTACACTTTAAGAAGCTATGGATTTTCTACAGCTATAATAACAATTATCGTCAGCATTGTGACTACTCAGGCGTCCCAACCACAGGGTAACGCCAGGTGAACCAAATACTATTCCAACAGTTCATAGAAGGACTAAATTTATCTTGCTGTTCAGTTAGAATATGAGATATTCTTGTTCTTAAAACCCAAATTTCTGGAGGTGAGTCTGATGACATTCACAGGCTGATGTCTGTATGCCGTCAGCGGTTAGCAGACGTATCACCTCTCTGTAGACCAGTGTCCAGTGTTAATCATTCACAGAAGAAGGTACAACCCACATGTAGTTCTGAATGTCCTCATTCAGAAGTTGTGAGAAGATTCTGACTATCTGTTATGGTAAATACACAGTAAGACAGAAAAAGCCTTCAATAATGCTAATGTTGATTCCTTTTATTTCTGTTCTGGGTCATTTTATCTATCTGTTTTCACTATGTTCTGCCAAGCATCAGAGTAGAAAGAGAGTCCAGTGCAGTTCAAAGGTCCTGGAGGCAGCCGCACCTGCCTCCCAGCTCTGTCACTGATCAGGGTGTAGGCACTTCTTGGCCACTTTTTCTTCCATGATAATTCTTACTCTGCTCAGAGTTGTTATATAGATAAGCTTAAATAAGCAAATAAAAATCTTATGCCTTTTGCAGATGTACAGTGTGGCCATTCATTGTATTTTGTTTCAGTTTGCATCAGATCTATAGGAATGGTGTATTTGGGCAAGTGAAGCAAAATGTAATGGTTGCAAAGTATGCTTGCAGACCTAACGGCTTAAATCAGTATTTTTTAGTGATTGTACCAGTAGTTATTTTGATCAATTATATTTTAATGTTAAGACAACCCTCATTCCATTCCACTCATTCCACCAATATTTATGGGGCAACCACCCTGTGCTAGGTTATAAAGCACTGTTTATTATCATAAGGCCTAGATTAGTATTATTATTTTTTTATTTGTAGAGACAGATTCTCACTTTATTGCCCTCGGTAGGGTACTTTGGCGTCACACAGCTCACAGCAACCTCCAACTCCTGGGCTTAGGCCATTCCCTTGCCTCAGCCTCCCAAGTAGCTGGGACTACAGGCGCCCGCCACAATGCCCGGCTATTTTTGTTGTTGTTGCAGTTTGGCTGGGGCCAGGTTTGAACCCGCCACCCTCGGTACATGGGGCCGGCGCCCTATCCACTGAGCCACAGGCGCCGCCAAGATTTTGTTTTAAAATCAAGGAAAATTTGCTACTTTAAGTATAGTGGTCTCATTTGCTCTCTCCTTGAAAAACATAATGTGATGTACAATAAACAAAACTTAGAACTTGTCTACATTTTATCAACTGAGACAGTGTTGACAAGGACAGACCCAACAGGAGGAGAAGGGGGAGATGCCTACACATTTATTTTTTTGGCAAACTTAGAAATACAACAGAGGGTATTTCAAATGCTTTGTGATCAAAATTTTAAAAAGAATTATGGGAAGGAGTTTTTTAAAAACATGTGGTTAAATTTAAGTTTTTGAAAAAGAACAGAACATTTCTCTTTCATTTTGTTCATGGGGAGGTGATACGAGATCAAGTTGATTAGAAAGCCTTGAATCTGGCCTTTGGTAGTTCTGTTAGCCATGGGAGCCCTGGATCATGCAAGCAATTAAGTCCTCAGAAATGTATCTGTTCTAGAGATACATAATTGTGGTAGCCCATCTGGTCTGATTTTAGCTTTTCAGCTTTTCTCTAAGGTCCTGTAAGAGCCAAAGGACGGGGGAAAAAAATTCCATGCAGTACACTTGTCAAGAAATATATTTCATAAATCAAGGTTGACACAAAGGACTTCTATTACATTCTATTACAATTCTATAACATTTGTTCCCAGTAGCAGTTAGTGTTTTGGCTGGAATAGGCTCCTTTACTCATTTTGTCTTCTACTTTGGAAATGGGGGATTGGAGAGCGGCTTTTCCTGGAAGGAAACAAGCTAATGAATGGCTGGGAGCCTTTCAGTGGTTCCTACCCTGTAGGAAAGCAGTCTGAACATACAAATGCATTTCCTCTCGGAACTCATTAAACTGTAAATCCCACGCTGACTTCACGGGCACCCCTCCCGTGCACAAGGGCTCCCCGCCTAGGAGGACCAAGGCTCGTTTAATGCTCTGCTGTTGCTGTCTTAAAATGCTTAACTTTTGAAAGAAAAAAAAATTAAGTTGTCATTTTGTAGTCAGTGCCACAAATGAGGTAGTCTACCCTGGGTCCTCATTTCCAGAGATTCTGAGTAGTTGTTTTTGTATCACCAAGAACTCGGACCTGGCACTTAGAGAGGGTGCCCAATACGTGCTTTTAGCGTGAGTAAATGGGTGAGTTTGTAAAGCTTTAAATTAGAACAATGAATCTTAATTCATTCAGTTTTGCTGGTGTGAAGAGAGAAAAGTGTTAAATTTTTGAGAAACAAATTAAGATATAAGAAGGAACCTGATATAGTATACCAAACACCTATTTTTCCATTATAACATGGTAGCTACTATTTTATTTCTTTATTTATATAAATGATACGAAACTATATATATCTGTCATTCTGCAATTCACTGTTTTCATTCAATATTTTGTTTGTAAAATCTAGCCTCAGTGATGCATGTAGCTCTAGTTCATTTATTCTCATTACTGTAAACAGTAGTTCATGAAACCTCCTTTCCTTTTTCTTTTAGTAATATGGGTTGTCATTCTTTTTTTCATTTCAGATTAATATGAGGGTACAAACAATTAGGTTACAATGTTCACATCTGTTAAGTAAAGTCCCTGTTGTCGTTACGTCCCACAGCCAGTAGGTTTGCCATATAACCTTACATCGGCCCATTAAGTGGGAGCACACCAGTCTCCCCCTTACCCCCAACTTGAATTGAATTGAGTTTTTCTCTTGTGTGAGTGGGCATTAGTTCATCTACTGGGTTCATATTAGTATTGAGTACATTGGATACTTGCTTTTCCATTCTCGTGATACTTTACTAAGAAGAATGTGTTTCAGCTCCATCCAGACTAATACAAAAGAGCAATGGGACCCAAATAGTATTCCATGATATACATATGCCACAGTTTGTTAATCCATTCTTGGGTTGCTGGGCATTTGGGTTGTTTCCACATCTTGGGGATTGTAAATTAAGCTGAGATAAAAAATCTAGAGTAATGTCTTTATAATAAAATGACTTTTTTTCTTCTGGGTAGGCGTCTGGTAATGGGATTGTGGCATCAAATGGAAGGTCTATTTTGAGTTCTTTGAGGATTCTCTGTACTTCTTTCCAAAGAGGCTGTATTAGTTTGCAGTCCCACCAAGAGTATAAAAGTGTTCCCTTCTCTCCACATCCCTGCCAGCATCAGCAACTTTGTGAAACCCCCTTCTTGAGCTGCTAACACACTTACAGAGGACGATCTATAATGTGCTGGTACTGCCTCTGGTAAAAGTCACAGATAGGTGATACTGGGCAAATTAAGTTAATGTGCTGAAACTTAGTTTTCATGTTTGTAAAATGAGATGAATAATTTATACCACTTAAGATGTTTCTTTTGACAATTAAATTAAATATGTAAAACCTAGTCTGTCATAAAGATTCAAAAAATACTTGGGAATTATCTTACTTTGACATATATAAGTCTGAGAATCAGGAAAGCCTTAAGCAAATAAAGTAACAGTGATCCTGAATTTGAATTATGTTTTCTTATTATACTTTTAGTTTGGCTATTGGTCTTAATTCTTTTTTAAAATAAGAACATTTCATTCTTAAACTGCAGTACTGGATACATTTTAGAGTGTTACATTGTCCAGTGTTTTATTTTTTTTTTAACATATTGCCTCTAATGTACTTCCCATGAGATGAAAAGGTTTAAGCTCATATAATTATGAAACTACAATATTAAGTACTTATAAACATAGACCTATGTTCTACTCCATGTATAATTAAAAAAGAATGCCTAGTGTTTTCCAACTTTCATTTAACAAAATGGCAAATAATAAAACAGAGAATTCTGGAATTCTATCAAACCATAACTATGCTGCTATGCAGACCGCAGCTTGCAATTAGAAATTAAACACCTAAGCACAAATTGAGCTATTTTTTCATGTTCCTTGCAATTTTTTTTAAAAAATTAATATTAAATATAGTCTTCTGAGTAGATTGAAGTCTGTGATATGTTAAAAAGCTTGACAGAACATTCTGAGTTTCCCTGTGATTTTAGAGAATTATATTTTGGTTATTCAACAGATTTTACACAATTCGCTACAGAGAGAAGGATAAGGAAAAGAAATGGATTTTTCAACTTTGTCCAGCCACAGAAACAATCGTGGAAAATCTAAAACCCAACACAGTTTACGAATTTGGAGTGAAAGACAATGTGGAAGGTGGAATTTGGAGTAAAATTTTCAATCACAAGACTATTGTTGGAAGTAAGTACCTAGAACTGTTTCTGTAAACTTTTTGTAAATTTTTCTTTTTCTCCTGATTACCCAATTTTTAATTATTTTATTTATTGTATACTATGAAATGTAAGTTAATTCATATATCCTACTATTTAAGAAAATATAAAAGAGGGCATTTCATAAAAGATAATTCAGGATCTTACTTATAAGTGATTTTTTACGTAAGTGATAAAACAGTAGTTGATATCTCTAGTAGGAAGTCATTGGCCATCGTAGTGTTTTAAGATAAACTCTTGACCTATGAACACCAACAGAACCAAAAACCCAATGATAGGTATAAATGTCCAGAATGGAAACTGGAGCAGTAGAAGTGGCCATAAAAAAGACTTTAAGGAAACCTGAGCTTTCTTCAAGTTATCCTTTCATTAAACTTCACTGGGATCTGTGTTTGAAGTGATGATAACTAAAATAATATGCCCAAGTTAGAGCACAGGTTGTAATTGTCTTCATAATGATTAACTAGAGTTGACTTAAGAGCAAGACAAATGAAAATAATATCATTTTCTCTCGTTTTGTCAGGTAAAAAAGTAAATGGGAAAATCCAAAGTACCTACGACCAAGTCCACACAGTGGTATGTAGCAGTGTACCAGTTTATTTTCAAGAATTTTAAAAAATTGCATCTGCATTGTATTTTCACTTATATAAGTAAATACTCATTGTGAGATAGTGCAGCTGGGTTAACTGTCTGACTCTGAGGCATTGGGTAAAGTACTTGATGTTTTAGGAATCTGTTTTTCTGAAAACTGAGGTGGAAGCACGTTTTTAGATCATCTTTAATCTGTTTGAAACTCTAAAATTCTGAGATTCTCTTAGCTATTTTAGTATTGCAGTATTCTGGGTATTTTGGGGTTGTGCCTGTTCTGCCCTATAGATTGTTTTGAACGTGGCGTTTAAGAGTGAAATGGTACATGACTAGGCATGTTGCTGAAGTTCACATCTTTCCTCTCTGTTTTCTATCACTTCCTACTTAAAAGAGCCAACCCCTTCCACAAAGATGAAGCCACTGGTTTGATCTGGTGACATGCCAGCCTCTGTTTAGTTCAGTTACTGTTTGTGTTTTGTACAAGGCAGGAATTTCTAGACATTTCCTGTCCCCCTCACTTCAGCAACTCAGTCCCTCGTCTTCTTTTACCTTCTACTTTTTGAAATCTGTTCTTAGTGCTTTCAATTATGCACTACCTGGTGTAGTGGTAAGCCATGGGTAGAGCCATCACAGAAATGTCTGAATATCAAATCACATACCCAGTTGTAATGTTGCTAAGTAGATGGAGGAGGCATTTTGACGAGATGAAGGGAATCAGGCGCTGGCTTTGATTCCTCTGTGCTGGAAGTATCCAGTCAGGGAATTATCCTGCATTCAAGCGACCATGCAAAGCCTATTTGTGGGTGCAAATTTGCTCTCACAAAATTTGCTGTATTTTGTGTGTGCATGATATATATGGATGAGTCTCTTTTTATATTAAATTAAATAGTCTGCAGGATACCCCATTGATCATGTAGCCCAGTGGGGGGGGCCAAAGAGGAGGTGGGAAGTAGTATGTACTTCATTAGAATTAAACCAAAAAAATTTTTAAAAGGATTTTCACTGACAGAAAATGGTCATGGATAAACTGACTGAGATAATCCTTATTAGGTAAATGTTGTTTGCGTGATTTTCATTGGCAGGAAAGTGTATTCTTTATGAAATTATTATCAAGTAATAATTATTAGATTATTATGATTGCCAGTTAAGTATTTTGATATATTTCAAATCTTAACACCAGAGAGGAGATTGTAGGGAAAACCAGGCCTGAATTTTTTTCTTTTCTTTATTTTATTTTATTTGTTGGTTGGTTTTTTGTTTGGGGGTTTTGCTATTTTCCCAAATATTTAATACTTAAAAATGCAGAAATTAAAAGTGGGAAAAGAAGCATTAACATGATTACTATAACAAAGCTACTTATTAAAGTATCATAAAACCATGGTCTACTATTTCCTGTTTTCTAAACATATTTTCCTTGTAAAATTAAAATCTTTCTATATGTATAATTTCATATCTTGCTGTTCTCTGTCAAAATATGGCATTAAATATTCTTCATAAACATAATTTTAATTGCTATTTATATCATCTGAATACATTATTCTTTACTTAGTTGGTTTCCAATTAGTAAGCATTTAAGTTACTTCTAGTTGTTTTTTAATTGTAAGTGATATTATAATGAACACTTATAAAGTTTTGTTTGCATTCTTAATTGATTTCTTAAAATTAGAAGGTAAATTAACAGTTTATATTTTTAACATTTTTTAGGTTTTCTAATACACATGGCCAAATTTTTTCCATAAAGGTTGTACAAATTTGCAATCTTACCAGCAATGTACCAGAATTATCTTGTTACAGTACCCTGAATGTCAACATTATTTATTTTCATCACTACATTTTTGGCTGACATAAAATAGTAATTTTTTATTTGGCCAGGGCTGGGTTTGAACCCACCACCTCTGGCATATGGGGCCGGCACCCTACCCTTTTGAGCCACAGGTGCCGCTCTAAAATAGTTATTTTAATTTCCATTTCTCTAATTGCTGACAAGGCAGTACTCTCTTCATTTGTGTATTACTCATTCGTATTTTCCATTTAATGGCATTTAGTTGTAGCTCTTTATTTATTGGGTGTTTTGTGGGGGTTTTTATTGAAAGATTTTATAGATTAAAGAAACATTGACATTGTCTGTGATACCATCTAGGAACATTTTTCTCACATTTGTTATCATTTAGTTTTGTTTATGGGAATTTTTTAACTAGGCAAGTCTTGAAATTTGTTTAGTCAAATGATTAGACTTTTCCATTGTTGTATCTTCAGTTGCATCTTATTTACAAAGACCTTCCCTATCCAGAGAGCAGATAAATATTTCTCTCCCTTTTTCTTAGTTTTACGAAAGGCTTGATTTTATAATAAGTAAACACTAAACTATGTGGATTTTATTTTACTGTATTATACAGTAAGATTCCATCTTGGCTATGTGGTAGTTTTTTTCAAACAATAACCTGCTGGCTTAGCACCATCTATTCAATTGTTCCACTCCCTAAGGTCCCTGTGCCTCTGTCTGTCAATTCCATCAACACGGTGTAGGAAATGTAAACATGCCGCATTCACAGGCAGAACAGTGCAGAGTGGATCTCCCATCCTCTTCTAGAACAGTCCTTGTTCTTTGTTGTGGATGGTTTCCTAGGAAATGTATCTGGTATCCTACACTCTTGGCTAGGCCGGCATACGTGATCTTTCATGTGACTCAATGATGTCATTTCTTTCATTCCTTCTTTTCAGCTATCATGTCTCAATAATTCATATTTCTTTTGGCAGAATATTTCATTTAGGGTTGAGTTACTCAGCAAGATTGGGAAAGATGATTGATGTTTTACTCCCAGGGAACTTAATTTCTTTTTACTCATTATAAACAGCCATGATAGAACGGGCTAAGAAGGAACTTCCCCTGTCTGTGACATAGAGCCAGACAGTTTATCACTTCAAGCTGTGAGGCGGAGCACCCCCCAATTCCAGCCAGCTTTGATGAGCTGGAGTTTAAAACTCTTGGTTATTTCCAAAGGAAAACCCAAATTCATTGAAAAGATATTTTAAGGCTTTTTTTGAGAAGTTGTATTATTTCCTTCTGGACATTAAAAAAAAAAAAGTCTCACAAACTGACATCTGACCTTTCAGGTAGCTGTGGGACATAAGAAAGTTGAAAAGGAACCACCTGGGGTAACCTTTGACCATTGGTGTGACCACACGGAATTAATTCTGCAAATTGACCTGACACGTTACTCCAAATAATGCCTATATCCAAATATTCACCATCTCTTCTTTGAAACTGATCTTAGCACGCAGAATTTCAAAAGATATGAAACTAATTCCAGATGTTTTGCTTTCAGGATTTCAAGCAAAAGACACATTGACAAATGTTTTTCATTCAGATAGACGTGGTTACACCCTGAACCTTATAATCTTAACACCTTTCAAAAAGAGGTAAAAATGTACTGGAAAAAAAAAATTTGACCTTTAGGCTAGCCTTTTTTAAAAGATAAATAATATTTAGGCTAAAAATCTGAATATTAAATGCAGCCCCATCTTATCCTTCTGGTTGTGTTATGTTGTAAATCACACCTCTAGGAGCACATTCTGCTGGCCAACCTGGGACAGCTATGGCAGAGCCATGCAGCAGGGGTCTCTTCTGATTGGTTAATGCCTTTGTTCTACCAGTTGTTAAGTGCTTTCAATATCCTTTCTAGGAAAATCAGAGGAAGGGTGTGTGCATAAATGAAACCATGATTCTTGCCATATAATACCACTTGTATCATGTAAGACCCATGTAATGCAGGAAAGAACAAATACACTTATCACGATACCTGTGCTGTTTTTTTTTTCACAATCTAGTATATTCTTTTTGTGAAAGTAAAACCTAATGTTTATGATTAGGTTTGTTATTTAAAAATATAATAACAACAATGGCTAAAATTTTTATGCATTATTTCTATATTTTGAAAAATATATATAATTCACTCAACAAAATCAATGTTTGAAGTATATGTAGCACTTAGTAACAGACTTTAAAATGCAAATTTAATTATTCATTCCCAATTTCCCTAGAATCACTGTTTTCCTAAAATATGACATCTATTTTTACCATATTTTTTCCATCAAATATCCACCTGTATTTTAAGAAATCCTCATCTCTATCAGTAAAAAAAAAAGAAGAAATGGTGCCAATTTTTCAAGTGCAACAGTTATCAGATAATAGATGCAAATAGAGAGAATTACCTTCATGCCCCCACCCCGAACACTTTAAAATTGTGTATAATAAACGTATTAGGCATCCTTTTATTCTTAGCAATACTTGTCTTTAAGCAAAAATGGGAAAAATATATATGTAGGCCACTATATTGTCAAAGATATATGTCTGATTCCTCTCCAGTTGACCAAAAATTTGAAGACTTTCAAAAGTAGGCCTTAGATAGTCTTTTAGCCAGATGTCAGATTGAGTCAGTATGTTTTGTAACTTTCATTAGAACATCCTAAAATGAATAAAGCCCAGAACTGAACATGCCCCAGTCCTCTTGAGTCACTGAAATGTGATTTTGAGCAATCCTTTGCCACTCCCCCATTGAACAGCTACTCTTTATTACAGAGCCTGGAAATAAAGTTAAATCTACAATGAATATTCTGACACCACAAAAATGTCAAGTGGGCAGACCTACAAAAAATAACATTCTTATGTTATCATGGGTTTTATTAAAGCTAATTTTCAAAATAATATCAGGAAGTTAGTATCTTGCAGGGTAAATCACAAGTCCCTCATTCTGTGTGGCTGCTGCTGCTTAGAATTTCTAAGTAATTCTGAGCTTTCCCTAATCCATCACCAAAAAAGCATGCTGGATTCAGCTCCAGGGGCATTGCCTCTACCATGCAAACATTCTCTCCCCATTGAGTGCCATCAACTGTGAACCTGGCCACAGCGTCCCAGAAAAATGACAAGAATGAATTCTCTTAACTAAATATCCTGCTCAACGTATATAGACCATCCTGGGTTCTAATGGACGAAGATATTTCAAAATGAAGAAAAAAGAATGTATCTCTCATAGAGCAGGAGGGAAACGTGCTTACTTCTGACATACAACAAACATTTGAAAAATATTTGCCAAATGAAAGGAAAGACGAGAATTGTGGAAGGAAGGAACAAAGGGTTTTGCGGCAAGAATCCGGGGTTGACAAGCTGCAGAGAAAAGAAAGCCAGCAGGAAAATGGCTAAGAAAGAAAGTCGCTGCCAGGGTGGTATCCAGGGATCAGCCAGAACTACAGCAGCCTGTGGCGACATTGCCACCAACTTCCCCACTTCAGTCAGGCCCTGGGACTCCAAAGCACTTCACAGATGGTCTTAGTAGCAAGTCTAGGAGTGCAAGGCAAGGTCAGTGGTATCTTTTTAAAAACATGGTATATATAAAACAGCTCAGTTAAAATTGGGTTGTAATTGGTTAAACACTACGTTTTGGGAATTATCAGAGATTTCATTTTGCAGTGAGTCCAGATAGCAGATGTTTCTCTACACATATTTTATAAGAAGACACAAGAAAAGGATTCCCATTGTAGATTTCTGGATGGGAATTTTAGAGTTTGGGGCAGAGACAAGTTGAATAGTGGGGCTTTGCTGATGCCTTTTAAAAATCTACCTGTAGTGAAGCAGGTATTTGCTCATTAGTCCAATCTTGATGTATTTTTGGACTGTGGATTAGGCAAAAGAGCAGGTATAGGTGTAGAAAAAAATTTCATCTTGCACCTAAATGATTCCCCTATTTTTTGCAGTGTATATTATATGTATATTCTTGTCATCATCTTAACAGAACATTGGTCTGTACTCAACTAAGAATTCAGAACTTTGTTCCATTTGCATGGAGAGGGGAATATTTTCTATTTGTCCTTTTTAAAAGATTGTTCAAAACAAATCGTTATAGCACAGGAAATAAAAAGTGGTATAAAGCAATTGAAAGAGAACACAGCAATGGGTGGGCATTTCTGCTAGTGTCAAGCATCTAGAAAAACATCGTATTCTGCACAGTGTGTGCCAAATGAGAGGACAAAACCCTTTGTAACTGTAGCCAAAGCCCTGAACAGAAACAGTTGTCAGCACCTGGGAAGATAACGAGGCTCTGCCACCAGAGGCTCCCATGTAGCTGCAGGTTGCCACAGCAGGCATAGAAAATTCTCCAAAATGCAGAACTCACAGAGGTAGACAGTAGGATTATAGTTATTGGGGGTTGGAGGATGCCAAGGAAACAAGGTCATAGGGTACAAAGTTTTTAGTTAGGCAGGAGGAATAAGTTTTTGAGAGCTATTGCACAGTGCAGAGATCATTGTTACTAATAATATAGAGTTCAAAGTTTCTGAAAATTTCCAAATGTCTCACCACAAAAAAGTGTTGGATTAAGCGATGGACAGGTGAATTAGCTTGATGTGTCATTCTGCACTGTGCATTTGTATCAAAACGCCACGTTGTACCCCATGTAGATATTCAGTTATGAAATAAATAGACATAGAAATATGAATGAATGAATGAATGACAAAAAAAATTTATTATTTTAACATAAAATTCTCAGCAGTGGTAGAGACAATATGTTGGGAATCCTTTTCCTGGAGCAGGACAAGTGAAAACTTAGTGCCGGTGGAGTGGGGCTGCTCTCGGGGGGTGGGGGGAAGTGCACCTCTCTCAGTGAGGCGTGCAGTGTACCAAGCCTGAACTGCCTCCTCTGGGGCGAGATCTGTGTCCAACTGTTCATCTTTAATTTTTTTATGATAAAGCTGAAAGGGATCCTCTTGCTGTCCAACCTCAAAGCTGAGAGGTCCCCCCTCCCCCAACAGTAGGTGATACCTCTGTTCCTACCATTTAGCTCTTCTTGCTGGGAAACATCATGTCTAAATTATATTTACATCATTTCCTTGTTTACCAATAATGCATGAGCTAAGCTGCAGCACAGAAGCACATGTGGTGGCTGAACAGATGATCGAGTGGAGCAACTTTTCCTGATTATAAATGTAGTTTGCTCTGATAAGGAATTTGGCAAATACAGAAAGGTACACAAAATAAAACCAATACCAGTTCACAAGATATAGCTACCATTAAAAGAAACTGTGATGTATTTCCTTCTGGACTATACACACAAATTTGTCTATACATATTTGTTATAAAATTGGTTTATACCATGGATACAAATTTGTATCCTTTGTGTTTATCTAAATTCTAAATGTTTTTCCATTTTCTTACACAAAAGTCGAACCTATGGACTATGATTTACTTAATAAGACCTTCATTTTTGAATAATGAGTTGTTTAAAATTGTGATAATAAAAATCCATCTAATATCTTTGATTAATTATTTAGCCTGAGTTAAATTCCTGGGTTCACAGTTACAGATACTGCTTTTAAAAACTAATCCGATGATGGAAAACTTTATTTTGTGTGGCTTTCAAACATGAGGACTTTAATACGAGAAGAAAAATAGCCAACAGTGAGGCTGGTATTGCAGCCCTTCTTTGCTATGGCGTATCACTTATTAAAATGGTGGTGTGTTAACAAATGTCTTTTGTTCACACTGCAGACACCTATTTGGAAAGGAGCACAGGTTCAACACATTCTTGATGGTTAGCGGATGTAGCATGAGAAGTATCTGTATTACAAGGTTAAGCCAAGTATCAAAAAACAGATATCATTTTTGCCCATTCAACCCAACTCAAGCTCCCCTGTATATAATTTCGCTGCCCTTCTTCTCACCAGTCCACATATGTATCTTTTGTGTGTCTTATCTTTGGCATCACGAATATATCTGGCAAAGCTTCCACTTTAAACCCTTTCCTGATTCAAACCATTCTATGACATGCAAACCTTCTATGGGACTTCTGAGGCAACAGAGTAGAGAGAGGAAGCATCATCTCTGGGACATGCTCTTCTAATTCTGAGGTCATGTGAGGAATGGTTAAGAGTACAGGCTTTGGACTAAGAAATGTCTGGATCTGAGTCCTGGCTCTGCCTTCTTGGGCAATAAATACTTAGTGTCAGGAGTTTGGCATGATTGTGGTGTCTGTGGTGTAGCAGCAATTGGGTACATTCCATTGATCTTGATTGGTTTTAAAGATTAGTTTGTAACTTAGCATATTTTTGAGAGACAATGTAAAGACAGACTTTGGCTGAGTCACAGCGTAGATGTAATAAAAAACAACTAATAATCAAAACAGAGGATTCCTTTTCTTTCCTTTGTAGCTTCTAAGTAAATATAACTAATGGGAGTTCTGAAGAGTTTGCTTCTGTTATACCTTTCAATAGTTATGGGGAAACCAAGTGAGTCTAATACAATAGAGGGGGATCTATGTACTGAAGACCTATGCAGTGACTATTAAGCCAGTGGCATGAGAGACTTTATTAAGGCAAGAAAGGGCTGCTTCTTCTTCTCTGATTTAAAAAAAAATCTTATTAACATTGACTCAGAAATTGATTTTGCCCCTGTCTTTTCAGCCAGCATATGTCCCAAAGAAGCTTATCCCAATAACAATCATCAAGCAAGGTAATTTACTCTGGATATATGTTGAGAACTATCTTTAACATACTTTTAACTAATGTAATTGAATATAGCATACATTTTCTCAAATTTTTTGACTGTCTTTCAGAAAAAAAGTTATTTCTAACTGTTGCTTTTTAGAAAGAGAAAATAGTATAATCTAGTGAATTAGATGTTAATAGGTAATTTGGGGTCCTGCACCTTTATGCCAAACTTTGGGCAAGTCACACTGGTCAGACAAGTAGGGTTAATGCAACCAAGTATTAAACTTTAATAAGCCGGTTAAATATGTGGATTTTTGCCCAGGATTAAGTTATCATACATGCAGTAAATCATTCATAGAATAGTTACAATAATGAAAATGAAAACTGATTTTGTGGTCACATTAGGGAAAGTAAAAGTGTCCAGGTTGCAATCATTATACTGTCTTATTTCTATATCCAGTTGTTTTTATTTTGGCTTTCAGCTTTCAAACTATTTCTCTATTATTTCCAGAAAGATTTTTGGTAGGAGAGATGAGGCTTTTAAAATAGCTCTCAAATTTTAAGAGACTATATTGTCCTTCTTGTACTCTCAAAACAGGGTCAGGTAGTATTGAAATTACCCAAATATTCTTTGCTTTGAAAATACATATTTTCTAACTTTATTACTGAGTTATTGTTTCATTTTGTGCTACTTCTGATTCATTTGGGAAAGGGGTAGACTACAGGGAATGGAGATGGAAAGAACTTTTTGATAATTATAATGGAACATTTTATTATAGAATTATAGCCTTTCGTTACTTAAAGATACCAGTGTTAAGGTGAGGTGTTGCCTCCAATCCTTCTGTTGACTGTGTGGCCGGCCCCTAGAGTTGCTTTTCTATTAATTGATAAAGTTAAATCAGAACTTTCTCAGTACAGATAGCTTCACCTTATTAACTTTTTGCTGCTTTTTTTTCCTTATCACACTATGGTCTTATTGTGCTCCAACAGTGATTCAGAATGTTACTCACAAGGCTTCAACTAAATCCCCAGAAAAGACCCCCTTTGGAGGAGCAATACTAGGTGAGTCAATCTTGAAATCTATGTCTAGATAAAGCAAATCAGGCTATCTTTTGCTAATAGGGGCTTTAAGGAACTTTATACTGTAAGCAGCTCTGTTAAAACTGATGTTGGTTCATATCCTTTCACTGTTTAGCATCCTGGCTTGTGTCCACTCCAGGCCAGGAGGCAAATAATGCTACCTTTATCATGGTATATTAAAGAGATAGCTCTAGCCTGTGCCTGGGGGATGATGACACCCATCCTGCCTGCCCACAAGGTTGTCTTTGGTAATGAGAGTCTTCCTCATGTTAGACTACTCTTTTAAAAATCATTATTATTGGTAATTATGTTCTTTGTTCACCACACATCTTAAGCAGCCATCTTATAATTTTTGAGTCTATGGATTTAAAGCCAGAAGACTTAGTAGTTTGGTTCTAAATCTTTTTTTAAATGCTCTATTTTGAAGATATGGTCATATATTTTTCCATTGTAAAGTCTGGGTTAAAGCTGGGTGCAGTGGCTCATGCCTAGTACTCTGGGAGGCCAAGGCAGGTGGATCATGTGATCTCAGGAGTTTGAACCCACCACGAACAAGAGCAAGACCCCATCTCTAAAAATAGCCAGGTGTTATGGGAGATGCCTGTAGTCTCAGCTACTTGGGAGGTTGAGGCAAGGGGATCACTTGAGCCCAGAGTTTGAGGTTGCTGTGAGCTATGACACCATGACATTCTACTGAGGGCAAGGAAGTGAGGCTTTGTCTCAAAAATAAATAAATAAATAAATAAATAAATAAATAAATCTCTTCCTCTTATCTTATTTACATCTCTTTCCTTGCAGTCCACCTTATTATCCCAGGTCTTAATGAAACCAGTGTAAAACTTCCAACATCCATAATGTTTGAGATTTCGGACGCACTCAAGACACAATTAGGTAAGCAGACAAGTTCGACATTTGGCCTTAGAATGACTGACCACTGATGTTCTTAGGATGTCCAAGGAATCTTGCAAAAGAGATGTTTAAGGATCTCAAAGTAAAAATGTAGCAGCAAGGAGGTTGGATTGTTGGAATCCATATAAATAGCATTCTATAGGGCAATAGTTATTTTATATTTGCATAAAATATGTTTTGTATTTATAGAAAATATAAAAAATAAAAATATGTGCATATTTACATGCAGAAAAGAAGAGTAAACATTTATCATCCAAATAATAGACATATATAGGTACAATTTCCAAATGGAATGATGGTTCTAAATTATATTTATTGTTCTATTAAGAGGTCACTAGATATTTTCAATGAAAATTGATGTAAAGGTCAGGTCCATTAGAGTTATTTGAGACTGACATTGCTTCCTGCTTCCAGAAAGAACTGGGTATGATTTCCGTGTTTAAAAATCATAAAACACAACAATAATAAAAGCAAAATCCACATAACAGGGGCTCGGAGAGTAACTGTGGTGGTCATTGTGCTAAGTCGGTTGCTGTATCTCAGCATCAACTCAGACTCTGAATTGTGTCTCTGACAGAGCATCTCCAACCTGATCAAGCATCAGACCTGGAGAACTTGTGGATGCTCAGACTGCCAGGACCCACCCCCGGAGTCACTGATTCAGTAGGCCAGGGGTGGGGCCTGAGCATTTGCATTTCTAATAAGTTGCCAGGTGACATTGTCCCTCCTGGGCCAGGGGCCACATTTTGAGAACCACCCCCCTAATGTCTCTGGAGAATGTCCTGGACTGTTGCTAAATATGACAGGAAACAGCATGATATGGTAGAAATTGAACAAGACTATAAAATGCAGAATGTTTCCCTGAGCTAGGCACTTTGGCATTTAATACATGATTAAATCATTACATTGTACAGATGAAGTAAGAGAGGTCCAAGCCCCTGTTTGGCAATATTCATTCAACAAATACTTACTAAGGATTTCTCCATGCCAGAGTTGCAAGTTACTGGGGGTGGGGTGGGGTGGGGCTGTAATGGTGACTTGTACAGACATGGTGCCTGCTCATGCCTAGGACCTCAGACAAGGCAATTAATTCTTCCTCCCTTATTGGGGTCCCTTCCTCTTCTTTGGTTGAAGGAGAGAAAGAGAATAGAAATAACAAATAAGATGTAACACAAAGGATTTTTTTTTAATTCAATAAAATATGGTGAAAGATGACAACAGACTGGGGTCCTAAGTAGACAGACTCTTGCGTCAGGCCAGGGCCCATGTGACCTCTTGGTCATGAAGAACTTGCATCCACTGACCCTCCTACCCATGTTCATGACAAGTAGCTGCTGGTAAAGCACAGATCAAATAACCTGTCTCCAATGTTCCCCTTTCCTAGGGATTTATTGTTTTTTAAAGTGTCAAATCTAATCTACTATTTGAGTTATCAAATGTTAATGTGTCTTTATTTTCTCTTTTCTAATTTTCTTCTTTGGGGAGTAGAGCCATATGTATGAGTTCAGAAGTTCTGAATGTCAAGCTACTTCATTTAAACAAAAACTGAAAAGAAATTGCTGTCTTTCCATGTGTTTTTCAAATATTCAGACACTTAGCTTTATACAAACAGGATTTTTGTATATCTGGATATTTAAGCTAACTGTTTTCAATTTCTTGCTTATATGATGCTAGACAATCAGATTTCAAGAGATTTAAAGAAGTTCTCCTAGGAGTTCTCCTTAGGTGTTAATTTTGATAACTTGGAAGAAGGCAGAGGAAAGCTTTAAGTAGCAGAAGGCCAGTTGACTGGGGACTATTTATGGGTCACCATCTTACTAAGATGTGAAAATGTTTGCCAATATATCTTTTGTGATTTTTTGCAGTCCTTATATTTTTGCTTTAAAATATTTATCTGTTAGTCCTAGAGTGAGTTACCTCTAGAAAATGGATAAGTGACTGCATTTCACTTTCTTAATTCATAAATGAGACTTGATCACGTCCTTTTTAGTTATAAAACCCTGTGATTCAACCTTACATTATGTAAATGTGGTACTGCCAGAAAGTGCCCAAGGTAAAATTCCTTCAGTGAACTTGTGTTTGGAAGGATCAAAGCTCAGAACTCTTGTGCTCACCTAGAGTTTGTGGAGAAGATTAAAAAGGAAAAGGATTTCCCAGCCCACTGCTGTCAGTTTTGAACTGGCAAATGTGATATTCTATTCCTTAGACTTTAGTGATATTTCCTAATCTTTTGTATTTGTTTTTTCAAAATTCAACACATTACCTTAATACCAATTGAGCCTTTTCACTTTCTTTAATTTAGGAAGTGGGTTTTTGTTGTGTTGTGTTTTTGTTTTGTTTTGCTTTGTTTTTCATATGATTTACTTATGCTTAAAGACTGAGTGGTTTTAATAAAGAAAAATAAATTCAACTAGTACATATACAAATAATAAAAACTATGCAAATAGGAAATTTGTTTGTTTATTTGGCTTTCTGGGAAAATACCTTAAATTTAACACATGGAAAGTCTTGCACAGTGAATAAATTGTTTGAAAATGCCCAGTAAATCCAAGGAAAACCCTATCTGTCAAATATAGCATCTTAATAGAGCATGTTTCAAAAAAACAGTTACAACTGAAAAAAATTTATTCCATATACTGAAGGTATGCAGCATGATGTTTTGATATACATAGGGAAAGAGTCACTAGGGTCTAGGAAATCTTCATCTCCATCCTCTCACATAGCTATCCTTTGTATATGTGTGATAAGAGCACCAAAAATTTACTCTCAACAAATTTCCAATATACGATTCAATATTTTAACTATAGTCCTCATGTTGTTCTTAGATTTCTAGATTTATTCATCCTTTGCATCTGCAACTTAGTCCCCTTTTTCCTACATTTCCCTATTTTCTATTTCCACTCTGTAGCCCACCCCTGGTCACCACTGTTTTATTCTCTGTTTGATTTTTTTAAAGACTCCACATATAAATAAGGTAGTATGGTATTTTTCTCTCTGTGCCTGCCTTATTTCATTCAGCTTAATGTCCTCTAGATTCACCCATGAGGGTCTCCTTTGTGAAAGCTGGATGATATTCCTCTGTGTGTGAATGTACCACAACCTTTTTATTCATTCATCAGTAATTGGGTTGTTTCTATATCTTGGTCATTGTGAATATGGGAGTGAAGATGATCTTAATGAGGTAATGATTTCATTTCCTGTTGGTATACGCCAGAAAAAAGATTGCAGGTCATAATGCAGTTCTATTTTTCTTTCTTTTCTTTTTTTTTTGCAGGTTTTGGCCGGGGCCAGGTTTGAACCTGCCACCTCCGGTATATGGTGTGGGTGACCCACGCCTTTGAGCCACAGGCACCGCCCTGTAGTTGTATTTTTCATTTTGGGGGGAACCTCCATACTGTTTTCCTTAATGGCTGCACTAATGTACATTCCCACCAACGGTGCAAGAATTCCCTTTTCTCCACACCTTTGTCAATGCTTGTTATTGCCTGCTTTTTTGATAATAGCCATCCTAACAGGAGTGAAGTGATATCTCATTCTGGTTTTAATTTTGCATTTCCCTGATAATTAGTGATGTTGAGTACCTTGTCATATACTTGTTATCCATTTTTATGTCATCTATGGAGAAATGTCTATTCAGATCCTTTGCTATTTTTTAACTAGGTTATTTGGGTTGGGGGTGGGAGGCGGGATTTGTCTCTCTCTCTCTCTTTTTTTTTTTTTGGTTGAGTTGTATGAGTTCCTTATATATTTTGAACATCAAACCCTTATCAGATATATGGTTTGCAAATATTTTCTTTCAAACCATAGGCTAGCTTTTCATTTTGTTGATTGTTGCCTAGGCTGTGCAGAAGAACTGTTTTTCATAAAAAGAGTATGGGCATAAATAGCCCTTTATATTATCAAGGGAGAAATAAACTCTCTTGAAGTTAATTATCACTGCGATTAAGAAAAGTCATATTTTTTGAGGTGATAAATCATAAAAATAACATCCCCATTCCACCAAAGCCCATCACGGGACATCCAACACATAAAGAAGTGTTAATGGCTTTGTTCTAAGAACACATGATGTGAATAATAGAAATCAACAAGAAAGTTAATATTACACGCACATCTCCAAGGGACATGCCGAGGGCTTGCCAAAGCTAAGAACTAGCATGCCAAAAATTAAAGGAAACAACTATTGTTGAAAAAATGTACAGAAGAATAAAGAGGAAAAGGAATTTCCTGGATTTTAGGCCATGTTCTGATGGCATTTTACTTTCCTGTTGCCAAGACTGCAGTGGTGCAATACTGTAGGTGAATGCTCATGAGATGTCAAGATCTTTTCCATCTACCAATCTCTCTGATGTCTAAAATGGCATACTTAGAAATATAATGTGCTTTATAAAGAATTAGTGATATGTAAATAATACAGCTGTATCTTGGGGAAGGCAGTTTCCCACTTCTCTTCATTAATGGCCTAGAAGAGATTAATGTGATTGCCAGTTTAAGAGCATGTTTTGAATATAAGAAGCTGAAGGGTTTCAGATAATTACATGTGAAAGTCTAGGAAGGAACCCTGGAAGGAGAAGAGGACACTGAATAAAGAGATCATTCAAAGAAAACCTTATCATTTTATATATTTTTTGAAGGTACCTATGGTACATGCTAAAAATAACAGGGCTAGAGCTTATAAGAGATTCATAATCTAATTTTTTTTGGAGACAGAGTCTCACTATGTTGCATTTGGTAGAGTGCTATGGCATCACAGCTCACAGCAACCTCCAATTCTTTGGCGTAAGCAATTCTCTTGCCTCAGCCTCCTGAGTAGCTGGGACTACAGGCGTCTGCCACAATGCCTGGCTATTTTTTTGGTTGCAGTTGTCATTGGTGTTTGGCAGGCCCCAGCCGGGCTCGAACTCTCCACGTTTGGTGTATGTGGCCAGTGCACTATTCATGGAGCTACGGGCACTGAACCAATCTAAATATTTTTTTTGCTGTGTTTACCAGTCAGAATAATTCTAAACAAAGCTATCAGGAAAAATAGAGAAATTTTAAAATTGAGATCTTAGATTTGAAAATTGAAATTTTAAAATATGAGAAAATACAGAAATCTTAAAAATATAATTTATTGTAAAATTATGTTGGATCTTTCTTTTAATTATTACAGAAAGAGTTTCTTTTTATGTCCACACTAAATTAATTTGAACAATGGTGTTATTTCTGCTGTGCAAACATGCTTACAACTTCTGAAACACACACTTGACAATCAATGACAAGTACACTAGTATTTATGACACTTATTTTCAGTATTTTAAATCAGTCCTGGAAATAATCAGCTCTTTGTAGAAATCTGTTGTACACCTTCATTAAGCAGAGATTGAAAATTGACTTGCTTCTATAAACATTGTGGAAGAGATGACTTTAAGTCCAAAAGAAGCAAATAAGGATGTCGGGCCCATGTTAACTGAAAAGAAGGAAATGGTCTTTACAAGAGTAAAGTGAACCACAGAAGGTAATAAAATTTTCACTTTCAGAGAATGCTGAGAGAACCTTTATATCCGTAGGTCTCAGCAGGGGGCGTTTTTGTCCCCCAGGAAGTATTTGGCAATGCTGGAGGCGTTTTTGTTTGGCCTAACTGTGGGAGAGCTGTTGGAATCCCATGAGTGGCAGGCAGGAATGCTGCTAAACAGCCTTCAGTAGATAGGACAGCCCCCCTCAAAAAAATCATCCAGTTTCAAGTGGCAATAGTGTCAAAGTTGAGAAATTAAAGTTCTGGATAGCCTTAAAATTCCAAACAATCCTGTCTGGTTACATAATCAGCTCAAATGACATGATCAGGGTATCTCAAAGGTGCATGAATTCGTTCATGCTACTGGACTATTTCAAAACATTACAAGCAGGTCCCTGACTCAGTGTGCTGAATAACTGAACAGAGTTAATCCTAACTCTTCATTTTTTTTAATAGGGAATATCATAGTCACTGGGAGACTCTAATGTAGAATCATATTTTCTTTGAAAAAGAATAACTAAATTTTAGAATGAAGTTTCCCAACTAGTTCCATAACAAGGAAAAAAATAAAACTGATTCCATTCTTTATACTGAATTCCTACAGAGACCAAAAGAGAAGACCTATGCTAACATGTGGCTCAGAATTTATTAATTGTTGGTAACTTTTTCCCATGACTATTTTTCAAATATCTTTTTTTTTGAGACAGAGTCTCACTATGTTGCCTCTGGTGTCACAGCTCACAGCAACCTCAAAACCTCAAACTCTTGGGCTTAAGCAATTCTCTTTGCCTCAGCCTCCCAAGTAGCTGGGACTACAGGCGCCTGCCACAACACCTAGCTACTTTTTTCGTTGTTGTTGTAGTTGTCATTGTTGTTTAGCAGGCCAAGGCCGGGATCCAACCCGCCAGCCCTGGTGTATGTGGCCGGTGCCCTAACCACTTAGCAACAGACGCTGAGCCATTTTTGTTTGTTTGTTTGTTCATTTGTTTTTTCTTAAAATAGAGTCTCATTTTGTTGCCCTTGGTAGAGTGCTATGGGGTCATAGCTCACAGCAACCTCAAACTCTTGGGCTCAAAGGAATTCTCTTGCCTCAGCCTCCCTGGTAACTGGGACTACAGGTGCCCACCACAACCCCTGGCTATTTTTCAGAACTAGAGTCTTGCTCAGGCTGGTCTAGAACTCCTGAGGTCAAGCAATCTACCCACCTCGACCTCCCAGAGTGTTAAGATTACAGGAGTAAGCCACTGCACCCAGGCTTAAATATCTTTAGTATTTTTGTGTGTGTGTTTTTTTTTAATTTCTGTGTTATAATCTATTACATTTTTTTTACCTTGTATAATGAAATTTTCTATTCATTAATTTTTTACAAAAATGTTAGTGGTATTTGAATGTAAAATTCTAGGGAGCATTTGCTGTAATACCTATGCCTTCCAGAAATTCTATTTATGAATCAAAATGACTTGAGATTTATACAAGTATTAAGTTATAATCTTTTCCTTGCTCTAATGCCAATTCAGATCTTAAAGAATTAACTAAGGTTAATATAGAATTTTGAAAACTGTCATGTAATAGTCCCTGCTAGAAATGCTTAATGATAGGAAGGAATGTGACCAGATTAATTTTTTTAGTCTGTTAGTTAATTACCTTTTGAATGAGGTATTTTGGACTCTATTGGGAGGAAGTGAAGTAAATTGTTTCTTCTTGTGACTTTTTAGCTAAGAATGAAACCTTGGCATTACCTGCTGAATCTAAAACACCAGAGGTTGAAAAAATCCCAGCACGGCCCATGACAGGTAATGAGATCACTATGTTGTTGACCTTGAGGAAAGAAAGAACATATTTCTTCAAATAGTAAATGATCTACAGTGTATAGGGTTTTTTTGTTTTGTTTTGTTTTTAGTGAAGAGCCAGCAGTAAATTCATTTTGATCATAAATAAGCCCAAAACAGTAGGAGGTTCCAGGTCTTTAATGTTTGGGAAAACAACAGGCAAAGAGCTGTGTTTTTCACTCTAAATGAAAGTTATTACCTCAACCCTCTGAAATATCTTTATACTAAAATGTGATACCACAACTTTGGTGCTTTTATATGAACATATGAGACCATATTTTTTATTTCTTTACTTTCACAAGCAGTCAGTGTAGCAAAATGGGATATAGCCCTCACAAATCCATAGCTTGATATTTAGGAAAATCCCTTGGAATCATTTAGAAATAAATATCTCTGAAATGCTAACAATCCTAGTATAGAGAATATATAATAGCTTAGTAAAAATCCTTCAAAGGATAAATGCAGTGAGAATTTTCCCCATAGTTTATTTCTGTAACTAACACTCAACATTTCTTCTCTGAATGAACTACCCAAGTCCAGTGCATGGGGGAGACATTCATCTCTGAGTTACAGAGTTGCTGCCAGCACAATGCCACCTTATCCAGGACTTAATGAAATAAATATCTGGCAAGAATTCCTCCCAATCCACATTTAGCAAAGTAACTTTGGAATGATTTTTTTAATTTATAAAATTGCTATAACTTGGAATATTGGTGATATTTACTTGTACAAACGTTGGGCTTGTAGCTGCTCCAGAGAAGATAACGACAGGGGGAGGAGTAAAACAGTGTCAAGCAACTCTTTCAAGTAGGAACATTTCTGACAGACCGAGATGAATATAGTCTGTCTGCAAAAGTGAGATGAATCTTTCATCTCCACCTTCATGGGAGTAGGGGCAGAGGTAGCTAATGCAGTAATCCATTTGGATGAAATCCCTGGGTGGTTCCTGATTTCAATATACTTGATCAATATCAAGAAAAGCATAAGCAGGACCCAGTAGATGACTCCAAGTCCTTCTCTACTTCAAAGATTCTACTCATTTTTCCTGATTATACTGTCTTCTCTTGGCACCGTGTCTGATGGGAGAGTCTACAGACTTTCTAGTTCTTTGTCAACCCCTCAGAATTTTCCACTCAAGAAACACTAAGACAAACACCATAATTTATTACTGAGTGTTATTGTCTTTATTGCATGTTCTTATTCTGCAAAATTCTGGGGTTTTCTAGCTCCCAATTCCTTCCAGATCTCAGTGACCCTGGTTCTTATTTCTCCAAAAATATTTACTTGAGGTTTTCATTCCCTTTAATCTAGCACTTGGGACGACCCTGTGGTCAAGCACTTAGATGCTGATCATAATTTCAACTCATTCAAGCTTTGCATATTGAGTGCAATTTGAGAGAGAAATCTCTCAGTTCTAAGTAAACCTCTTAGCCCTGGGTCATTCTTTTATTTGCCCATTCATTAATTTATCTGCTGAACTATTATCATGTACTTGGCTACTTGGCCATAGCCTTTGTGCTAAACCCTGGAGATAAATACAAAGGCAAACAAAAAATTTTGATTAATCTGATCAGTGTTTTAATGGTGGCTGATTCAGTGGTTTGGTTTTTTTGTTTGTTTGGCTGGAGTTTTTTCCATTCTTTTATTTATTTTTTACTTTTTGGAGCCTATAGACAGTGGATTAAGCCCAGAAAGGAAGGATTAGGAAGGAGTGTTAGCTAAAACAGTGGGACAAGCTAGGGAGTCTTTAACATTAGTAACTTGTAAGAAATGGAGTCTATCAGAAACACTTACTAATTCTGAAGGGGAACAAATCTTTCACTGCTTCATCATTTTATCTTAATTTGTAAAGTTGTCTGTTTTACCTTTCAGTGACTCCTGAAATAGTTCCAAGAACCAGCAAACCTACTGTGTCTAGTGCATTAGATGTTTCAGAAACAACACTGGGTAATTCTAAGAACTTTTTTTCTTAAAAAACTAAAAATAAAAGCAGCAACATCACAAAAAACTTCCAACACTCATAGAAAAGTAATCCATCGCCTTAGCTTCTGTCCCTCTCTCCCATGCCTTCCTTCCTGACCGAGGTTAACCTTCCTATCTCTTGGACGGCTTCCATTGAAGAGTTAACAACATGTCTGATCAACTGAGCCACTGCCTGGCCACTGACCTTCCAGCAGATCTGGATGCTGGATGCTAACTGCACGCCCTTTTCAATCATTCTCTTGGTTGTATCTACAGAATGACAGTTTTTTAACTCCCAAATATTGGAGGGTTGGGGGGAACCTGGAAGTCTTAACCTTGCATTCTGCTCAGTTTGGCTTTTGGAAGTCTTGCGCATACTAAACTTGGGGAGACCCCCCCAAAAAACTGTCATGCTTTCAAATAAGAATTTAATATCATTCATGTTAGCTGTTTCTTGGCCCAAAAGAATCTAACTTGCTTTGTTGTTTCCTTCCCCTGAAAAAGAGCAGCAGCATATGTTTTAGTCTATACTTTGATCTTGATCTTCCCTGCCTCGCCACAGCCTCTACCAAGTATACCTGTGAATTTTGACAGCTCTGTAACTTTTCCAGGGAAAGCCAGCTACTTCCATGAAAGGCATCCCCTGCTTGGCACCCACATGAGCCTCTGTCATGAAGCATGCTGTGCACGATCCTGGTTAAGCCATAACACCGATCCTGAGTCAAGGACTTGCTAACCACAGTCTTCTTTATTGTAGTTCTCGGCGGCAGGATCCCGGAAACACCCCAAACTGTTCTAATACCTCAGTTTGAATTGCCACTGAGCACTCTAGGTAAAAAAATTATTAAACACTGCAGATTTATTATTACCTTGGAAACTGTACACATGCTTCAAAGAAGTCTTTAGACTTTTTCATTCAAAGTCGTCTCTTCATTGAAGGAAAAGAGACAAATGGCTTACAGAACAGTAAGATTCCAAACACCCGAGCCTTAAAATGTAAACAATCTTTAAGTTTAGGATTGACATAGTTCCAAGAGGGACTTTACCTAAAAAATGCCATGAGTGTAACCTAGTTCTCTGTACCCTCGATGAATCCCCAACAGTTAAAAAAAAGTTTAAGATTGAAAAGAGGATCTCTATGTGACAATGTATGGTTTGGTTTTTTTTTAGTGGTCATACTTTGATAATATATTTGATACTTTTAATTCATAATCATTCTGTCACTGAACAAATTTATATTTTATACATTTTTTCTAAATTGTACAATTCTAATTTTACTCAATTGTCTCTCTGAACGAGAAGATCTATTTGTATTTCAGAAGACTGCTTCTTAGAATGTATAGAATTTCTTTGAGAGCAATATCAAAAAAATTGAGGAATAAGCTTATATAAAAAGCCATGGTTTGAGTTCAAATGAAATTTATCTAAGAGCACACATTGAACATAGCTGAAGAAATTAGGAAGCTGGTTAAGTAAGAGTGAAAAGGAGAACCCAAGTAGAGTAATTTAAATTCAGTGGTTTAATTATAAATAATGGGAAAAGATTTGTTATAATATTCAGCATTGAGACATAGAAGTAAGACATACTAACATGAAATAATTTACCTTTTTGTGTTTGTTTTTTGTTTTGTTGTGCAAGCTTGAGATTTTTAAAAATCTTTTCTCTGTTTCTTACGCCTCAGGTCATAACTTTCCTTGTGTTTCATTACAGCTCCGAAAAGGCTTCCAAAATTTCCTGAAGCAAAAACACCCTTTCCTTTTGAGAAAACTGAGGGCATCTTGGGTAATAAGAGTACTTTTCATTTGATATTAAGAATGTTTGTGGTGATTGCTTACATCTCTGGGACACTTTTACTGGGTCCTATCCCTGCAGACCTCAATGAACTGATGAATTCAGTAAAATCAAGCAAACAAGTGGTTGATGTGGTTAAATAAGAAGGACCTATTTGCTTGGATTTTCTACAAATTCTGTAAAAGTTATCAGTATAATTCCACGTAACTCATTTAGTGGAATGAAAATGTCCTTAAAAATGTTGGCAAAATGACACCAGACTCTGGCCTCTTTCTGACCACTGATCAAATGCTCCCTGGATTGGCACATTAGAATTTCTTCTCATTATATGGTGACTTGTGATTGTATCCATATGTTTTTGTTTTTGTTTTATTGCAGGCTTCTGGTAGCCACTAAACATAACAACCTATTTCTGTCCCCTTCACTTCTAAAAAAAACTTCAGCAAATTCTGTTTCTTTTCAATATAGCTTCAAGTGAAAAACCATGGATTGTTCCCACAGCTAAAACATCTGAAGATTCTAGGGTTCTAAAGCCTCAAACTGGTAATTGCATTCTTTTTTTTAAAAAAAGATTATAAAAAGAATATTGAGTAATTTCTTGGTTTTATTGTTATAGGCTTCTTAACTGATTATCAGTATACTTTGTAGTAAATGCAAAACCTATAATACATTTTTGGTACTTAGATTGAACCTCATTTTATTCCCTACTACAAAAGCAAAAAGGTTTTGTGTTTGTTTTATACACAGTAAAACCTTTGTAAGGTGACCACCCCAGGGATTGTAACAAATCAGTTAACATATAGAGATGGTCAACATAAGGAACTAAGCCTACTATACTGATATGTACATATGGGGTGTGTCCAGTCTATGAAAATTAGGTCAACTTAAGGAGGTGGTCATCTATGGAGGTTCTACTGTGTATGTTTTTAATTTCTGGGTATAATAGTAGAAGTCTTCTCAGTAAAGTATCACAAGAATGGAAAAGCAAGTATCTAGTGTATTCAATACTAATCTGAAGCCAGTAGATGATCTAATTCATACCCACATAGGAGAAGGACTCAGTTCAATTTAAGTTAAGAAAAGGAGAAATGAGGGAGGCGGGAGAGGAGGGGGGCTTAGGGTACTCCCACTGAATGGGTATGAGGTAGGGGTGTATGGCACATCTTTGAGGTGCAGAACATAGCTACAAGAGGGATTCTACCTAACAAATTCAAATACTGTGACTTGGTTGTTTGTTCCCTTACATTAACCTGCAATTAAAAAAAAAAGAAGTCTGGCTAGAACATGGACTGTGGACTGTGAATTGGCTCACTGGTTTTCTAGAGATCTCTTTAGTGATATGAGAAGCATAAGAAAAATAAGTAGCATGATGGACTGTACTTAACAATGTGAGGTTAATATTTCCCTTGTAGGTAGATATTTATTTATTTTTCAGAAATATAATTCAATACAAAATTGAGATCTTACTAATGCAATATATTATACCAAGTTCTAAAATTTGTAAGTATATCATGATGTAGAGGACAGACCATAGGTCTTCAAAGCTAGTAATAGACCTTGGTTCCATTCCTGTCTCTCCTGCTAACCACATGACTCTTGTTTTCTCTACTTTTCTGAGACTTGTTTTCTTCTTTTGTAAATGGTGGCAATGTTGTTTTTTTCTCTTGAGAATTCTTGTGTTCCTCCTAGAAGCTGATTGAGATATCTTCTCTTTTTCAAATAATAGATTTTTTTATCAATTACAAACTTTTCTTCTATACATCTTTTCTCTGATGTCTAGCAGTAAGCTAAGGAAGAGCATATTCAGCATATGAGTTACAAGAAAACCTCAGAAACCATCTTTTGCCATTACTTCCATGATTTTTTGTTTCATTTGTATTTTAATTTTTGTGAACTTATGATTGTCACTTTATCTTGGGTACATATAGTATGTAATGTAGGATTTTGTGTAGTGAAGTTAAATACATGAACATCTTGTGATATTTTTCAGAGATAGTCCAGCAGAGGACTGGGTTTGAGAAAGGACGAGAATGAGCCGTCAGATATCAGCAAAAGATAGATGAGGGGTGGCACCTGTGGCTCAAAGGAGTAGGGCACTGGCCCCATATGTCAGACGTGGCGGGTTCAAACCCAGCTCTGGCCAAAAAAACTGCAAAAAAAAATGATAGAAGATGACATCAAATTAAGTGTATATATCTATTAGATCCTATCCCAGTTTCCACCAAAAAAACTGCAAAAAAAATGATAGAAGATGACATCAAATTAAGTGTATATATCTATTAGATCCTATCCCAGTTTCCACCAAAAAAACTGCAAAAAAAAAAATGATAGAAGATGACATCAAATTAAGTGTATATATCTATTAGATCCTATCCCAGTTTCCTCAAGCAGGAAGATGATCTAAGATCAAGTTTCTAGGTAGAGTTTCATCCTGAGCCCCTGGTTCCATAGCCACCACAGCACCTGTATTGGGCTTATGACACAACTAGTCTGGGGGCATACATGGTGGTTTATCTGCTGCACCCTAGCAGACCTGGCTGGGACTCCTGCAACCCTCAGTGGAACCCAAATCAAACTGTTTTGTGGATTTGGGGAGTAGGTGAACTTTTAAGTCCCTTTAATCTCTTAGCTTCTGTTTTATAACATAAGGAACACAGGGTTCCCTAGTTTCCCTTAAGCAGCATCTAGCTTTTGATTTCTATGATTATTCATGAGCAAACTGATCACAACCTCAAGGAAACCAGTTTTAAAATTTGGATGCCTATAATATGAATTATTTATAAAGCCTAAGTTGGACCAAGCATTGGGCAGATATGTTGAAGAAAGAAGGTTGCAGAGTAACGAGGAGACAAAAATAGATGATGTGAAAAATCCCAAGAAAGGAAAGTTTCCTTTTACCTTTAATTCCAGGAGAGGAATATTCTGGTCTTGCCCTGATGGAGTATGAATAGTGGCTAATGCAGCAGGAAACAGGTTTCTTATTTAGCTGCTTCACTGCTGCCAGGGCAACCTTGGGTTGCCAGAAAACATGCAAGTGAGAGCTTCCAACCCTCTCTGGACAAATTGTTGAGACTTGTCATGAGCTGTAACAACAGTCAATAGGTGATATGCAGGCATGAATATAAACCCCAGAAACTTCCCAGCCTGCTAAGTTTTAGCATTCAGTTTTTAAATCCCTGCTACTTAGTATGATTACAGGGCCAGCAGCATAGACACCACCTGGGAACTTGTAGAAAAGGCAGCACCTTGAGCTCCACTCTAGATCTATTGAGCTGCTTGCAGTCAAGATCCCCAGGTGATCTGCATGAACCTGAAGGTTTGAGAAGTGCTACTTTATCACTATAGTCTTATCAATAGCACTGGCAAAAATTATCTCGTGTAGTCAGTCATAGGACAGTAGGCTTCCAATAAATATAAGATTCATTTCTCATAGTGGGTGATGAAATATTTCTTGTTTCTGCAAATGTGCGATTCTTCCATCTACACTCATGTAAATGTTATAGGGCCTTTTATATTAAAATTAAAATTTGACACCCATTATTTATAATTTAAAGAATTATATATTCACATAATCCTTTCATCATGCCATTCACATAATCATTCATTTCAGCCTTTGTTTCTTTCAATTGATTCTAAGCAAGTTAATACATGTACTAATGTTCTATTTGCTATTTAGTTTCAACAAATATAATTACTTATTTTTCAATTACTCAGATAGCTTCCTGAGACAACTGCTTGGAGAATTGAGTTAGGCAGAGATACTGCTTGAATGCCGGGCCACAAAACCATTAATCTCATTTGTAGTTGTTATATTCTTTGAAGAAACAGTATATTTTTGCTGGTATTAATGACATCATTGTAGCAAACTCAGTACATTTTGTTTTCTGTGTTGGGAAATGATGCATCTCTATTTACTACATCAATTCCCTTCAAACACACCTGTAGTTGAACAAAGTTAGATTTGTTCACTTATTGCAACAAGGGAGAACACAGAGTGTGAGGAACTGAGGATTCTCCTAGAGAGGAAGTTAGAAAGACTTGTTGTCAGATTTTGTCTGTGTTAAACGATTGGGGGAAGGTCCACAGATGTCAGGCTTTGCTCTGGATTGGATGCAGTCAGAAAGGGGGAGTAAACTTGTGACTGGTGTCTGCACAATTTTTCACTAGAAAGCAGGATGAGCAGAGCAATGCTCAAGCTGGGACCGATAACAGAAGCAGCACTTACTCCCGTGAGCAGAATGTGGGGAGGAGGGTGGTGTTTGTGGTTTGCACAGCACTCCTGTGTTTGTCTGCGTCCTGCATCATTACAGATTGGTCTGTATGCTGATCTGATACTGGTGCTCTGTGGAGTTATTAGTGTTCAACAGGAGAACCACACAGCCTACCTGTGGCTGTCAGGCCAGCGCCTGGATGTCAGGGGCTGCTTTTACCAACCCTTAAACACAACTTATCAGGACCTTTAGCAAAAGAATTTTCCACCTTGGCATTTGGTTTCCACATATTCTGTATTAAAAAATCAGAATGTGTGTTCTCAAAAAGATTTCTGTACCACTTTTGGATATAAAGGCTTCATAGAAATTCTAAGTTGGATACTGACTATTGAAATCCCTGGGTCATTCCTGTCTTTTCTGCAGCAGTGAGACAGGATAAAGTGAAGTTTAAAATATCCCAGGAAGTCTGAGATGGGTAGTCATCAAATATATTCTTCCCTGTTTTCAGACTATTTGCCCAAGTCTTTCCTTAGTGCTGTGTTTTGTGATTTTGTTAGTTGGAATTGCGTTTGTATTTAACCTTCTATAAAGCATTATATATTTAAGTAGGGTTGATCGGTTTTGATATCCTTGGCAAATTTAACTTGCCTTAAAATATATAAAATGAATCATAAAAATCTGCTTCATAGCTACATACCAGAATGTAAAATTATTTATAAATTTTGTATTAAAGGAAATTGGCCATACTTGAGAAATACTTAAGTGCTTGTGACAATCTTTCAGAAATAGTCTTTCTGACTGGCTTGAATTGGTCTTATGTTCTACTGGAAGGTGGCCTGGCCAGTTAACTATGATCTCAGTGTTGTGAGTTTTAGAAAAGCCCTCAGTATCTTCCACCCTCAGATGAATTGTGCATTTGCACACATGCTTGTTGGATCATTTCTCCACTGGAATAATATAATTTGGCTTTGCATAGTTTTCTTCTAGTAGATTCAAAGGACAATGGATATCCCATTGTACTGATCCTCCCAAAGCCCCTGGAAGCCAACAGAGTTATCTTCTATTATATTAAGGAGATACATGAGGAACTTAACTCTGCATGGGTAAAAGAGCCAAATTAGACTGATTCATTGCTTTTCTTCTCTTCTTCAGTATTTTAAAATTAAAGTGAAATAATTCTTTATAACTTGCTGTGAAAAATTGAAAACTGCTTTTACAACCAAAAGAATTACATGTTTTTTAGTGGGACTGTGTGCTTTCCAGATATGCCATGTAAGAAATGGTATGTGACCTGTTAAGAGTGTGGGGCTGGTCCCTGCAGTTTATTCTCCCTGGGAATGTGAGCACTGATCTGTGAACCATAGGGTGAAACAGAGCTGGGTGAATAACCAATTCATATATTTCCCAGTTAAATAACTTAACTTTCCCCACCTATAAAATGGAGATAACATAAAAATTTTCACCAGTTATTATGTCTTAGAAATAATGTATAACTCTCTTAATGGAATGTGCAGTATATAATTATGGGGTGCCCTGCTATCATTTCCTTGATACAGTAGAATCTTGCACTTCCTGCATTCCCTGCATACCAAACTGCCCGTCCATACTTCCTAATAGTTTCATGGAGTCAGTCATAGTAATAACAGCAGCAATTATGTTTTTAAAATTATTAGAAGAGGAGAGGGGAAAACTCATCATTTCATTTGAATAAAAATTTGAAATCAATGGACAGAGTGTTAGCACAGAGGTCCTGCCACTCCTTGGGAATAGCCTGATGATCTATTAACCTGGAAAAGGATGGTGCCTCCATCACTCTCCGATCAGAGTAGCAGCTTGAATCACTCTGCACACTGGTTCTGAGGCCCTGCTGTGTTTCCCGTGGGCTTCGGGGGTGGGAGAAACAACATAGATATAGCGAATTTATCCCACAGGAGGAGCATTTGTGTGCCTTCTAAAGACCCTGTATGGCTTGGGGATAGGGATGGAAATGAGTTTTTTGCTTCCGGTTTGACAATGCCATCAGAATTAAGCCTCCTTAATTTACTCAATCATCTCCTTAAAAGACTTTCATTTTGTAGGAGGATTTCAAAAGCCAGTGAAGAAAATGGTTGCAGATCCACAATGATTCTGTGTTTGATTTCATCCTTAGACAATCCTCCTGCCTCTTTCTCCCTCAAAGTGTCCAGACAAACTAAGTTTTCCTCCAGATTTACTGTGACATTACTAAGACAGTAATTATTTCTCCTCACACCATAAGCAGTTATCTTTCAGAGACTTCCCTTGACAGAGGGTCAGATCCAAGGAAGGTTGGCCTCAGTCTTTCCACTAGAATCTGCTTTGGGAGCTTCCTTTAGGGTTCATCACCTATTATTTTTAGCTCTAAATTCCTTCAGTGCTCTCTGGAATGGTAGTGAATTACAGTATGTCTTTAAGGTCTGTAAATTATTTTAAAGGCTTGAAAGCTGAAGTGGTCAGCATGCACAGGGAGCCGTGTATTGCTTAAGAAGTTTTGGCAGCAGGTAGTTTGATCCAAGTGTTTGAAAAGAGGTAAACTCTACATTTGGACCTTCCTGCCTGCCCTGTGAGGTGTTGATTAGCATGGATCTGGCCCACCCAACTGGATGAAACCCTGGAGAGGAGAAAACCCAGGAATGAGAGGAGGTGTTGATGCTTGGAGAGCAGGGAAAATGGAATTCAAACCCAGCAGATGGTTTACAGATTTACGTGGCCTCTTTAGAGATTTATAGCCACGGCCTTTGATTTTATTTCACAAACATTTTCTTCCAGGCAATACTTTCAAAGATTTCAAGGCCAGCTAGAAAGGTACTTTGTTTTTCCATAACCTTAGAAATTATTAATACATTTAAGTGATACTTAGAAGTCTTTATGTGGTGTTGTGGGTTTTTTCCCCCTTCTAGCTGCTTTTTGGGGGGATATATTTTTTTCATTACTTCTTCATATGTATTTTTAGAATTCTATTTCTGAGGCAGGGCATGGCCCTGAAAGCATATTATAGGTATTTGTGTAATAGATGAAGAGATTCGTGTATCATAAAGTAATTAGAGCACATGTTCATTTGGTCTCCAAACCAAGCCAGAAAGTCATTTATTCTTACAAAGAGTTTAAACTACCGAACCGTCCAACTCACTATTATTCATTATACTGAACATCTTGCAGATTAATTCCATGGAGTATCTGCCATGTATTAGGCTCTGGAGTAAATAAACCTCAGCGTGCCTAACAAGCAAGATAAACCCAAGTTCTGTGTTAATGAGGGCTTTGGTCTAAGCATTGATGTTTCAAAAGGAAAGTCTTTCATATAGTGAAACATTCAGAGAATTTGAATGAAGTAAAATGATGACGTCTTGATGACTTGAAATACTTTGGGTGCCCTCACGTATTTCCAGAAAAAAACATCAGGTTATTTCTACTGCAGACTTTGCATTTAATTGGTTGTTCAAAGCAAACATGTATCCTGAACAAAACATCACTTTAACAAACATGGCTTTAGGAAGCGATTAAACAAATGGCGGTAGAGATGACTTCATATTATTATTTTTCTTTGAACAATCCAAAAGTAAAATTTAGTTATCATAAAATTTAATTACTGGTTTTTGAAAGAAACCAATACTGCTTTTTATAACCTTTGAATTAAATTGCTTATTTTACTTGCGGCATTTGATTCCTCCTAAAACTTTTGGTCCCACATATGTTCTGTGAATGCAAGATCAAGACTAGGTGATGTCGAGCATCTACTGCAGGAAACATAGGTGACAGAGGTTTGCTTCTAAACAATAATGTCTGGTAGCATGTGCACTGTCTAGAAACAAAGGGTCCACCCCAACTCAGCAGTTTCATAGCTTTTAAGAAATTTTACTCTGGTATAGATGTACATAGAGAGAGCTTTTAAAAAAATCAAGTGTTGTTGACTTTTAGAGAAATGTTCAGAAAACCCCGTGTCCACACTGTCCTCTCCTCTGACATCTTTCACTTCTGAGTCAAAAGATCTTGCTTAGATCATGAAGGAAAGAAGTAATGATATGCTTCTCAAAACTGCCCAAACAACCTAAAATCCTGAATGAGTGGTATTTGTGGGAACTTAGCACATGTTTTCTTTACTTTTCAACTCTCAGGAATTACAAGGATAGAAATATCGAGGACCAAGTCTGCTGGCCAATGTGTTAGTTTAATCATAAGTAGGTGTAAGGATTTGTTTGGGAGTTAAGAGATCCCTGAGAACTGAGACCTTCCAGGTCTGAACCACAATGGGAGTTTCTTTCCCCCAATAAATGCTGGGTGAGAATAACTTGAGGGAAGATAACAGCCTGGCTGGGAACCTCCAGAATGAAAAGGAATTATAAATATGAAACATAAGTTTTTAAAAAGGTGAATGAACATATCATCATCTCTTGGAATAAAAATACAGAATATAGGCTAATTGGCCCAATAACACTAGATGAAAGAGAGACTTGGGAGTTAGGATAACATAAAGACAGACAAAAGCAATAATATAAACAAACACAAAGCTAGTAAGTCATCATTTCTTTTCTAGTGTGAGGGGATTAAATACAAGTTGGCAAGTTCTTAATTTATTTAGTAGTAGATCAAGTTGACTTTGCTAGATCCATGACTTGAACTTGGTGTAAGGCAAGCCTCAGATCAGAAGCTGCCAGACTTCTTTGTCCTTTAAGAGATGAATCAGTGCTGGGCACAGTGGCTCATGCCTATAATCCTAAGCAAGAGTGAGTGCCCCACCTGTAGTCCCAGCTACTTGGGAGACTGAGGCAAGAGGATCACATGAGCCCAAGAATTTGAGGTTGCTGTGACCTATGATGCCACAGCACTCAACCAAGTGTGACAAGGGTGACACAGCAAGACTCTGTCTCAAAAAAAAAAAAATTAATCATTCTTATTTTACTGTTAAAATTACACCAAGGCTTAAGAAAATCAAATAGACGTATTTTCAGTGTAATAGAGGTATTCTCAGAAAGGATGCATACTTTGACTCTCCATATTCTTTCTATTTTTGAAGATTTTGTCAAACAGAAGATCACAATTGCAATCTATTTCCTTACTCTTCAGCATGTGGTGCAATATAAAATGCTCTCTTTTCACACGATCTGATATTGTCTTTCCTATAGTTTCAACCAGCAATGATTCACAGTCATTAAGTTGTCGCTGAATTACAAGTAATCGCAATGTGTAAATCTTCTTGTGAGCTCCCTCTTTCTACTTGATTTCTATACAGCTGATTTGAGTGGCTGCGGAGAGTCACATCTACCTCATATGGTTCATGTTTTCTCCACACCTCTCACCCCTGTAGCGACAGCCCTTTTTCATGCTGTTTTTGATTGCAGGTTCAACTCTTATGTGAAAATGAAAATTATCCCTGTATGAAACTGATTCAATCTTTATGTTTACCCTCATCCTACTTTCTTCATTTTATGTAGAATAGAAAATTAATCTTTAAATCCACCTCGATGATAGAAGGGCTCTGGGCTCCGCAGAAGAACACAGAAAGCTGCCTCTAGGTAAACGTCAGGAAGGATGGTGCCTGCAGAGTCCCGTCTCAGCCCCGCTGTCCCGGGTCCTGCTGATAGATAGGGTGGAGAAGGCGCGGAAACTGACAGTTTCAGTGTGTGACTGGTGGCGATTGTCTGCACTGCTGTAAATCTCAACTTGATTATCTAGAAAATGGAGATAAGACCCCATTATCTGTAGGATGGGGGAATTGCTTCCCTCACTGATTTGTCGGGGGTGTTGAGAGAGTTGAGTAGCTGACATCTGGGAAAGTGTTGTACATACTAGGCAGAGCTGTCCCAGCGCACGCTGTCAGGACGTAGATTTTACTAAGCTCAAAGACTAGGCGGTGGACTTTAGGCAAAGAGCCTCAATGTGACTGCTGTTTCCTTCTTTAGAAATCTCTCTCCAAACTGCCATCTGACTTTATTTACGTTTATACTCTTGAAGCTCTGTGATTTCGGGCTGGCATTACTTCACTATAAACATATAGTGCTGTGTTTACATTGAGCAAGAAGGATCAAAAGCAAGTCTTACATGTTAGTGACAAGGCCGGCAGCCGAAATCTGTGCCCACCTACCTCAGACTGTCCCTCAGCCGGCATGAGAACATGTCAGGAAATCTTTCAAAATTCATCAAAACTAACAACTCTTTTGTTTTACCTTTTTATTTTAAAGCAGCTTACGATGTTTTTTCGAGCCCTGCAAGGACAGATGTACCTGAAATACCGGCGTCCCACACAGGTATCCCCACCTTCTCAGTTCTGTCTTTGGATCCTGGGTGTCCTGTCAACACTTGGGGGTTCTCCTTTAGTTTTTGCAGAGTAAAAAAATGTGCAGGGGAGAAATAGCCCTGTGTGTCAGGGAGATGAGTTCTGCTCACTCCTCCCATGGAGTAATTAGATCTTCAGATCTATTAGTAAATAAGCTTTGTTGCACAAGGGAGATGCTGTTAGATTTGGTTGCTACTGTGGAGAGGTAATATAATGGTCTATCATTCTATTGTTCACAATCATTCTAAACAGATTTTAGGAATCTTAGAGTAATAGTTCCCAAGTTGGAATAATTTTGCCCTCCCTTAACCCAGGTACATTTTGTAATGTCTAGAGACATTTTGAGTTTTCACAACCAGGGGAGATGCTGCTAGTATCTAATAGATAGAGATCTAGGGAGATGCTAAACCCCTGTGATGTACGGGACAGCCTCCCATCGCAGGATTATTCAACCCTAAATGTCAGTAGTGCTGAGGTAAGAAATTCTGTTCTGGAATAATCCCATCATTCATCTATAGAAGTTCAATTAGAGCTAATCCTTATCATTCATTTCCTGACTCATCTACCGTGAGTGATCTGAATCTGACAGTCTCTCTAAACAAGCATTTCGCCTGTACCTATGACCGTAGGTACTGTAGTCAGAAAGAATAAGCCTGGTCACTGCCAGGCATAGATATGTGTCTGGGTTTTTTAGTACAGGTAGCTTTATTTGTGTCATTATCAATAAACATAAACAATTTTAAACAGCAGCAGAAAACAAGGAAAAAAAAGAAATAGAATGCCAATGAGGGGGTTCAGTTCACAATTATGCAACAGAAGGGAAGAAACCAGAAAAACCAGGTGAAAACAAGTTGAATGTCTGAAGCACTGTTTTATTATGGTTTCTAATATTTAAAGTTAAATGTAGTTTTTAAAGCGAGCTCATCTTCAGCTCCTAATAAATCATTTTAAAATGTTGGTCAGCAATCCCTCCAGTGTTCTTGACACTTTTCCCCTTATGAGGCATAATTTATGACTCGAGACTTTGTCTTTTATTCCTGGGGCCTTCTACTCCTTTTATAAATGTTGACGTTTATTCCAACAGCAACAAGTGATGCTATTCTGGATTCTGTCCCACCTAAAACTTCTAGAACTCTTGAACAGCCAAGGGCAACACTGGGTAATGTTTTTAACAGAAAAGTCACACTTTATTTTCCATCAAAAAAAAAAAAAAATCCATGCAAATGCTTTTCTTCCAAATGACCATTTCATTCCATCACATCTAACCATTTCTTTCCTATTTCTTAATATCCACGTGTAAATATTTTAAATGCAGCCATCGTTTCTATTCTATTTTGGGCTCTTTCTTTTTTTTTTGGTAACTGTGATGATATTTTCCCTATCCTTATAGTTGTGAAAAGCTTTGAAAACTGCATGGACATTATCACCTGCACCATGTCATGTCTCGTCTTCCTCTCTGTCACCTCACTTCCACGCACTGGATCTGCCTGGAGTCAGTTGCTGAGCAATGATCATTCTAGCTTCCCCCCCCGACTTTAAATCATAATTTCATTCACCAGCTTTCAAGATGTGTGTTTTCCATCCTTAATCATCGTACTTCTAGCATGTGCTTTGTACCATCCAAAAGCATGTTAAGAGTCTTAAAATATTTCATGTTAACTGGAATTATTTGGGGGGATGGGATATTTGTGCTTTCAGCTCCCAGTGAGGTAACGCCATTTGTTCCTCAAAAACCGGAAATCGTTACCAGTCCTGAGATGCAGCCTACACCACCTGGTAAATAATGATATTTCTGTAGTGTATACTTGGAAAAAACATGTAATAAGACAAAGTCATATTGGCTTTTTCAGAATATTTTTATTACTATTTCCCTTTTTTATCTACCGTGAAATTTTTCAAAGAACTGAGTTATCCATCTTACTTAGCCTTATGGTAATCCTCAAAGAATTTTTATGATCTTGATATCTGTACATTTTGAAGAATAATTTCCTTTCAATATTTCTTCAAATTTTGTCAGTCAGAAAAACGGAAGAATTATAAGTGATAATTATTGTAAAATACATTGTTTTTTGTTTAGCACATTTGCATACCACTTGATCATAGTATTTCTCCTAAAGTATAGAGTAAATATTCGCTTAAAGAACACCAGGTAGGCTCTGCAGTCCCGGCCATGATGGAGAAAGATGGGTAAGGAGAGGTAATGCAACTTCCATTTTATAATAGAAAATTATCAGAATAGCGAAGTCCATTAACTCTTAGTGGGAGCAGTAATGAGCTATAGAATTAAAGAAGTTCCAAACTATCCATTCTCTAAATCACAACTGTTTTATTTTTGCGTCTTTCCTGCTATGCAGTGTCATCCTTTTGGATTCTTAAATGGACCTTGTGTCCTGAAATGCCTCAAGTGTGCTCACTCTCTGGTACATTTAATTGAACAATGTAACACCTTTTGATCTGGTCGACTCTTATTGAGAGTCTGCTACAACACACGGTGCTGGGCATTCTGGAGACACAAAGAAATATCACACAGTTCTTATACTCCAGAAGTTTATAATCCGGTACAGCCAGATTGATTCCTGAGAAATATCATTTATCGAAGCTATATTAAATCTTCTTCTTTCAGCTCCCCTACAAACTACATCTATCCCATCTACAGCCAAACGACGCCACAGGCCCAAATTGCCAAGAACCAAACCTGGTAAATGAATGTCTCTTTAACCTTTTAGGATATCTAATTCCAGACTGGTAACATCTTCTCCTTATCATAAAAAGGAGAGAGGATGCTATAGGTGAATTTCTTTATGCAATAGTTAATTAAACATGAATTATTAATGATAAAAAAATGATAATTAAATGTCTCAAATAGGAGTTTACTAAAAATTATGTGGGTTTTTTGTTTTGTTTTGTTTTGTTTTGCATCTGAACTTCTGTGTAAGCCCAGAAACAAGTCCTACCATCACAGCATTATGGAGTGATAACTGTAGTATAACTCATTTTTATATGCATCTATATTTAAGTGTTTTGGGGGCTGACAGTACTTATATTTTGGTGCCTAAAATGTCTTCAGTTTTCCACCAGGACAGTGGCTGAGATGGAGAAGATGTGACTATAGCTTGCACACAGCTTATAATCTTGAGAAAATAAGACATAACCATGAGAGCATAACATGAGATTATATGGCTTATTTCTGAGCCCCAAGGAAGAAAGAGTTGAAGATGCAAACCTCAAAATATAGGTCAAGTCTGGACAGAGGAAAAGGAGAGGGAAGAACATACATGACAGCACAGAGTCTGGACAGTTTAGATAGTTCAGCAGAGTCTGGGCGGTTTAGATAGTTTAGCAGAGTCTGGGCGGTTTAGAGAGCTCATCAATCTGAAAGTGATGTTCTTCATGGTCAAAATATACTCAGAATCCTTGTGGATTCTGCTTATTCCATTATAATATAAATACAATTTCATATGACCTTCACTGTTATGACAGCTTAAAAATTCTTTCACTCATTGTATACTTTGTTAGCTCTGACTCCTAACGATAGCAAGATTTTAAGCAGGTCCTCAGTTGCTCTTTGGAGGATATATTTTTCTAGGTATTTTTTTTAGGGTATCTCAATATTTCTTTTTTCTTTTCCATCACCAGAAAGAACCACAAGTGCTGGAATAATTCCATCTAAAATTTCTAAAAGCCCTGAACCTACATGGACAACACTGGGTAATGATGATATGTCCTAAGTAGACTGTGTTACTCCACTTACCATGGAAAATCCTATAGCCTAGATGTATGTGATGTCTCAATAGCTGTTTAAAAAGGCTCCTTTGAATGATGTGGAGTATCTCTTAGAGTGCTCCAACAGATGGCTGTTGTGGCTGCGGATAGCCGGCCTACGCTTAGTAGATCTGAACTCAGCCTTCAGACATCATCCTTGTCTTCTATCCAATTATTGCATTTGAAGTTGGATTTTATATATAGTGTTTCATTTTTTGAGTAAGGCCCTCAAGTTCAACTTCAGACTTGAAGAACTTTTAATTTTGGTGTTAGTAGAATTTCTTTATGTTTCAGATCATAGCATTATCTCTATGAGTGACGCTATTAATGATTTTAAAACATTGTATGTTTTTTCTGGTGCTTAAACAGTTAGACGCAGCTGAGAAATAGAAAGGGTGCAAATAACTAAGCTGATTTTTTTTTAATCACGGATTAATGTCACGATCTTTACTTTAAGAGTTATTGTGACTTAGTAACGGGCTGTACCTGTCAGGTTAAATGTAATCTTAAAATGTTTTACTAAAGCAAATGAAAGATTATTAACTGCATTTCCATTACATACTTCTCTGTGAACAGACCATCGAATATTTACAAAATATTCAAAAATAAGTTTATTCCACTTAAGGTATAGTTTATTCTTCGGTTTTCCTTCTGTGGTTTTAGACACTGAAATGCCTAAATACTGGTTTATTGATTATTTTGTTTCTTTATTTTTCCAGCTCCCAGTAAAACACAATTTAGTTCTTTGAAACCTAAAATCCCTCTCAGCCCAGAAGTGACCTACACCAAACCTGGTAATTACCCTACCCTTTTCTAATATTCTTGAAATAGGGTTGAAAATTTGTTTTATGCAATTCTTTGGAGCAAGAATTTCTGACTTGTGTTTTGATATTTGTTACATTTTTCCCTGGAAAATGCAAACAATGCAATGAAATGATCTCATCATCAACAGCCCCTGGGACATTATCATAGCCTTGCTCTCAGCTGTGTGGCAGATCTTTGTGTTCATGACCGTCACGTAGAAAACATGCCTAACAACGCAAGTGACTGAGGATGCCCGGGTTGAGGACTAGGAAATAGTTTCCAACACCAAAGTGGCCTGGAATTCCAATCACACTGAACAATACCCTTTGAGCTGGAAAGGGAGGAATGTTTCCATCCTCTCAGAACTCTGCCTTAGTTTGGGGTTTCTCAGTTCTCAGGCTGTAAGACCAAAAAGGCATGGATTTTCCTAATGCTCTGTGACTTCTAAGCTGGCGCTTTCTAAACACTGGCTTCTGTTTACCTCTTAGCACATTTTAATGGTATTTTGCGAAAGAGAAGTCTTTTTCAGAAGAGGATTATTCTATATACAAAGGATGCCTATACACACACACACACACACACACACACACATACACACATGTATTTTAAGAAAGAAAAAAACTGTATTAAAATTGTAACACTCAAGTCATATTTGACTTATGCCATGACTAGAGGTGCCCAAAGATGACTTACGTTCATTGGTATATATTATTACAATTTTAACACATTTTATTCCTTTCTTAAAATGTGTATGCACTATTTTTTGCACCCTCTGTATGTGATTAAAAACAGACAATTCCTTGCATAAGGATTGTGAAACAAATTGAAAGACCAAATCTTCGCTTTTTCTGTCTATCCAACTCCACACGACAGTCTTAAATGTTGACTGATAAGACTGGCGCTGGGAAACTTCATCACTACTCATTGTCATTATCATACAAATTTAAAACCCTGTGCTCTGGGAAGAATGTATTTTTCACTATGGTTCGTGGATTTTGAACTTGCATTTCCATTATTGGCATACTTTCAAAGTAGGATTATTAAATCAAGAGATTTGCTGCTAGTGTAGGCAGGATTTATTTTTGCAATGAAATGGGTAAGGAAGAAAAAGGCAGCTTCTCCAAAAAGGAATTCTCAGAACTCAATTTGCAGCTGTAGGTGCAGACTGAAGGGAAGTAGGGATTAGGCACAAGGAGTGTGGATGCTGTGACCATGGGTGAGGTCTCCACGTCAGGGAAATGGAATGAAAACCTCCTGGTTAGAGAGGTTTTTTGGAGGAAGGATCATGGCTAATAAAACTTAAAAGTCCTAGTAATCACTTAAATCAAAGAACTCTGACAGCTGCATGAGAGAGTGGTTTAATGTACATTTATTAAAAATTCATGTTTATAGGGCTTTAGAAAAAGGTCTAGTAAACAGAGGGCTGTTGCCAAGTAGATCAAGAAATATGACTGTGTGTTTGGGTTGCTGAATTTTAACAAATTTTCTTTAACGTTATTATTATAAGGTAAAATTTGAAAACATCACAAAATATTCCCAAATGTTGTTTACAGTTTATACATAAGTTACATTATTAATTTCACTAGTTTCTAAGCAAAAATTTCCTGGAGGAAATTCATTCATTACTACACACAAGGGTAGAGGGTATATGTTCTCATCATTCTAAGATGTTTGAGAGAGTTCTTCACTTGACATTTCCTTTTAAAACGGGGATAACTACTTGGAAGGTAATGTGTTTATACTCCTTTGATTTCTAAACCTTCTAATCACCTAGGAAAATTCACCCTTTTCGCCCAGCAGCAAGGATAAAGCCCTTCAGAATCCAAGCCTAATCCCGTGCCAACTCAAGTTGGCCTTGGGTGGTCCGAGGCAGCACAGAGTAATGAGTGGATCACTGCAAACCATTGCTTTGGTTTTCGCTTCTTAAATTTTATTTATTTATTTTTATTTAGGGAAGTCCACTTTGATGGCTCCAGTAAAGACTTCTGTACGGAAGAGCAAATAAACCACCAAAAGCTTTTTGATTTGAATAATTGATTGCTTTTCCCAGCCTTCTGCTCCCTCTCCTGTTTTTCCATTTCACTTTCCATACAGGCTGCTTTTCCTTCAGCTTTCCTCATAGTCAAGTTAATAAATTGACATCCTCATTGAGTTGCCCGTTGTTCATCTGCAATTCAGTGCATTTCTCACAGACTGTAGCCACCTGCCCAGGTCCCAACATGTCTACCTCATCCAGTGAAAATTGTTTTCTTCACGGTTTAATCTTTAAGGTGGTAATGACGTTTAGCTCTTCCATCTTCTAACAGACTGGGAAAAAATGGAGAGAGCACCCAGGTACAGGTGTTTCCTTCAAACAGCTTTCTTCCCTGCTGAAGAGGGTTGTATACTGTTCTCATTATTAGTCAAACTTCTACAAGTGAGTTGAGATTGTCTTTGTTTTGTGCTGAAGTGAGCAGCTAAGTCATTGGCAGGCCACTCAACTTTGTGATGGAACGTTTTTATACCTTTAGCCTCAAGACCTTAAGATTGTCAGATAGAGGAAATTTTTGTCAAAAGATGTATTTGCTGATGTTTTTACTAAACGTCAACTTTACTGTGTTTATTATACAGTTGATTTTGAAGCTTAATTGATGGGGCTCCTTATTTGGTCTCAGTCTTGATCAGGGACTCAGAAATGCAGATTTTTCTATATAAAATTTAAAAAATAGCATTCTTTAATATTTGTGAAAACTAAAAGATGCTATGGGTAGCAAAGCTTATAGATTTTGTCACACTCTGAGGAGGTAACTTTATAGAAACAAAAACGTGAAGTCCAACCTCAAAGTTTCAAAATAAGTGTTTGGTGTTTGCTGTTTTCAGGCATGGATGCTTTCTGAATGTTTGTTACATTTCAGGCCTTGATGCTTATTTTCTCCTTTTCTGGTAGAATCTGAGACATTCTCACTCACACACATACAGAACTTTTACTTTGTTATAAGTGCTTCAATCTACTACATCACTATTGCTTTGCCATTCATCTGTTATAGTCTATTTATCAACAGATTCTTGAGAAATTAGAATTTGGGGATTTTTTAATTTTTAATCAATGCCTTTTAACTTTATTCTTTCGCACCTGGTTGGAACTCTTCTATAGTCTCACACAAAGATTTTTCGGCCACAGACATGCTAATGAATGATACTGTCTTTAAATTGCCCCTTCTACTATTAGGCATTGCTTTCAAAAATACGTGAAAATTCTCTACCTACATTATTTGTTGTTATATTTTCTTTTTTGGTTGCTACATAGAAACTATTGTTATAGTTTCTTTTTCAATCACTACTTGTATTCTCGAAACCTGCCCTTCTGCCTGTCCAGCAATATCAGAGACAACTCTTGATAAATGTAATATCGGAAATGTATAAGTAGAAGAATGTTCTGTTAAGATGGTCACTGAATGTGCCCTGTTAATTTCTTTCTATAAGAGAAAAAGTAAAAAAATCTTCACTTTTTCCTCTATTTCAAAAACAAATTGAATTCCTTTTTTATTTTTTTCTTGAAAAAAATAGTTCTTATTTTTGTTCATAGAATAAGAATAAAAATGTCATAACCAAACCACAGTCAGCACGAAGTGTAATTTACTTACTGCCAGTTTAAATGAACATTGGAGGGTTTGTTATCTATTAGAATATTTACATAATAGTGTTCATTCAGCATTTCATGAAATCTGAGACTCCTTTCCTATTGATGACTAACCAAAATGGATTAAATTTCACATGTGAACTAATTTGTTTACCAGCAGTAGATGCTAGTCCATATGGAGAGCCCTAAATGGACACTTGTGGTCCCTCTTAAACTGGAGGTTTAATTCCTACCTTTCATGGAAGGCAGTTAGGTCCAACCAAGCTGGAGATCATTCCACACTAACAGAGCACAGCCATAGTAACAGGTCTGTGGGTCTCTTGCCTTTTCCGACTCCCTGGCAGGAACCTGGTTGTCCTGCAGGGAGCAGAATAGCTTGGGACAAGAAACTCGGAACAACGTCAGGGAGGCCACTTACTACTGGGTAACAGGGCAGTAGCTAAAGATTACTTCTACTGTGGTTTGTGGAGAAGATGTGGGGTGATGGGACTTCATTGTCATTAACTAGTAGAACCTAATCATTCACCAAGGAGCGAACACTGCTCATGATAATGAACACTGAATTTCCATCTTAAACGGTGTCCTCAGCATTGCTGTTGATACTCCTTGCTTTTTTTCAGCCCCAGAATCTCAGACTCAACCACTATCACAGTCAACAATAGGTAATAGAAGGTTCTTTAATGAGTGAAAAAGATAGACATCTTTAACACTCATATGTCCAACTTTGTCCTTACCTTGGGTTATAGATTTTTTTTAATATCAGCTGTCCTTCAGATATTTTTCTAGCCATTTGTCTAAGCCAGCAGTTCTCAACCTGTAGGTCGCGACCCCTTTTTAACAATGAAAATACATTGTGGCATTAGGAAGGTTGAGAACCACTGGTCTAAGCAGATACACTGTCTGCCAGTGTTTGACTAAATAGAGGCTCTGACACAGCCACAAAAGCTGTGATGATTTTGATATGACACGTTCTCTTGTATTTGAGGAATACGTCCTGAGCTTGTTCTAACCTGGTGATTGCCAGTAGAGGATCCTGGCTTCCCTAGGACACGTTTGTGCCTTACCTTTTAGAGGTATTTTTCTTACTTTCAAAACTCTAACATTTGCAGATTTTCTTGAAAAGCACTATGGTCTTTCCAGATCTAAATAGCCTGACGGGTCATTAGGAAATCCATTCAAACAGAAAAATAGAAAAACCAACCCCAATCTTTGTAGCTTCTTTTTCTTCAAAAGAGCAAAAAATACATTCCGGTGCCCGCTTAGCCAATTACCCATATTTTCCTTCATAGCCTGTACTGCTGGTTACTTTATTATAGTCACATGTTCCAAATGAGGATCGTGCCTTTTTTTTTTTTCCATTTCTCTTTCCAGACTTAACTGACTAGCTACATTGTTATTCACTTTGTCTAAAAACACAGGAATCTACTGAAATAGGGAAAGGAACTTCTTATGTGGATAAAAATTTTACCGTTTATATTTGCTTAACCTAGTAAGTAAAATTTAAGCATATTGCATGTTTAAATAAACGTCATCATTTTTCCTTTGATCCTGATTTTTTCTTGATGATTTTTAGGGCCTGGAACACTGGGACCCAAACTTCCAACAACATCGGATAATACAGCTACTGGGTGGCTGACCTTAGTTTCTTTTTTTCCTGTCTATGGACAGAATCACATTAATGACTAAATACGTTAGTGTCTCTCTCTCTGTGTGTGTGTGTGTGTGTGTGTGTGTGTTCTTCCAGAAAAAGTACAAACACTTTAGATATACTTTCTAAACAAACCTATCTCATTTTTAAAAGTTGCCTCCCTTGGAATTTCTGAATTCAAAGCCTATATTGTTGATTTGTGTATTTCTTTTTATGCTAAATGAAAAACTTCTCCTTTTGAATCTTAGCTCAAATAAATCCTAATTTTTATCCCCAATGGCTTCATAAAGCCATTTCTTAGGTTCTTGTTGAACAAATACCTTCACTATTTTTAGGTGACTTTTTTCTCTACGTTGTACAAAACTGTGATAATTTCCATCTCAGATTGGAAGAATAAGGGAAACTCTTGAGTAGTTTCTTGATCTTTGGCAAGAAAAAATTATTTAAGATCACATTTAACTGGTACATAATGATAGAAAGTTACCAAACAGATGGATTTGTGTCCATACTAAATCAAAGAGCTCAAATGTGCTTCTAAGATAAATATTTATTATCAGTTTGTAGAGCCACCCTTCCTATGTTAACTGGCTCATTTTCTTTCTTCAGCTCCACCAAAGACCAAACGACCAGGTCGTCGCCCCCGCCCTAAAACCACACGTAGTCCAGAAGTGCCCAAGTTCAAACCTGGTAAATGTGATGATGTTCAGGGTTCTATTTATCATTGAAAGTAGAATATAGCAGGTTCTAATTTAGTAGTTATCAGCTACTTAAGTAGCTGGGCTTTGGGAACCATTGGGGTTCATTTTTATGTTAGAGAATCTGTATTTATTTTATATATTCATATATACACCTATTTTATCATATATTCATATTTTAGTTGTTATAATATTAGTAGAAAGCTGGCCCATTAAGTGGATTATAAAAATAAGACACCTTAAAATCTTACATGTGAGGTTGGACACAGTGGCTTACACCTATAATCCTAGTATTCTGGGAGTGTAAGGCAGATAGATTGCTTGATCTCAGGAGTTTGAGACCAGCCTGAGTGAAGTGAGACCCTGTCTTTACTAAGAATAGAAAAACTAGCTGGGCATTGTAACAGGCACCAGTAGTCCCAGCTAGTTGGGAGGCTGAGGCAAAAGGATTGCTTAAGCCCAAGAGTTTGAGGTTGCTGTGAGCTATGATGCCATGCACTCTACCCAGGGTGACAAAGTGAGACTCTGTCCCCCCCCAAAAAAGAAACTTTTACATGCAATACATATTCAAGGCAGATGAGTGTGGGACAGCAATAAGGAAAAGAGGTAAAAGGGAAAAATAAAAAAGAAAATCACTTTGAGAACAAGTGCACAGTTTAGGGAGAGCATCCTAGCGTGAGGCAAAACGTTTCCTTCCTCAAGGTGCCACTTCTGGATATAATTGGTGCTTCTGGTTTTTTGCTTCTGTAGCTCTGGAACCTGCCACAGTACCACCGGAGCCCTCGGTGCCCACGATTGGTAATTCTGCCGCCCGCAATTGCTTTCACAGATTGTCACATTTGCTTTGCCCACGCTGCACCCCAGGCATAACTGCTGTTCTGCCACCCGTGACAATTTCATCCCACATCCCTCATGTTTCCTATCTGGGTCTGAAGACCATAAAGATAGGAGAGTTCTCTAGAACAAACCCATGTGTTCCTGCAGGGAAGGTCTGTGGTCTTGGACAGATCTTCCTGGTTCTCTGCTCACCATCTGTCTTTCTATCCCATGTGTCCTATCACATTTGAGAAAGACATAGGCACTTTCTCAGATGGGGACTTCTGTCCTCCTCCTGGAATGAAGAAATGGCAAAATGTTATTCCACTACCATGGTTAACATTTCATTGCTTTACTCATTCAACTGTGTGAGACTTTCTCTCTTTCAAAAAGCTGCATGAAATGATGGCTTCTTCAATTGTTCTGTTTCTTTGAAAAATATTTTTGACTATTATGTTTGGATAACTAAAAGCACAAAGACTGTTCTTGGTCTAGGCTCCAATACAAAACTAGTTATAGTCTTTGCAACATGAGAAAAAAAGTCTCAAGATGATTTCATTGCCTTTAGTACTAATACTGTTTGATTATAATAATTTCATTATAATTTCTCAGCATTCACAATCAATCTGTCTCTGCTCTACCTTAGAACATTCCAGAAATCAGTAGCCATGTAACAATTTCTCAAGTGTAATTTCAAGTGTTTGTGGATTATTTTAATATGTAACTTTCACATTTCTAACTTACTGTTTTTATACTGGGAAAAACCTATCAATCGAAGAAATAGAACTAATATACTTTGTACTTTTTGGACTTATGTAAATTTTATGATAGTTCTCATTACTTTTGCTCAAAGACACATTTTGAGCAAGATTTTTTCTTTCAGGAAAAACTAATGATGCAAGTATTGTAACTAAAATGGACACCTTTTATACCCTCTCCATACCCCAGGAATTAATTTTTAATGTTCACTGAATTCATACAGTATCTTCACTTTATATATATATCCTTATTTTGAGCAGTCACAGCTATCACCATTATGCTAATTTTAATACCTTTTTCTTTAGCATCAAAACCATCCAAGAGACCTAAAACCACTCCCAGACCAGATGCACCTCAAATCCAGCCTGGTAATCACTGCTTTCAATGAATTGATCTGTAAATAGGAAAACAGTATGTACGTGAAATTCATCTTCACATTCGCAGCTAAGCTAATTTTGGGACTTCTTCTTCTTCAGATTCAAAACCACCAAAGCAATTACTTCCTAAGCCCCAAACCACAGAAAAACCAGACACGCCACCAACTAAATCTGGTAAATGTAATTTTCAGTGCTTAAGCTCAACATTTTTACTGCAAACATTTTCGGCGATGTTTCCAACCTGTCATGTCATATAAAGCATAGAAACCCAAAGACCATGATTTTGTTCATTATCACATTGATGTTTTACACACTAAACGAAGAAATCCAGTGTGGTAAATTAGTAACTTTTACACCTGAATGACAGATTCCATTTTCTTAAAGCATTTTCAAGTCTTGTTTTCTGAACTTATAATAAATAGAAACCTGATTTTTCTGTATCTAAAACATTCTTTAAAGTGATTTTAGTAACCACTAGTAGACAGTTCACACAGAAGGCTGACACTGGTCTTTCTTTATAGGTACAGCTTGAAAAAAAGACCTGCTAGTTTGGATTGGCTCCCTCTAAAATACCCTATTGGCATTTTAAACAGTAACTATTGAGTGATTTTTTTTACCACATAACAATTCTGAAAATTTAATTTACAGAATTGAATGATTGAAACTTTCTCCTAAGATTCCAATTAATATAAAATTTTAATTTGCTAAGAGAGCAAGCATCTCTCATAAGCTTATCAAAAAGGGAATTTATATCAATTTAGAATAAACCAGGCTCTGTATCCTCTGAGTTTAGTGAGTACCTAAAAGCTTAGACTTTATTACTTATGTGTTTGTTTTTTATGATGCAGTCTTTGACCCTGTTCCATCCGAAACTGACGCTCCCTCACTGACCAGAGGTAATGACGTTTTCTTTCTTCTAGGCTGATATTTCTCTGGCCTTGCCCCTCTCATCTCTTGTATTCTCTTGTACGCGCAATTGTTACTCACCTAATTTTCATTCGTTTCTAAAAACGGTTTACTGTTGTCAACAAGGATCCTTTTAACATCAAGTTAGGCATTCCTGAATCTGCTGCCCAGCTCATAACACCTGGACATTATTCTTTCTTTGATCAGCTTTGGGGACATTCAGATGGCTCACAGCACTTTGATTCTGTCATGAGTCACAGATGTACTGTCCATCCTTCAAGCAAAAACATTTTTGAAATCTCTGCTACTGTGTGTGTAGCAAAGAAAAAGCTGGTTGGATCCTGTGATGCTACATAATTGTCTCTTTCTTGCAAAAGTCTTTTCTTCCTTGATTCCGTACTATTCCAGTGCATCTGGATCTTTCTGTTGCCAAATGTGTCTTGTGATGCTAATTTGCAAACAAAATAGAAATTCACTGGTTGGTTTGAAGGCAATTGCTTATAAATATAGCTTGTGTCCTGTTGTCCTGGCTTCCTCTTCTGTATGCCATTAGTTCAGAAGATGCTCTCAGATGTGGTTTAAACCAACTTCGTGCTATGATGTCTTGAGCAATCAGGGAAAGTCAGTCTCTGCATAAATGCTTAAGGGTTTTTGGTGATGAGATGCTTGAGGGTTACATTTAACCTTCTGGATTTAATGAAAAATAAATGGAGACTAATTTAGTAGCAAAAAGTTCAGATTCCTAATTAGTTTCATATCCATGCATAATCATTTCAGAATATTATAGAGATCCTATTCCTCCAGGCAAAAGGTTGAATTATTGTCTTTCTGATCATCTTTTTTCCTTACTTGGATAATTATTTCATGATTATCCATTTGAAGTAAATGAATAAATCAAGAGTAAGAAGCAATGCCATATTTATTAAGAAAAAGCAAGAGTTTATCTTCACTTAACTCTCTCAGATTGGCAAAGACATTTTCTAATTCTCCTCACAACCACCACCATCAAAACTAATAATGACGGTGAAAACCTTTCAAATGCCACAAGAAGCTTTTGCAATAATCTTTCAGAGTAATTTAAAATTACATATCCAACAACTGAGACTTTTTGGAGTTAAGTTTTGATACAGTCAGAGAATCACACACAGAAAAATACTTTTCATTGCCTTAAAGAGATGCACATGGCAAAGGCTGTGGCTATTTTGTGAGGTAAATGGATGGGAGAGGATGGCCAATAACTAGAGAAAAAAATTCTATTTTCCCAGAGTTTAGAAATGTTTTACAAACATTACAGGCCTTGCAGGGTTAAGAAGAATCATTTTCAAGATAATTTTCTTTTTCTATACTTCTTAATCTCCATCACTTATTGCCTTTGGTTAGTTCCTGCCACAGACATTGAACCTGTAACTCTGAGACCTGAGGCTCCAGTGACAACACTAGGTAATGACCTTTCACATCTTTAAGCCTGTGCTGCTTCTGCTGGTCACCCAGTCTATTCCATCTTCGTATGTGTCAGGGGTTTTCTCTTTCATAAGATTTTTTTCAAGCTCTTGTTACTCAACTGTGTTCTTCATTTAGAATGTATTGAAGATGCTTAAAATAGTTACTTGGATATAAGCCTATAGACAGCTAGTGAAGAACATCAAACTCCCATTTTTCTCATTATCCAGTTTTATTTATGCTCTACACAGCCTATGATTCTGCCAAAGTGGTGTTCTATATTCAAGCTCAATTTCAAATACAATTGAAAGTTTACGTACCATAGACATGAATTATAATTCTATAGGCACCTCGCTTTCTGTTGTATCAAAATATGCAGGGCATTTTTATTGTCTCCCAACTATTCTAGGAAATGAAATGTGCTTGTCCTAATGATTTTAATGGAATGTATGCCTAAGCCGGGTAATTTCTAAGTACACTCTCCTAAAAGCACGTGAGCCTGCATCCCTCTCTAATGTGACATCAACATAGCTCCCTAGGGTTAAGGCCCTCTTAACACATGTACACACTCACATATACATATGTGTGTGTGTGTATATGTGTGTGCATAGGTATTTTTTTGCATATAGATGACCAGAAGAAAATTCTAAACCAAAGAGACAAATTTCTCAAGACTCAAGAAAACCTAGGAAAATTTTAGAAAACCTAGGATCATGTGCAATCTTTTCTTCAGTTTCTGGAGTCGTAAGGCCACAATAACCAGTTTCCTTTCTTTAGCTCCAAAAACATCGCAACGAACAAGAACACGCCGTCCCCGTCCCAAACATGAAACCACACCACGCCCAGAGACACCTCACACCAAACTAGGTAAATAATATGCGGTTCTTGTTCCCTCTGGAACCTCGTTGGATATGACCACCTAGTAACTCCTATAACCCTTAAGGGTAAAGATCTAAGTTATGGGAAACACCTGGTACCAGCAGGATGCTGTGGCCAATACCTGCGATTTCCCTGGTGCCCGGGTATTCTATTTGCATCTCTGAAGGTCAATTACATTTTTCCCTTTGGTTCTGGCTCAGCAAAAACTTAAGTAGTTAGGTATCCAGTTACCATATTTAGTTCAGTTTGTCTTGCATTTTATTAAATGCCACATTTGCATCTGTAAGAAATGTTTTAGAAATGACTCAGCTTAGTTGAAGGAGGAGGATGCTTTTGTATGAAACTGTTCATAGATATAAAAGAAGGTGGAGAAAAGTAAATATTTATCGAGTTTTACCAACTGCTAGGCACATTGTTAATTCTTAGAGAAGAAAAAAAAACCCGTGGGCCAATAAATGTATTATGGACCTTGAAATCTGTGGAGTTTGTAGATTTGTTGGTTGCTAAGCAGGAATCATACAGAGGCAAGAAGGTGTGTAGGCAGCAGCAGCAGGACAGGAGTTAGAAGGGCGGCCTGGTTATGAGAAAAGCAACATTTCTTTAGCTGGACTGTGGCGCTATTTGGGGGTGGGTCTACAAAGAGCACCTCCACTGTCTGACTTTAGTGACTGTAGCTGAACCAGTGCGGGCAGCATGCTCGCCTAGCTTCAGGGTCAGTCTTTTTCTGTCCTGATAACAGAGAGGTGCACCCACAACTTTAGTGGGATTAATGACCTTCTGTGTCCAGCTCTCTGTACACCTGTGTTTGGACAAAGTTTGGACTTTTTTTTCGGAAAAAGTCTTGGCCTTTTTCCAAAGTGGGCTCTCGACAAAGTAGAGCATTGTCTATTTTGGGTATTCGTCACTGTGTCTGTTTAAATACATCAATTGCATCTATCGTGACAGAGTGCTTTATTTTGTAGTCTGTAGTGTTCTACAGTGTTATTAGAAATTGTGCTTTCACATTCTTTTCTCATAATCGTTCAGTATAATGTTATTAAAAGCTGCCTGAAGATGTTTCTAAGCAGGCCTTTCTACTATAACATGAGATAATATCAAAACAAGAAAAACTGGTAGCTAACAATGTAGAGACGCTAAGGATGTGTTGATTTCATAAGAACCAATACCTATGTGCCCTCACTTGAGAACTTCAAAATGTTGCTTGTTGGCTGCAGAACCAACGCAACAATGGTGAAGTTAAGTTTTTTCATTTTTAAGAGGATTTGAGGACTTTTCTCTTGTGCTTAATATTTATTTTTTAATTGCTTTTGACCATTTTTTGCAACAGACTTTGGACCTGTTACTCCTGGAACTACTTTAGGTAATGACACTTTATGACCTTTGGCAAGTGCTTTTCCTCACTTGTTGTCAAACTTAGCTATGGTGCTGTACAGATGATTGTCACCTCTCTCTTCTTATCCTTTCCTTGTATTCATTTTAAAATATTGAAGGCTTTCTTACTTTTTAACAAAAATGAGCATGGGCTTAATTCAAGATAGCTGTCTTCTCTGTGTCCCAGCCTAGAGCTGTATCATGTCAGTCTGAGTCTCTGAAAGGTACTGTTTGTTAGAGCCACGATCCCACTATGATTTCTCACGTTCCTTGTTTAAACTGCCCAAACAGTATCAGTTTCTTTAAGCATCTTACTTTCTATATTTCAAGCCTATAGAACTTTTGTATGTTTCTGTGAATTTTATAAAACTTATCCTAATAAATTAGTAAGTGGAAAATTTGCCCAAGCTTAATTATCGCAAATGATCACTGTAGGGTGGATTTGACCCTCTCTCAACCATCAGAGTTGATCAGTGATTTGTACCCAGCTTGTGATTCAAGACATGGTCAAGAAAAGGATAGTTCCCAATCTTCTTTGTATGTAAAATTTTTGTCTCCAGAGAACTTTCAATTATCAGAGAAAACCTATGAGTATACAAAAGGAGAAAATTTCAAACCAAAGAGACAAAGTGTCTTCAACTCAAACTCTAATAAATTTTTGAAAACACAGAGCTGTATTCTATCATCCTGTTCACAGTCTATGGAGCCATCAGTACCATATTAATGCTAAATTTTCTTCCTTTAGCTCCAGCAATAACAAAAAGAACCCGTCGTCCACGTCCCAAACCTAAAACCACACCACATCCAGAAGTATCTCTCACCAAATTGGGTAAATATGTGGTTTTTGGTTTAAAAATATCTGGCTAGTCTACCCCAGTTGGAACTCTAAATTCTAGGCCCATCTAGGATATGGGCACATGTCCTATCTCTCTCATAGGAGTAAAAACTACTTGTTAGTGAGGAGAATGTGAGATAGCTGAGGACCTCTTCTTCCTTCTTAGGAATTCTCAATTAATGACTATTTGACTTACTTTTCTTGCTATTTGATTTCTTGCTATTTGATCTATGTTTTAAACTAAAGCTGTAAAACATTGAGCAAGCACAGTTAGTTCACATCAACTACTTTTATTAAGTCCCCTCTAATTTCCCAAAGCCATCTTAGTCCATATAACAGACACAGGAGGTGTGTTTTGTTTCCCAACCTATTTGCACTGTAATTGCAAACAAAAGCCATAACCAGGTAGAAAGCTACATAAGGCAGCATGTTTGTGCACATATAAATGATCTCTTGCATAGTACAAGTGCTATATGCTAGGAGCATGGAAAATATTTAGAAGATGAAAGACTTGAGATAATTAGGAATAAATCAGGACAGAAATTGGATGAGTAGAGGGATAAGGGAACAGTGACAAGCAGGGAATGTGTTTTAGCTGGCTCCTCAAAGGGTAGCTTCTTGACACACTTCTATTAGTGGCCCCGCAGGATGAGTTAAAGAGGGCTGGGATGTCTCAACAAGAGCTTACATCTGACCCAGTGGGCGTTAGTGATTCCTCCTTCTGCACAGGACCATGCTTTTGCGATTCTTAGAACCAAAGATGTCCAGCCCAGTGATAGCAAACACTGAGAGGAGTTCTTCATCTTATTAAGGACTGCAGTATTCACAGCAGACTCAGCCGCTTCCTGAGTGTAGTCTCAGCTTACTTTTGGCCATCTGTTAGTATGTGTGGTGGACATACCCCAGTGTGATCCCTACAATTTCCCTTGGGCAACACCTTTGTACAATCCGTCCTCTCCCTCTCCTTTTGCCCTCCCTTCCTCCCCTCTCCCTCCCCTGCACTAGCATGGCACACTCACACACATGCATGTGCACACATATACCTAATCCAGGCAGTGACAGCCCATCATCTTTGCCTTATTCTATTGGTTAGAAGCAAGTTGGAGGTCCAGTGCACACTTTGGAGGGGATTACACAAAAATGTTAATACCAGGAGGTGGAAATTCTTGGGGATCCACAAAGGGTCTGTCTGCCACACTGGATTTACATTCAAACATATGAACTGTTTGTTGTGTCTGTCATTATTGATCGCTGTTTATAACTGGCTTTTGTTTTTAGTTTCTACAAAAGCACTAGTTGTCTGTACCATGTGTTTTCCTAAGAAAATGACTAACCAGGTTTTCTAGTGTAGACATATTTATGTTAGCTCATGTCAGATAATTAACCAACAATACATCTTACTCTTGACTTCCGTGAGATGTTCAGCAGAGCTTACAGGCTGTGCCCGCCTATCTTCTGAAAGAAATGAGTCTCTGGTTAAAGTTTGGAGAAATATTCAAAGAAAAAAAGTACATTCACTTATTGAGTTAAGAATATTAAAAATTAACTTCGCAGTCTTAGACGCCTTATTCTTTACTGGTAAGGCGAATTTTCTGGCATTTCATATATTCATAAAATTTCATTGGTTTCTTTTATTACTCTTTTGATCAGTTCCTGACACAACCCTCGAACCAGTTCTTAGAACTGAGGCTCCAGGGACGACAGTAGGTAATGGTGCCTTACATCCATCAGCATGAGCTTCTCCTGATCATTCCAACCCATCTTATCATCCTCATAACCACAGCTTCTCCCCTTCACAAGACTGCTGTGTCATCCTCTGTCATTCAATTACTTCTTAATGTATTGGAGAGTATTAAAAACAATGTCTTATGTTTTTAAGAGTCGAGCATGAATTTAGTCCAATTTACATATCTATAATACCTTTGAATTTGTCATGACTTGCTCCCATGTAACATTTCATCACATTCTTTGTTACTGAGTTTCAAACATAATCACTATGGGGGTGGGAATAAGGGTTTCTATCCCTGATCTCGGCTGAGGAAATTGGCACGGCTATGACGGTGTAATATCTAAATTCCTGCGTTCTTACTATCTGCATGATTTTGTTTTTGTTTTGCCACTTTAGTTAATGATGCAGTCTTGTTTTAGCAAGGAGTAAAGTAGAAAATATGCCAAAGCTGGTAAATTTAAATTGTAAGCAACACCATGAGTATGAAATCTCCCGCAGCTCCCCCATAACTCGGCAAGGTCTGGGGACTTTTCTTTTCATTCAAGAATCCCTGTGAGAAGCTCCTTGAAATATTTTTGGTATATCAATTCATGTTTCTGTATGATTTTCCTTCTTTAGAGAACCATAAATGATATAAAGAGGTACATTATCAAAATTGGAGTGAATATTTCTTTTTATTTGGAGATAGGTCTTATTATGTTGCTCTCGGTAGAGTGCCATGGCGTCACAGCTCACAGCAACCTCAAACTCTTGGGTTCAAGTGATTCTCTTGCTTCAGCCTCCTGAGTAGCTGGGACTACAGGCACTTGCCACCACGCCCAGCTATTTTTTGCTTGCAGTTATCATTATTGTTTAGCAGGCCCAGCTCGGGCCTGAACCCGCCAGCTTGGGTGTATGTGGCCACCGCCCCACTCACTGAGTTATCAGTGCCAAGCCAGGAACGAATATTACTAACTTGATTTTCTGAAACTCAAATTATAACAGTATAATCTTTTCCACAGCTTCTGGAACCCCAAACACTGTATTAACACGAGATTTTCTTCCTTCAGCTCCCACAGTGCCTCAACGAACTGGTCCTCCACATCCCAAACCTAAAACCTCACCGAGTCCTGAAGCACCTCAGACTGAACTGGGTAAATGTGGCATCTTGCTCCCAGGTTCCCCGGGGCCTTGCTCCTGGGGGGCCCAAAGATAGCAAAGGGGCAAGTCAGAGTCAGCAGCTGATTCTGTGTTTTTATAAATTTGTAATGTTTCAGTGGGGTTCTTTTATTATTTTTGCCAGTTCCTGCTACAGTCTTTGAAGCAGTTTCTCCCATAAAAGAGGCTCCAGACACAACATTTGGTAATGTCACTTTCTGACCTTCAGCAAGGAGTTTTGCTGCTCCTTGTCCAGCTCATTCCATTCTCTGTTGCCATCCAGTTCCGGTGTTCATTTTATGAAGGTTCAACATGCATGAAACAAGTTACTGGTGTTCATAAGAAAGCCAGGCCTAAGTCTAGCGTGGGATGTCTTCCTGCTCTGTAACTTACTGAAAATGTGTGTGTGTGTGTGTGTGAGAGAGAGAGAGAGAGAGAGAGAGAGACTTTGCTTTTGGCTTCATCGAAGTTCTCTGTTAAAGTAAATTTTGTATATCCTTGGTAGCATCTGACACTGGTCTATACTAACCAGGCTGTACACAGAAGTTTCTCTATACACCCTCTGTGCATCTACCTTTTTTGTCTGCCTTTTATTTTTGCTGTTCTGTTAATATTTGGTTAATCTGTTTTTAGTGAATTATCTAACAACAAATGTGATCGAGGCTAATAAGTTTAAATAATAAGCCCCATTCTTCATGTGATACTGATTCCCTCTAGTTGCCGTCATAGTTTAAATTATTATTTTGTGGGGGGAGGACAAATAGAGTCTCACTCTGTCCCCTGGGCTAGAGTACAGTCATCATTGCTCACTGTAGCTCAAACTCCTGGGCTGGTCTCAAACAATCCTCCCACCTCAGTCTCAAAGTATTTGGGACTACAAGTGTGTGCCACCATGCCTAGCTGGTTTTTCTAGGTGTTGGAATGATGAGGTCTTGCTGTGTTGCTTAGGCTGGTCTTTAACTCCTGGCCTTAAGATACCCTCCCACCTCTGCCTCCCAAAGTGCTGGGATTACAGGTGTGAGCCACCACACTTGGCCTAGATAATGTTTCACCTTTTAAATCCAGAGAGGAACTCTAGGAGAATGAATCAAAAATACCAATTCTGACTCTCTGAATTAATAATTTCATTAAAAATGTCAATTGTGCACTGAGCTGTCTTCAATAACAGAAGATAAAATAGCATAGAAGAAGAAAACATTTAGAAAGATATATTTCCTAAGGAAATTGTATCAAGAAAGGCAATTTCATGAAAATTGTGTCAAGCTTTGGAAAATTAAAGATTTTTTTAATGCCCATGATTTGTAGAACTATATGCTTTAAAATAACTAAAGGTTATCATTTTTCTGCCTCCAAAAACCTCCCAATGGACATACCATTCACAGCACAAATTTAAAACCACTGCATGTCCAGCTGTACCTGAGACTGCACCAGGTACACACAGGGGCCTTTGCCTTAAGAAGCATAGGAACCTGTTACTATTGTAGCCCACACTCTCCCTAGTGAGGGAGGCCTGAGGGTTTTTATACTCCAGGGTTGGCATATTCATGTTTAGATGAGACCTGTAGGATCTTCCCTCTGACTGCTGAGTAGAAGGCTTTACTTTTTAGTTTGCTGACTAGTTGAGCACAAAATCATTTTGTGCATAAATCCTTGATGTCTCTTCCTTTTCATATAAGGCCATCAGTCTTACCAGATTAGGGTCCTGCCCTTATGACCTCATGTAAACTTAAGTGTTTCTTTAAAGTTCCTGCCTCCAAACGTAGTCACTTTAGGGGTTAAGGCTTCAACATATGAATTAGGAGGAAAATATAATTTGTTCCATACTGCCCTTTACCCAGAAATGTTAAAAAAAAAATTAGTCTAGAGGAAATGGTACACTAACAACATTATTGCTGTAGTTCATATTTTTAAGGAAAAAAATGCTTTTTGTTGGACAGGCACAGTAGTTCACATCTATAATCGTAGCACTCCAGGAGGCTAAGGCAAAAGGATTACTTGAGCTCAGGAGTTGAAGACCAGCCCTGAGCAAGAGCAAGAACTTGTCTCTACTAAAAAAAAAAAAAAAGAAGAAGAAGAAGAAGAAGAAAGAAAAAGAAAAGAAAAATTAGTGCTGTGGTGGGCACCTATAGTCCCAGCCACAGAGGAGGCTGAGGCAGGAGGATCACTTGAACCCAAGAGTTTGAGGTTGCTGTGAGCTAGGCTGGGTAGGCACTCTAGCCTGGGCAACAGAGAGAGACTCTGTCTCCAAACCAAACAAACAAAAACAATAAAACCAGAAAACCTCTTTTGTTTATTTTATTACTTCAGTTCCTGTTACAGACTTTGAACCTGTTACTTTTCAACCCGAGACACCTGGGACAACCGTAGGTAATGACCCTGCCATTTCCAGGCTATTCACTGAGTGCTTTTGCTGTTCCTTGTGAAGTCTGTTCCGTCTCCTCCCCTATTACATTGCTTTTGTCCTCTATGAGATGGCCAACATCATTTCCTTTTGCCTTTCAATCATCTGAAAAATACTGAAGCCACTTAAAAACAAGTTCCCTCTTGTTTTTATGCCCTCCAGGCGTGAGCTTCATTCAGAGTGTTTGCCTGCCCTATGCGTCCTTGACATTGTTGTATCACCTTGTGCTTCGTTTAGCAGTGTTTGGTGTAACACTATTTAAAACAAATTGGGATCCATTTCTTATCAAGGCTGCACATCCATGTTTCTACATGTAGAAAGCTATTTGCACGATATGTTTGCATCTTTGTTGGTGCTTTAAGTAATGATATATCTTATTACTAATTTGACATATAGGAAGTTACTGAAATCCGGAACTTTAACTTCTAAGCCTCTTCCTTAATATGACTCTAACTTCTTCTTTCCTTTCCCTGGACACTGTCTCAGTCATTTTTCTCCCAGTGAGGAATTCTATGGTTTCTCAATACAAGTGTTAATATTCATGCTTTGGGTGAGCGACTCAACTCTATACACATTTATGAATTTGTCCCTAAAGTACTTTCAACAATAAAAAGAAAGCAGATTGGCATAAAAGAAGTGAAAAAGTAAAACTAAAAAGTCAATTCCTTAGAACTTTAGAAAATCTGACAAATTTGGGGAAAACCTCTCCTCATTATCCAGTAAGACCTAGATTAACACAAGGCTTTTTTCTTCAGCTACAAAACCATCTCAAAGAACCCGTCGTCCTCGTCCCAGACCTAAAACCACACCAAGCCCTCAGGCACCTCAGACCAAACCGGGTAAATGTGTGATCTTGTGGTTTAAGGGTGAGCCCTGGCAGCCTGTCCTGGGGAACCCAAATCAGTGCCCATGGTGGGCGGTAGGAGGAGGGCATGAGGCCTGGGTGGGAGCCTCTCCTCTACCCTGCTGTCCAGGAGGATATGACTGGGCGAGACCTGACTGGTACAAGAATATTGTATTTTTCTATATGAGACTCTTCTTTGAAACTATATATGTAGCATATTCCTTACTATCAAATTCCATTTGTATAGTAAAGGTAAAACTTCTTTAGCAGAGCCAACAAGTTCAGTTCAACAGAGTCTAAGTCCCTTGTACATTCCTGTTCCCACAATGGTGACCTTGGGAATGAGTCTCCAGCTGTAGGAGACTCATTCTAATTTGAAAATAGTAAAGTTGAGGACGTGCTTGCTGAATACAAACATGTAGTAATGACTAGGGAAGGAGAAGACCAAGGTGGGCTGGACTTGGACATTGGGCCCACTATAGGATTTAGGTGAATGGAGGGAAGAATGAACCGAGGCAGAAGGGCTGAATGTGTGTGAGGGTCGGCCAGATGGCAGTCCAGTCTAGATGGACTGCTTTCTAGATGGTCAGAATATGGCTGTTGATGCTGCATTTGGAGGGGATGTCAAGACAGTTGAAGGAGGAGTTTGAGGACCTGATTCAGGAACTTAGATATGATACAGAGATATCAGGAGTCTTTGATGGCCACTCTTTTGGAGTTGAGGGCAAATAGCTGTTCTACTGGGCATTACAGACTGAGGGACCATCTTTGTGGGGCCCTCTTACTACCATTGTTTGGACAGTGGTCTCAGACTCTGACTTCCTGGCAAAGTCAAAATAGTTCACTTTGATGATTAATTTTTATATTCATTTCAAACTTATAAACTGTCTATTACATCCATATTTACTTATACATAACACTCATGTTCAGAAGTACATGGGTTTTTTATATAATTTCTTTCTGCATGTATATTAGGTAAATTTATTAAAATATTTTCCAGAGCTGAATTTTCCCTATAGGTTAGTACTCATTAGTTAAAGCCATGGAAAATTTGAGAATTCTCATTTAAGAATATTGAATTCTTTGAGTTATTTAAGATAGTTTAAAAGCTTGAGTGGCACCTGTGGCTCAAGGAGTAGGGTGCTGGCCCCATATACTGGAGGTGGTGGGTTCAAACTTGGCCCTGGCAAAAAACTACAAAAAAAAAAAATAGTTTAAAAAGCTAAGGCTAAGATGGACCATACTATGAGTTTGGCCAAATATTTTTCTTTTTTTTTTTTTTTTCAGTTTTTGGGCAGGGTTGTTTGAACCCATTACCTCTGGTATGTGGGGCCGGCGCCCTACTCCTTGAACCACAGGCGCCACCCTGGCCAAATCTTAAAATAACAAAAATGTATGCATCCCTTTAGTGAAGAAGTTAAAATTTTTCCTTTTTTCTGTAGAAGAATTGATACTATTAATTTTTTTTGTCATGTGAATGCTCTAACTTGTCATATTTTAAAATCTCTTTGGGTTATTGTGTTTTTGATCAGTTCCTGCTACAGTTCTAGAACCTGTAACTCCTATGCCCGAGGCCCCAGGAACAACATTAGGTAATGACAATGCACTATTTTTTCAACAAGTCTTTTCCTGCTTATTGTCAAACCCAGAGTTTCAGTTTGTTTCAGATGATACCAGTATCATTCTTTGTGGTAATTTGATTATATTATTTTTAAAATTATCTGTTGTTTTTAAAAGAATCAATCATGCATGAACCTACTTGAGGGATATATTTGCCATATAACCTACTTGAAATTGCGTCATGTCCTTCTGTATTTTGTTTAAGCAGCATTTGTGATAAAGCAGTCTTTCAAACATATCACAGGTCTCTATCTCCTGTCTAGACAAGTAAAGTCATTACCAGCTTTCCCAGAGCCAAGAGGATCCATTGCTTATCTGTATTTCTACCATTTTTCTACCTGCGTAGTATTTTATTATTTTATTCCTATGAAGGTAATAATACATTCTTAATAGTTGTATAGAAAACATGCCAAAAGTCAAAAGATTAAATTATAAATTCCAGCCTTTGTGGGACTGTCCTTCATTATCCATTCAAATTAAGCAATGGTCTTTGTGATGCCCAGTCAAGCTGCCTTGTGAGACTTTGATTATAATTTCTCGTCTTTATTTCTTGAATTAAAAAGTGATTTTGGTCTTCAAAGAATTGTCTGTGATAAAAGAAGATCTAAGTGCTTTTATCTAAACTAAAGAGGCAGCCATCTAACAAGCTGTAGACGGTCTGGAGTCCTGTGTTCATCCCCCACAGATTCCAGGACCACCGATGATGAAGTTATATAGTAACTTGAGAATTTCTTCCTTCAGCTTCCAAAACATCACAACGGATGCGTCGTCCACGTCCCAGACAAAAAACCACCCTGAGTCCTGGACTACCTGAGTCCAAACCAGGTAAACCATGTGTTCCTGGTTTAAACCGTCCCAGCAGCCTAACTCAGTGGGTCTTGAGTGTAATCACAGTGGTTGGGAGTAATGAACAGGCCTGCAATGAGAGTAATCACATGGTCAGCAACAGGTCCCACTGCAGAGGCAGTGGTGGGACAGCAGGGGGAGGTCTGTGGAGCAAGCAGATGCTTTCTTCTGCTTGTGTGCAATCTTCTCTATCATTGTGCATTTTATTAACTCCTATTTAGCTCTCGAAAATAAAACTTCTTTAGAAAATTTAGGTATATTTGGTGCAAATCAACAAACATCTATAAAATGATTTCTGTGGCCTCCAAATCCTATTAGTACCTTTGGGTATATATATCAGGTGTGGGAAACATGGTTTAGTCCTCAGACCTGCAAAATAATTGAGAGCAGAAGGCTTTCCTTTATAAATAAGGTAAAGGATGACACGAGGTGGTCTCTATGTAAACACAAGATTGGTTTGGGTGTGTTACCAACAAGATCTGCTAGATACATAAATATTTGGAGCAGGGAAAAAAGGATTAAGAGAGAGCTAGAACCTTGAAATCTCTGTAGAACGTGGATTAGTAGAAAGGTGGAAAGAATATAATCAGAAAGAAGAAATACAGGTAGATGCCAACCAGAGGAAAGAGTCTAACTGGAAAACTGACGTACAGGTATCTTACTTCAAGGCAGTAGTCAAAACCTTTCTGCATCTCACTGGGTCCACAGATACCCATGGTGGAGAGACTTAGGTGCTTGATGGAGTGGTGAGATTTAAAGTGGTGGACATCAGCAGGTTCTTCTTTCCCTTGAAGGCGTGCTGTTTCCTTACTTGGAATGGAGGGATACCCTGCTTGATTCATCATGCTCAGGCCTCAGCCTCTTTCCAAAGATGAGTTCTTAGCAATAGCTGTATGGTCCACTTTGGCTTATTAATTCAATAATCAAAAAATGAGGAATAAGGATATAGATACCTGATTTAGCTATGGCCCAATTTTAGGAAATGAACTGTCTTCTCTTAGTTTAACAGTTCTTAATAGTTGTTTTATAATTCTATAAACCATGTCATACTAGTAAGATTAATTATGAAGAAAAATTTTTGGATTTTTTGTTCATTTAAAACACTTGGTTTATTTTAACGCTTTTGGTCAGTTCCTACCGCAGAGTTTGCACCTGCTACACTCAGAACTGAGACATGGGTGACAACACAAGGTAATATCGGTGTGAGCCTCAGTGTTCCTTCCATCGTCAAACCCATTCCATCCCCATCATAGCCACAAATTCTACTGCTTTGTAAAACTCTGTTATAGGCATCTATTGTCATTCCATGATGTTCTTCATCCTAAACTCTTGACTCTTAAAACAAGTTGCCCCTTGTTTTTAAGAGAGCCATGCATGGACCTAACTCGAGTTGTCTGTTGGGCATGTAACCACCCAAAATTGTCTTTTCATCTTGTGTGTTTATTAAGGAACGTTTTACTAAAAGTAGCTTTGAAAAGTAATTTTTGAACGTAACAATTGTTATGGTTACAGGGAGTTTCTAAAGTTCTATTTCTGTATGCTATCTGTGTGGTATTGGTTCTTTGATTGGTATTTTAGTTAATTATATCGTCTTATTTTAGTAAACTGTCAAAAGAGCTTGGAACTGAACACTGCCAGCAGCAGCATGATATTTTAGCAGTGATTCTTAACCTTTTTATGTGAGGAGCCCTATTAACTATTCTTCTCTTCATGAGTTAATCACTTCATTTTACATATGACACATCCTCCTAATGAGCTTTCCTCTGTCAAAGGAGACATGCGATTATAATAAAGGTGAATGTTTCTGATTAAATACTTGAGATAAATTTCCTGAAATATCTGAAAATCTAAACAAGTTTTTAGAAATCTAGAGTCACGTGTCATGCTACCCTTAGCTTCTGAACAGCAGGCTCTGTTGTAACTGAAGGTTTTCTTTCTTCAGCTCCTAAAACTTCAAAACGAACCCGACGTCCACGTCCCAAACCTAAAACCACACCGAGTCCGGAGGCTCCTCAAACCAGACCGGGTAAATGTGGATTTCTGGTAACAGGAGCACATCCTAGCAGTTGCGGGGAATCCGTGACTAATGCATGTACGGGAGTGATGGCCCTTGTGAGCCTTATGTGGGTGAAGGCATACAATGATCTGCGTCCACTATTGAGTTAGTAAAGGATAACACAGTTGGGGGGGGTGGCAGCTGAATTCCTGTGCTTTCTACACAGGGGTCTTTTACTGTATATCTTATTTTCTACTTATTTCATTCAATTCTTAAAGACAAGCTAAAAACAAGCATTTTTTATTTCTAGAAACAAACATTAAGTGCCTTCCATCTTCCCACAGCCACAGCAGTAGTGAGGATATCCCAGGAGGAGGGGGCAGCTTATTTTTAATGCCCTGCTTTGTAGTATCCTCAGGGCCAAATCCTGTCCCAGGAAGAACTATCCAAAGATTGAAGCAGGCCAGCATGTCTGTGCAAAGCAGACTTGGGTTGGGGTGTGCTATAAACATCTGTGAGCTTAGAGGAAGAAAAGTTTGTGAGAAACAGAAATAAAGAATTAGGAGGAAGTTGGGTTTTAAAGTTTAGAGATGAAAGGACGTGTCAAGGCCAGTTGGAGGGCCCAGGCTGCCTGAAGCATGAAAGATTCCATGTGTGATGACAGTGCTGCATTGGGAAGAGTCTGTAACAGCAGTTGAAGAAAGCCCCTAAAGATATGGCTCAACACTACAGCTGATGCAAAAAGCATCAGCGATCTCTTCAGTCTAACACTGCCCTTTTGTAATTAGATCATGGAGCTACTCTACTGGGTACCACAAAGTGATTGTTCCTTCCTTATCCCGATTTGTTGAGTGCCTTTGCCTCCAGTGAGATCTCAGCCTATTTCTAAATATGAGTTCCCAGCAAGCTGAGCCTGGTTCCCTTTGTTGTTGTTTGGTTGTTTTTTTGTCTGTTTGTTTTTGTTTTTGTTTTTTTCTTTCTGTTTCCTCTCAAACAGAAAAGCTACTGATTGTGTCCATGCTCATTTAGACATGATTTTTTTTAAAGCTCCCACAGAAAAGCCACCCATTGCCAAGGCAGATAAGTGTATATTTGGTAAAATATCTAAACAACTTTCTAAAGCAGTTTTCTCCAGTGCCTAGAATTAGGAAATTAGATACACAGAATAGTGAGTTGGGTTTTGAGATACTTACCAGATTGTGTGAGCTGTGACTGAGTGCCTCTTAAAAGCTTCTTTACCTAGCTATAAGGTGACCAGATCTTTAAATAATAATACATTTCATAAAATATCTTAAAATTGGCGTACACCTATTGTAGCATTAGACTGGTAAGATTTAATTGACTGATTTTGACAAGTGTTCATTTCATTGCTTTTAATTAGTTCCTGCTACAGATCTTGAACCTGGTCCTCTTAGAACTGAAGCTCCAGAAACCATGGGTAATGAGAATGCATGTCTTTCAAACAGAGTTTTTCCTATTCCTTGTCATAGCAACATAGTCACAGGTTTTTCTGCATCTTCCGACCATCCCATTGTCCTTTGTTGCCATTCCATTAGTCTTTGTCTTGAAACTATGCTAGGCCATATGTCAAGTTACTAGTTACATTTAAGAGAGCTGCATGAACTAACTTCAGGACATCAAACCTCTCTGTAACTGCTCAACTTTGTCTCATATGATCCTGGGCATTTGTTGAAACAGCACTGATTAACTATTTTAAGCTGTATTTCAAATGTGACTCTCCATCATCCCCTCATTTACGCTGCTTATCCCTCATCAACTGTGGAAATACAGTGTTTCTTTGCTCATGTTATTTTTTGTTGTATTAGGATCTGTATGATATAGTAGTGGATTTGTTGTTTCAAGGAATGATGTTTTCAGTAAATTGTCAAATTTTAAAACATGCCCCCATTTTGAAAGTATACATTATAGGTTCCTGTGGTAGGGTAAACTGACTCTTTCCCCTCCTTGAACAGGGATTATACCAGCACTTCTTAACTTTGATTTAATCAAGAACTACTTTGATATTTTGATGAGCACAGTGCAATAATTATTCATTACTCTTTATGCTTTCAAATATGTGACATCTTTGTTGTACCCATAATGACTTAAATAGCAGGCCAAGACAGCAGAAATGTTTATGTAAGTGTGTAAACAGCTTGTCCAGCAGTTTTCTACATCAGCAAGGAGCAGATAGTCAAACATCTAAGAGGATGCCATGTGACCCCTTAGGGAGACGTAGCTGAGTGCCATCCTGTCTTGGAAGTGTGTTTGAGATTAACGGGAACCCTGGCCAGGGTTTGGCCAAATCTACAAAGGACAAGTGTCATTTTTCTCTCAGTTCTGAAGCTTAAAATTGACTTGTGAAATTCATCTTCGAGTAAATTTGTTAAATCTCTTTGGTTTATTTTATTATTTTTTTGGCCAGTTCTCACTGCAGTCCTTGAACCCATCGCTTTTAGAACTGAGGCTCCAGAAACAACATTAGGTAATGAAATTCCATGTTCCTCAACAATTCTTTCCTGCTTATTTTCAAACCCATTCCATCATCATCATTATCATCACATTGTCATCAGCTATATGAGACTATCTTGTCATCCTCTGCTGTCCTTCAATGTCATATTGCTCCAACGCCACTTGCACTAGAATAATCCAAAATTTCTTCCTTTAGCTCCTAAAAAACAACGAACACGTCGTCCACGTCCCAGACCTAAAACCACATCAAGTCCTGAAGTATCTCGAACAAAATCGGGTAAATGTATGATTCTGTGCTTTGAGGGGTGAGGCCTAGCAGCCTGTCCCAGTGGGACCTAAGGCAGTGGCTGTCATGGGAGGTAACTGTCATCACGTTCTCTAAGAATCAAGTTATATGGCGTGCTTAGATGCTTCCCCTAGAAAGCTATCTGGGAGAACATGGGCTGGGGAAACGCGTGTACCTGATCGCTTAAACGGCTTGGTTTGGATGAAGTTCTTGGTCTCTCTTTAAAGATATGTTTACAGGAAGACTGGCATAGTCACTTATGATTATTTATTGCTGTATCTACATTGAAACATATGAGCTATTTGTTGTAGCCATGATTATATGTGTAAGCAGGTGTTTTGCTCAACTTCCAAGAAATGTAACAAGTTACTTTTATATATACGTACATATATATATTCATATTATATATGCGTATTACATATATGCATATTATATATGTGTATTTTACATACATATATATTCATATATGTTGACTGAACATATTTCCAAAGCAAACTTCCATATTAGTTATAATCGGAAAACCAAATACCTGAGAAAACCTCACATGGGTAGTGCTAAGCCCCTCGGCGGAGTGCAAGTTTTATGACTCCTTCTATGATTGTTTGTGGCAAAATCTTTAAAAAGCAACTATTTGCTTCCAAATTCCAAAGTAGAAAAATATATATTGTGAAACTCATGTTTTAAAAGAAAAACTAGTAGTTTTCATGTGTATTTAAGCTTCCTTGTGTTCATGCTGTTGCTTTTGATTAGTTCCTGTTCCAGGCTTTGAACCTGTTATCCACAGTACCAAGGCTCCAAGCTTAACATTAGGTAATGATTTTTGAGTCTTTCCTTGAATGCTTTTCCCTACTGGTTAAAAACCCTACTCCATCACACTCATGACCAGAGCTGCTCCTGCTTCCCGAGACTGCTGTGGCCGTTCTATTTTATACTTCATCTTATAAGTAGGCAGAAATCTTAAGTCAAGTGTTACCTATTGTTTTGAACAGATGTCCCTGGATCCAGGAAAGAGCATCCATCTGCCATGAACCCTCATTAAAACTGCACCATATGATTCAGTGTTAAATAAGAGGTCCAAATTTTTCCCTTTCTATTTGATATTTAGATCTGTAAGGCAGCAGCAATTAAGTACCACAGACTCCCTCTGAGTAATTTACTTTCTATAAGATTTACGTGCTATTCTCATTATTCTCTTTTATTTTAAAGAATAAAGTGTTCCTATTAACAACAGCAAAAAGTGTTTCCCTGGAAGTTCCAGGCTCCCCAGTCAACACTGAGCTAGAATGTTCTTCACCACAGTTTAGCAGGAGCTCTCCATCTTTACTAACTAGGGATCCTTCTGAGTATCATGCATATTAATGTTTAGTCCTTTAGTTAACAAACATTGTGATTTTGGTCTCTAAAGGAACCCTCAATGACAATAAGAAACAAAATAATATATATTTTTTTAATTTAGGAAATAAACTCAAGAAAATTCTAACGTATTTTAGAAAACACAGGTCCACATAAAATTCTGTCAAGGGTTTCTAAAAACACTAAAGCAATCCAAGGTCTTCTGTTAGTTTCAAAAATGCAAAGGTGGATGAGAGGGAAGCCTCATCCACCTCCCCCCAACTTTAACCTTCCTGGAGCTTCTCAGTTGAAATCAAGAAAATCTATGGTATCTGGAGTAAGAGTCCTTGCCCATTGCATTTGGGTCTGAGAACTACAATAAGATGCCTTGAACTTCCCCTCTTTGCCTTCTGGAGAAAAGGAACTAAGAGTGGTCAACCGCTTGGCAACTGCAGGAGCCATGGTCAGGTTCATTGTTGAAGGAGATCGGTGTTGTAGCTAAATTCATTGTGTACCCCACATAAAGATTGTCTCTGACAAAGGACACGTCTCATTCAGCTCTTTTATACCACTTCATTCATCTCTTTTTAAACATTGCTGCTGCTTTTGCTTAAGCAGACAATCCTTGAGCTTCAGTCTTTGTCCCCAGCACCATATTAGCAGTGAAGTGGGGAGGGATAAGGAGCAGAGGTGAAGATCAAAAGTAAGGGCCCATTTCCCCTCCTAAACAGAGTACCAGGTAATTGCAAATAACCTTGGAGTTTTCTGAAATACTGTTTTCTAGATACAGAACAATTTGCTTATAGGAGATCAGCTTGTCTAACAAGTGGTAAAAATAGAAATTATTCAAAGGAGTCAAGAATACATTGTGGGCTGACAATAGTTGGGTTTTTGAAATAATTATAGGATTTAGATTAGAGGGTGAGGGGGTGAGAACAGCAAAAATAAAACAAAAAGTCTCCATACCCGTTGAGGGTAGCCAAGGGAGTAGGGAAGCTGGAATCCAGAACAAAATACTCCCAGATGGCCTTCAACACTTGGTTAATGTTACTGTCATGACTCAGGCATAGGCAGCTCTTAGAAAGGCTCAGGAGAATTAAGATTCATACTTACCTGGCAGGGAAGATACCATGATCACGAGAATTAAGATTCAGACACAAATAGTCCATGAGATCCAAATTTTGCCAAGTTGGGTGTTGCTTTCCCAGAGAGATGCTTTAAGTCAGGAATGGGCAATTTTTTGTGAATAGTTAGATAATAAATAAGTCTTTTAGACTTTGTTTAGACTGCCAGTCAGTCTCTGTCACAACTGCTCAACTACTGTAGCTTACAGGGAACTGAAACTGATAATACCACAGGTAAATTTAATGTGAATTATTTTAGTTTCTGATGTGGTTTTGTTCCAATAAAACTTTATTTGAGTTGCATACTGTTTCATCTGTCAAGGAATATAATTCTTTCACTTTTCCCATCACTTAGAAAATATAAGAACCATTCTAAACTCACAGGCCAGGCCAGGCAGAGGACTAAATTGGGAAAAGATGTAGTTTGCTGACCTCTTTAAATAGTGCACACTCGGCATGCTTTCCATAACCTTGTGATGCTCAAGGTCTGTGGACTTCAGTTCATTGCTGCTTCTTTCTAAGACCTACGACATACAGTGTTCATCATTGCTCTTACAACTCAAACTCTCTTCTTTCAGCTCCCACTGAATTGCAAACTCTTATTTTGAAACCAGTGACATCGCCAAGCCTAGAAATGACACACAGTCAACCTGGTAAATAGAATATTCTGTCTTTCTGGGTGTGCTGCAAGCTTCAGGGAACACACTATAATCCTCTAAGCCTTGTACTTACAAGTATAAAAAACTGTATTTGGAAATTATATAATACACATTTCATAACTCTGCATAAATATTGTAGAATGTTCTTTTAATGATTGTACATTGGTGTTAATTTACTAATACATCATATAACTATTACATTAGTCAACTGCATAAAAATACTTCATTGAGTTTACTCTGTATTATTTTAGAAAATCATATATCTGATTAAGTGGTCAACAAACCACTTAGAAGAACTGACTTTATGCTTTATTTGTCATCTACAGTCACAAATTTGTGGTTCTCTTTAGTAGTAAACTAAATGAGTGCTCTGCTATCTGAAAAGAATGTTAGTAAAAAGTTTCTCTAGAATGCTAGAGAAACTTCGCTCCTCAGTAATGATATACTGAATCCTTTAATAAAGGCTGCCCTTCAAAATCGAAAACAAAGTTTTAAAAACAATATTAGCAATGCTGTTGCTACTTCCTCACATTTATTGTGAAACATTTGGATCCTGTTTTGTTCTAGCATAGGATTGTAATTTCATGCTTTCTTTTATGGTATCTTCTAATTAGATAGATAAATGACACTTGGGTACTCAAGTTGAAGGTACAAAGTATGGCTATGTTAACGGTAACCTACAACAATTAAAATATTGTGAGTTCAGTTCAATGATTAGTTTCCCTTAGTATTCATAATAATGTTATCCTAACAGTTGAGTACTTACTCAGCACAAGGCATTTTTCTAAATACTTTCTTTGTATTCATTCAATGCTCACGACAACTCATCTCTGATCGTTTGTACTGTTTTGTGTTTTTTGCTAGCTTCCGATGGTCTGGAATCTGTTACATTTAGCCCTGAGACATCAAAGGAAACCATAGGTAAAAATGTCTCCCGGTGGGAAGTCAGGCACGTCTGCTTTTCCATCCCATTGCAAAAGTCATCTTTGGATGTCCTCATGCTTTGTGACATTTCATAGCCACCTGCCTGTGCTGGTGTCTGCTGCTCTCAGAACTTCCTTATTCAGTTTATTCTCACTCCAAATGATACATTTCACTTTTTAATACTCTGGTCGCTCTTTCAATAGGAATGCAGGTGTATATGCACATCCTATTTTTCATTTTCATGATTCATCCCCATGCTTTCCAATGACTCATTCTATGTCTTTTTCATACCAGAATCCTTATACCAAATAAGCAAGGAAGTGAAGTTACATGCTTTGCTTCAGGTAGAAATTGCTGTAGACTCTGCCAGTTACCATGTGTATTTCTCACACAGTGTACTGCCTTCATTTCCTGCATTCATTTCTGCCCTCTGAATTACAGCCATCTTTATAATCTAGCAAAATGTTGCCCTCAAGAATGTATCTGCTTAAGATAGCTATAACCTCTGTGTTCAGATTATCCACAGGCTTCCATTACAGTATATTTTGGGCTGCCTGCCATTAATCAGCCACTCCCCTTTCTTCCCTAGCACCTGCCGAAACAGATTATGTATATCCCACCGCCAAAGCACCACTCAGGCCAGAGGAGCCAAGGACTGAAGGTGGTAAAACTTTACATGCTTTAATTTGTTTATTCAGCACATTTTTACTCGGCATAGGCTACATCCATGGAACATGACAGTTCAAACAATAGTGCATAGTCTATGTTTGAGTAGATATGAAGACCTGTAGCTTCCAACATTCTTCTTCAATTCTTAAAGTGATAAACTCTCTGAATACGGAAGCAAATTCTTATTTCTTTGCTGGTATCTAAAGATTGAGGCATTATAGCATTTGAAAGCCAGCTAATGACAGTTAAACATAGATATTAGTTGGAGGATTAGTATTTTAGGAATTTTCTCCCGATTCTCTTTTTTTCCCTAAATACATTGTCCTATCTATAAAGTTATGATGAAAATTCTGTACAGAGCAGGTGGGTACATTCAAGAAAGAAGTAGTGAACATCTTATAGGTTTTGAAATTGTTTTCCTTTGTTTTGATACAGTTGTGGAATCTATTACATATGGGTCTGAACCACCTGAGACCATGCTAGGTAATAAACTTGTGTGCTTTCTCTGTCCTTGCTTCCACCTGACAGCCTTGGGGTCTCTCTCATTGGGAATTCTCGTTCCACCATCATTCTCTGTCATGGCAGTCACTTTTCATTTCTAGGCAGTCCTACTCATCACCATTGTCCAAAAATGTCTCTTCTCCATTCAGTTCTATATCAAGACCTTGCTTTCTTCCTCTACTTAAGTCAGTGAAACTGCTGAATCTATAGCATCTTTTCCCCCTAACCTTGAACACGCTGCCAGCGTGGTATTGTGTTGAACATTTCAGGTAATAATTGTTTTGTGTGATGATCCCTTTATACTTTGACCTTGCAACATGCCTTCCAATAATGATCATTCCATCACATTCATTGACGTGTTTGATTTTCCTTCTCCATTGTTTAACTATTGAGTAGCATTGTTGAGGAGGTAGGGCCCTAATGTGGCATGAGGATTTCAAAAGTACTTGGTAACATGAAGTTTCTAAGTTTAAAAAAAAAAAAAAAAACAAAACAAGGGGTGGCACCTGTGGCTCAAAGGAGTAAGTCACCAGCCCCATATGCTGGAGGTGGCAGGTTCAAACCCAGCCCTGGCTAAAAAGAAAAATAAATAAAATAAAAATAAAAGTAAAAAGAACCCATGCATTGTGAAGACATAGATCTGCAAGCTATTTTGCTGCAGATTTACATTTTTTATTTTTAAAAATCTATTTGTTATTATCCTGTGTGTCATCTATACTTAAGCCGTGTGGAGCACTATAGTAACCTAAGTACTTTCCTTCAGTTACCATAGAAGCATCACCTCTGCCTTCTCAACCTATAATCCTACCCAGCCCAGATGAGCCCCAGACTGAACCTGGTAAATACATTATTTTGTATTTCACGTATGAGGTGAGTGTTTGCAGAACAGCAATAAGGTGACCTGCATATATCAAAGGCCCTGACTTCATCGCTCTGCTCACAGTCTTTGGTGGGTGATGCTACTGTCTGATTTCCCACTGCCTTCAATAATCACTGAAACGCCAGTGTTGTGTTGTGGATTTTCTTTAGGATACGGCAGAAAAATACCTCTCAGCTATTCTGTAGGTGTTTAATTCAAGGAATAGAAATGTTTCTGAGGAAGAACATTTATATTTTGTTTACACATATATTCTAATTACTTTATCATCCCTACTAGTTTTGCAACTTCTGTGTTCATGTTAAAAATATTGTAAGATATCTACTTTGTGTTTGAAGTTAAGAGAAACCTCCAGAAATAGGCTTACCTGTTCAATCATCGTAGAAGAGGGTGGAACTGGCCAGCCAGCTTGTAATTATTTGGGTATCATACTATTTTCCAATCCTTTCTGCAATGGTTTGGTCATTTCACTATAAACAAGTAAAGAAACTGAAATCAGACCAATTACTTTTGCTGGTCATAAAGGTACAAGGTGGTAGAGTTGGAAACGAATGAAACCAAATCATCATCACGGAAACTAAATGTACCTCTTCTTACAAGGAAAAACTCTCGCATTAGCTATTGGTTTCCATGAAACAGACATTTATCATAAAGAAGTCCAATCTTCTGTTTTGGACTATTAAACTGTTTAATATGGCACTACTTCCAAGGGAGATGTGAATATTAATTTTACTCCTTGTCCTCTGGAATATCCTACTAAACATTGCCTATAAACTCTACAGTTTAAATTTTATAGAAATTCTACATTGACTACATCTGTTGTATCTACTTTTCAAGGTTTCATTTTTAATAGCTCTATTAATACTTACTGTAATGTTTCGTTGCAAATGCTGCCACTAGTGACGCTTACCTCATTCTGTACCGATTTTCATGGAGTGGCTTCAAGGGACACCTCTTCCTTAAGGTGATTTTTCTTATACCCTGGGAAGAGCGAATACCGTATCAAGTGGAACCTCATTAAAGCAAAGGAGTTGAGAATCAGAAAAGGCCATAGAAACTCTAGAATCATCGAATTTTAGGATGGCAAGGATTCTTAAAAAGTGTGTAACTTGATGGAAAACCTGGGAGTGTAGACCCAGCTATTAGCAAAGGGAGCTCTAACCCCCCTCCCCCCCGCCCAGGTCCAGGTTTCTAAACCAGTATAATTTCCAACATCTCTTAGTGTTTATCTCTTTGCAAACAAGAAGATTCCTCCGGAACAATTGATATCCTGTCTATTTTGATTTAATATCAGAAAGAAGCTTCTGCAGACTCCTTCAGTAATTTCTGGGTTCTAAAAACTCTCATTTTCAGCAAGCTTTTCTTAAGGTGTCTGAAACTGCATGATGTTAACACCATTTCCCCTTTTTCATCCCAAACACTAGTTCAACCAAGGGAGGTGTTTCCACAAGCTGCAACCTTGCATCTGATAATGTCTTTCCTTTAACAGGCTATACTTTTAATTTTCTTGGTGAAGAAACAATTGGCTTTTACATTGAATGTCCTAGCACTTTTTTTAGGAATTTCTCAGGAAAAGAATAACTCTCCATAGAAAAGGATTCATGGTGCTTAATTTCTCTTTCCCACTATCACCAACGAAAGTTACATTTTGTTAGTAGATTTATTTTTTCCATTGGCACTTGCTGTTAATACATTTGATATTTGGACTATAATGTGGTAATTTGTTTTTTATTTACGAGACATTGTTATGCATTTGCTTTTAAAATAATAAACCTGGATATTCTGATAAAAGGATGTGAACTTGTAATAAAGAATTCTTGTTATGAAATTTATTTTCAACCTATTTAAGAGGTGTTTGAAGCAGATATTTCTGAAGCTCTAACAGTTTCATTTTGCCAGCTGAATGATCTTGGATGTCATTTAATGTTCCTTTTTGTTTTGTTTCCGTTATATAGAAAAATCATCTTCCTGTACTTTAGGATTGCATTAATTTCTATGTACTTACATCTTCAGTCACTAACAAATGTCTTTGAGCTTCTAGAGGTGTGGTGCTGAAGGGCTCAAGAGTTCCGAACCTTTATCCTTTCTTTTAGCTCCCAAGCAGACCCCACGTGCTCCTCCTAAGCCAAAAACATCAGCACATCCGAGAATCCCACAGACACAACCAGGTAAATACATTATTTTCTCCTTTAGTTTTAAAAGTCCACGGTTAGTAGGATTACTCTGTTGAATGATACCAGATTGAGTTTAGCCCTTATAAAACAAGTCTTTCTCTATAACCTAGTAAATATTTAAATTTATTTTTAGACATGAGCAAACAGTGCATCATTATTCCAGAAAGCTTCCTTAGGATTCTATTACTTAAGACAGGATGGACAGCAAGGGCATTTCTTAGAACGAGGTGCCTGCCGGCTCCCTTTTCCTGCCCCAGCCTGAGACTATATTCCTGTCCCTCCCTTTCTATCCCTGAATGTGATTCCTCCTGCCACTCAGCTAACTTGAAATTTTCAACAATACATGGCCTGCTTACCAAAAAGTATCTGAGGCACACTCACCGAGTATACCAGGAAAGAGATCTTTACTAACACTGATGGTCTAGAGGAAGGAAGATGTTTGAACCGTCACAATTATGCATGATCCAGCTAGTGATTCTGGGTTCCCATCACAAGCACTTCAGTTATATATCAGAATTTCTGTTGATAAAGGGAAAAAATTTTTAAAACCCTATGATTTTAGGTATGGTATCTAATATCTGATTCTGAGAGAAATTTTACTAATCACTAATTTTTTTTCTTTAAAGGAAAATTCCCTCAAAGACTATTTTATATTCCATATCTAACTAATGATTTTAAATTTGCCTTATTTCACTTATTTTTAATTCTTTTCTAATTACTTAAAACTCAGCTAGGAAAATAATATATCCTGATACTTACGTACCCATGCCACATTCTCCCAAAGAATAAGAAATTTTAAATAATAACTATAATGCATTTGAACATGAACATAGAAGAAGTACTGGTAAAAATAGGTAATAACTAGTGAACAATGATTAATTAATAGAATAGGAATAAAAATATATATCAAATTTATAAAACAAATCAAATTAGTAAGTAAATAAAACAAGTATTAAAACCAAAACCTAACTTTATAAATCAACAGATAAAATTACATGGGAAGCTTGCAACTTTTTTTTTATTAAATCATCACTGTGTACAATTATGGGGCACAATGTGCTGATTTGATATACAATGTGGAATGCTTAAATCAGACTGATTAACTTAACCATCATCTCACTTATTTGTTATGGTAAGACATTTATTTATTTTTGTTTTGAGACAGAGTCTCACTCTGTTGCCCAGGATACAGTGCCTGACCCAGCCTAGCTCACAACAATCTTAAGATCCTTGGTTCAAGTGATTCTCTTGCCTCAGCCTCCCAGTAGCTGGGACTTCAGGCACGTGCCACAATGCCTGGCTAATTTTCTTATTTTTACTGGAGACAGGGTCTTGCTCTTGCTCAGGCTGGTCTCAGACTCCTGAGCTCAGGTGATCCTCCTGGCTTGGTCTCCCAGAGTGCTAAGATTACAGATGTCAGCCACTGTACCCTGCCAAAAGCCCTCAATTTTTTTTTTTTTTTTTGAGACAGAGTCTCACTTGGTCACTCTTAGTAGAATGCTGTGACATCATAGCTCACAGCAACCTCAAATTCTTAGGCTCAAGTGATTCTCTTTCCTCAGCCTCCCAAGTAACTTGGACTACAGGCACCCAGCTATTTTTGGAGATGGGGTTACCTCTTGCTCAGGCTGGTCTCAAACCTGTGAGCTTAGGCAATGCACCCACCTTGGCCTCCCAGAGTGCTAGGATTATAGGCGTGAGTCACTGTGCCCGGCCCCCCTCAACATTTTATATAAATACAAAGCATAGAACAAGAGTAGAAAAGAAATGAGCAGTAAAAATAAGCATGAAAACTCAATGAATGTTGGACTATAAGAGAAAAGATGAAAAATAAGAACCCCAGGGGGTTAGACATTCAGGCTATAAATTCCTGCTTAGTAATTTTTTTTTTTTTTTTTGAGACGGAGTGTCACTATCTCACCCTCAGTAGTGTGCTGTAGTATCACAGCTCACAGCAACCTCTAACTCTTGGGCTTAAGCGATTCTGTTGTCTCAACCTTCCAAGTAGCTGGGACTACAGGTGCCCTCTACAACGCCTGGCTATTTTTTGTTGCAGTTGTCATTGTGGTTTAGCAGGCCCAGGATGCCCGCCAGCCTAGGTATATGTGGCCAGCAACATAGTAAAAGAGACATAAAGTAACAGGAAAAAATTTATTTGTAATTATCTTTTGAGGCTGTACTTTATACTAATTAAAATGCAGTATAGTAAATCAGAAACTTACTCTAATTTCTATTATACTGTATTCCAAGCTACAAATTTAATTTTGAATTAGACCTTTAGCCAACCTCTTTTGATAAAACATGCAGCTTTAAAAGAGATTCACATGCTCAGTGAGTCCCACTTTCTAACCTGAAACCCTGGAGTGGCTGCCAGACTGTAAGGAGAGGAGCGCCTGACATTTCCCAGTGGAGAGTCACTTGCCATCCGTCTCTTATAGAAAGCAGCTGCAGCTCAGATGATTCTGGCTTCATCAGTGCTACTTAATGTGAGGAAATAATTTGGAAAACTGATTATGAAAACCAAAATACATTCTAAACATTCTTACTAAAAGGGGGTAGAACTGGGATCTTCTTGACCATGTAAGAATATGAATCTTATTTATCAGGTACCAGCAATATTCTAGATTTTTGTTTATCATCTTCCATGGATGCATGTGTGTGTACAAATATGTATCACACAAAAAAATTTTGAGACAGGATCTTGCTGTGTTGCCCAGATTAGGGTATAGTGATATCATCACAGTTCACTTGCAACTTCCCACTCCTAGGTTCAAGGGATCCTCCTGCCTCTGCCTCCCATGTAGCTGGGACTACAGGCATGTGCTACTATGCTCACCTAGTTTTTCTATGTTTTGTAGAGATGGGGTCTTACTCTCTTGTTCAGACTTGGTGTCAAAAACTATTGTATTTTAAAGATAAATATCAAATCCTAGTATTTCCTCCCTTACCCTTGGCTAGCTCTTATAAATTTCAAAAGGTCATTTGGTGAGGAAAATGTTCTGTTTATATGTACAATACCAACGCAGAAGAGGGTTGCTGGGCTATAATATAATGTCACCTAACAGCAGTGTATATTACTTAAAGTACAACACAATTTGTTCGTTCACCATCTTTTTTCACGATAAAATTCTGTAACTAGGCATGTTACCTTTCTTGTTAGTTTTACTTAAAATATGTTTATAAGTTAAATAGAAACATGGAATCTTTATGTTGCACTTGAGGGCAAAGTGGGATCCAAAATTCGGAACAAATCATCAGGAATATTTTACAAGTGAATAAAGGTTTGATTTTTAGATTTCTGGTAACAGGCATAGGTAACAGGCAACAATCCCATTGTTAATTTTATGCATAGAGATCTTATAACCATGAAACTTATGGATGATCCCAGCTTTTGGATGGACAAACAATCTGAAATTCAGGATCACGTTCAGACCTTTTAGTGTCAAATTTGTAAATATCCTTTACAAGTGAAAAAAAAACTTTGTAGTAGTATAATTTTCACATCATTTTGACATTTCACATTTGATTCTTATGATCACATTTTGTTAGAACACATTTATTATTTTCACCTAAAAAAACGAGAAGGAAGTTAAAATCTGACTGGCAGAACTGAGCTATAAAGAGCCCACGTGTTTGGACCTACTGATAATGTCTGATCGTCAGCATTTGATTCAAGACTTGAGTCTGGCACTTAATAACCATGTAACCTCAAGCAGATAATGTCACCTACCCACAACCTTGTTTCCTTACCTTTGAAGTGTAGTAATAATTCCTTCCTTCCAGCATTATGGAAAGCATCAAAGGGAATAAACTTTATAAAGGCCTTTTTGAAATTGCAGAATACACTATAAATAAGTTATAAGAATTTTTTCCTGTATCTATTACATCAGCATCTGTTACCCCAAAGGAACAGTGGTAAAGAGCCAATTTCGGTTGGTTAATGAGTTCATCTGAAGGTGTCTTTGAAGCCTGAGAAATGCAGAGGGTGTAATTGCGAGCCTACTCCCTCCCTCTGCTTACCTTTTTGCTGCCATTGTCTGTTTACATCCACGTAAGTCATCGAAGGCCCCAGATGACTTAAAGATTATCCCTGCTTCCCAGTATTCACAAAGACTTCCCTGTCTTTACCTACCTCACCTGCAAATGAAGACATCAGGTGGCCTGAAGGAGAAGTCAAGCCAACATATCCACAAGAGAAGAGCACTCTTGCCTTCATTTAATGGCTGTCTCCTCAGAAATGAAGATGTCAAAAACGTTCTTCATCCTACCCTGATGCTTTGTCCAATTTTCCATTTTCTCAGAGTCCATTTTTCTAACAGTATCTGGAGTTCTAACCGATCTATTCCTAGAGCTTGAGTTTCCTCCCTAACTCAGGGTCAGTCACGCTTTGCTGTGTCAGTGTCAAGGCTGTGGGTCGTCGTGCTTCGTGTGTTGGGTGTGCCTGGGAGGTGCTCAAAACAAATGACTCGTGATCTGACTTCTCTCTTGCAGTTCCTAAGAAGCCCCAGCGTGTTCCTTCAAAACCAAAAATGTCACCAAGTCCAGAAGCGTTGTACACCTCGCCTGGTAAATGTTTTATTTTCTGTTGAAGCCAAATGTATTCTAATGTCACCCTCTGCAGCAGTGAAACACGAGAGCTGGTAGATGTGAGGTCAATATTTCACTTATGTTCAGGTACCACGTTGCATCACATGTGGTATGATTATTTAGAGGTTTCATGAGAATGTCCATTGGTTCATGTGGCAAAGCTATTTATTACAATGAAGAGGCACAGAATTATGCAAGGGGAGAATCTCTTTCCTGGAACTCAAGTTCTCTCACTTACAAAAAATTAACCCCCAATTCTAACTATACCGTGCTCAAATGTTTCAGTAAACAAGAAGATGAGGATTTTTTTTCCACAAAAATGATTAAATGATATGTTTAACAAATAGAAATAATGATATTTAGCCATTTGCTTGAATTTATAAATTTTACTTTCTGTAACATTAAGGCTTTCTTCCCTGTCACACTCTGCTTTACAAGTTTATGGAACAATATCTTGGATTAAGAAATTGGTTTCGCAAAAAGCAAAAAAGAAATAATTTGTTTAGTTACAAATCTATTTTTGTCTATCATCTTTAATTGATGTGGAAAGTAATCTCATGCTTATAGGAATACCCAGGGTTGGAAATTCAAGGACCCAGGCAGTTTATTAGTCTCACCACCACTGCTATTTACATGAAATTTTCAAGTGGCCTTATGAAGACACTATTAGCTGAACAATCACAAACCAAAACAAACTCATTTGTCACAAGAGGATCTGGGAAATGCTTTAAGTTTTTTCTCTTTCCTTTTAAAGATACAATTATTATAAATTCCTAGATGCTCCTAAAAGCATAGAATATTTCCTAGAACCAGAGGATTTCCAACTATAATTCGAAATGATGGTATTTTGGAAGCAAACCTGAATTCCCTAGCTGTAATGCTTTCCAGATTGCGTCAGTGAATGGGATTAATGCTGCTGTGGTACAGTTGGTGGCTGCTGCTGGTGGTGGTAGGTTAAAAAGAGCCTCCTTTGCCCTGAAGTCTAGAATTTAAGTTGGTATCACTAAACATAACACCCAATATTATATATAAAGAGTAAAAAAAAAAGCTGATATTCCCAAAAAAGGTCAATTTAATGTTCACTTGTAGAAACATAATAGAAATTAATTCACTATAGACAACAGTGGATTTGAGTGACTATTTACTTTTTAATTCTAGAAAAATATTATGGGTGTAATCTCATTACACCAACATATCTAATGGTTAAACTCTTTTCTTCTTTATTAGCATTGAATATTTGCCCCCAATACCTTATTCACAGAAACTAACCAATAAGCATCAGCATGGAAATAAGACAAATACTCCCTCTTATTGGTTATCTTCTCCCGGTGCTCTTAGTCCTGCATGTTCAGAGTTAGTGTTCCATCTCCAAGCCTAGCGTGGACCCTGCCATTGTGATCAGGGTCCCCTCATTGCTTCCGAAGTGTGATGAGGTACGTATTCTAACGGTACGAAGTTAGAATAAAGGAATAGAGGACCATGAAGTAAAAGGAAACACAAGGGTACAGTTTTCTTAGAAGTGTTCAGACACTGGATTCTGTTGTGTGCAAACGACTTTTGGATTACATCTAGGTTCAGGTTTGCATCCTAATGAACCTAATACACCCAAGACCTGAAAGTTACCAGATCCTGAAAGTTGGACCACAGAAAAGAGAAAGTATTACATGTATATGTACTGATATTTTAGAGAAATAGACCAGTGTGTAAAAAGTCTAAAAATGTAGATTACAGTGCTGAATCAAAACAGTTATGTTTTATCATGATATTTATCTCAAAATTTATTCTAACAGAGATCAAAAGCAATAAACTTGGATTTGCTGATCTGTGTTAACTAGTAAGTCAGTCTGGGGTTCTCTGCACAGTTCCTTCCATTCTCTAGACTCCCAGGCATAACTTCATTCCACAAGGACATTAGAGAAAAGTCTTCTAGTCTGAGCAAATTATCTCCTACACTTAATGAGGAAACTTGACAAACAGCCAATACCCCAGAACTGGCTTTCTTCTACATCACCTTGGAAAAGAGCTTTAAAATAGATTTTATAAGATAAGTAGGCATGAGCCTATTGATAATTTATAAGGAAGCAAAGACACAAGGGTATGAAAAGTGGTCGGCATACTTGAGGAGCAGCATGACTCAGAGTGATTAAATTGCCAGGCACATGGGTCAGATTATTGAAAAATGATGACTGGAAGTCAATTGAACTCATGTGGCTGAGGGCTATTCCCATTAAGCAAAATTTTTTCTATAGGCAATTATAAAACATTAAGATTGTGCGTGTGTTTTTCTTTTTTCTAATCATGGGGGTCATTTAATTAGATCTGTATTTTAGAAAAATAGTTTTCCTTTAAAAAAAAAACTTGTATTAACTGGCAAGAAGAGATTGGTGGCAAGGAATCACTTAGGAAGTTTCTCAAGAGCCTAAAAGGGCATGTCATGTAGGAAGGGAAACAAGGTAATGACACTAAGATTGCTTTGGGGGGTGGGATTGCTGAGACCTAGAGATTGACTGATTGACCGTGTTATGGAGAGAAGAATGACTGTCACCCAGGTTGGGTGAGTGGTAGGTGATGATGGGGAACACAAGGCAGAGTAAAGACTTGGCTTTGTACCTGCTGGGTTTGCAGGGCCAGTAGAACTTTCAGATGGGAATAGCTTACATGGTAGCTGGAAATACTTTTCTGGACTTCTGAACAGAAGTCAGGATTTGAGACAGACTGGGGAGTCACCTATCTACAGACAAATGGTTTTTAAATCTTGGATGAGATCATATAGGTAAAAGTATAGACCAAGAAAACAGGAAGTCAGAAATCACATACAGTAGAACCTCCATAGTTGACCCATCCCTACACTGATCACCTCTGTAAGTGGACCTGATTTTCATAGAGCAGACATGAGCCACATGTACCTATCAGTACAGCAGGCCTAGTTTCTTAGGTTGACCACCTCCATATGTTGACCAGTTTGTTAAAGTTTGTTAGATGGTCAACTACAGAGGTTCTACAGTATTGGGGTGGCACAGTTACATTGAAGCAGTAGGCAGAGGGAAAAAAGCCACCAGATATTGCTGTCAAGAAAGATCAGAGGGGCCAGGTGCAATGGCTCATGCCTATAATCCTAGCTCTTTGGGAGGCCCAGGTTAGAGGATCTCTTGAAGTCAGGAGGTCAAGACCAACTTGGGTGATAGCAAGACCCTGCCTCTACAAAATAATTTAAGAATTAGCCCAGTGTGGTGGTGTGTGGCTATAGTCTCAGCTACTTGGAAGACTGAGGCAGGAGGATCCTTGAGCCTGGAATTGGAGGTTGCAGTGAGCTCTGATATACTACCCAGAGCATACAGTGTGACAAAAAAAAAGTATGTATACAACTGCATACTACCCAGAGCAACAGTGTGACAAAAAAAAAAAAAAAAAAGAAGGAGGAAGAGGAGGAGAAGAACTAAAAGAGGGAATTGAGAAGAGAGGATCAGGAAATAGTCTCAAGAAAGGAAGGGTGGCCAAGAGAGGTGGGGAGATTGGATGAATTTGAGAAGGCTGCTAATCTCACCATGCAGGTCTAGAATCCCACTATCTGAAAGCCTTGGGCCAGAGGCTTCAGAATTCAGTGATTATCAGATTTTAGACAATTAAAAGAGTGCATACATCCTGGATTACAAATGTTAATGTGTCTGCAGTGAGAAGTACGAAAGTCTTATAAACCAGGATAAATAAAAACAATAAGACCAATAGGAGTTATGTTTTTCTGTTGAATCAGTTAAGGAAAAACTCAATTTTCTGAGCTTTTTGTCATTCAGAACTTTGGATAAGGCATGTCATCGGAGATCAGGGAAGTGGAAGTCAGTCCCAAGTGCAGGAGGAAGACAACTAAAAGACCAGAAAAGAGAGGAAGACACAGACTTTTATGACTGGAGAAATGAGAGCAAGAGAGGGGACGGTGGGAAGGAGAAGCCAGGTCCAGGAAATGATTATTTGTTTAGGAAGTTAATGGGCTAATGGTGAAAATATAAGATAAAAGAAACAGTGGAAAGTAAAAGTCCTCAAAGGAAGTGAGAGGTCGGGTGGCCCAAGAGCACAGGGGAAATTTCTCCTGGAAAGTGGCCTGTGGAAGAATGGGAGACCGGGCTTCTTCTCAGACTGGACCTAACGGTATGAAGTTAGAATAAAGGAATAGAGGACCATGAAGTAAAAGGAAACACAAGGGTACCCTGTCCACACATGTTTCTTTTCTATGAGAATCAATTTCTTTGTAGCCTATTTTCAGGGCAGACCTTATCGCAGATTTCATATTCCACCAGCTTCATCAGAGAGTAGCGTGTTCATTCTCATCTAACTATTAAAACCTTCATGCACATTCATTTACATGTTGAATTTTTCTTCAGAGTGCCACACTTTACTCAGAAAGACAGTTCCTATAATTCCTTGGTCAGCTAGTATAAATGGTAAGTTGATTGATATAATTGAGTCTAATATATAATAATGGTCAGTATTCTTATACAGAAATGGAAACTGCCTTCATCCTTATTTACACTGAAGAGTTTCTCCCTGCTCGAAAGCTGTCAATGTTGGGGAGCATACTCTTGTTCAATTTCATATACAGAGGAATGCCACATAGAGGGGGAAAAGGAGAGAGAAAAAAAACAAACCTTGAGTATCTTGGAGCTGTAGTCGACCAAGTAGGAGAATGATTCATATTCCTTTCCTGTAAATGTTTCTATTTCTTTCCTTTCCACTGATTTCACCTGCTTTAGGAAGTCTGCTAGGGCAGTTTATTAAATCATCGCTCCACGGTTAAAAATAAAAGTGCCAAATACAGCAGCTGGAATCCACATTGCTCCGGTCTAAATTCCTCAGTCTACTGGAGCAGCAGCCAGTACTGCGTCTGCAGAATGGTGTACTTATTAGTAGCGTATCTCTTCTCAGCTCCTTCTTTCCTTAATCCCAGCTTCTTGTATATACTCTGGTGCTATAACTCATTGGGGGATTTATAAACTACAGGCTGCTTTGAATGGTCCTAACCTTTGCAGAGCCAAATCAAAATGCCTTCTCCTTCAAACTCCAGATAAACATTTCGCTTGATTTACAACTGTAAATTTCGCAGATTTTGCCGTTTGAATCCCCCCCCCCGCCCCAAACTGACATTGCAAGGCAAAATATTAGCTATTGTGGTGTGTTTTCTCTAGCTTTTTCAATCACTGCCCTTTTGGAGTTTCCTTTTTTCTTAAAAAAAAAAAAAAAATTCTAAATTTTCAAATTCCCTAGATGTCACCTTTTAGCTCATAGACATTCTAATTGAGTCAAGTTTCTGGTCCTTGTCAATTTCTACAACTATAATTCAGCTGGTACTTAGTGGCTTAAACTAAGCACATATGTGGCATGCAATTTAAATATAATCCCTCAAAACAATAAAAAGAGAATGTTCATTTTATATAATCTGTTTCTACACTTGGCACACCTCGCAATAAAAAAAATTTTTTCTTCATCTTTCTTCTGAGGAAGAGTTCTAGTCTGAATCCTAATAGTTTGTTTTTGTTGTTGTTGTTTCTGGAGTAATATAAGATGCAAAAAAGTTACTGTCTGCCAAAAGACACAGATATTTATGAAATCTTTTGTGTGGTAGGGAAACCTTTCGGTGAGGGAATAGGCCTGAGGAGGGCCTCCTTATGGGGAAACTGAGTCAAAGGAGTACTATGTACTACTCTCAGAATGAGATTCTGTCATAGAAATCCGGTACTAACAGTCGGTAAATCACCCTGTTAATTTCCCAAATAAAGTACCACGTTTTCAATCTACTGTTCTATTTCGCCAAAGTAGAATATAAGTGTTAAAAATATGCTGGATGTCAGGGACTGGATACGAGTACACCTATTCTTTAGTGACATTTTTGTCTTTTGTTTTCATATTTGCATGTGTCAAATATGCTTGGCACTTAATACACTGAAAGTTACATAACTAAGGAAGACAAAAATGGCAGCAGCATTTATTTGGCACTCATCAAGTACTATCATAAGCTTTACCAGTGCTATGTTCTAATGCAGGGGTCCTCAAACTTTATTTAAACAGGGGGCCAGTTCACTGTCCCTCAGACTGTTAGAGGGCTGGACTGTGGGCCCCAGGAAGAGTCGACTACTAAGCAGGACAGGCAGCGGCAGCAAAAACACCTGGCGGACTGGATAAGTCGTTGGCGGGCCGCCTGTGGCCCACAGGCTGTAGTTTGAGGACGCCTGTTCTAACGACTAGCTGATTTCTCTTTGCTTTATTTCCTCCCCATAACAACTGCCAGTACCATTTAGAATGAAACTTTCCAGATTTTCGCCTATCTCATTTCCTTCAGTTTGTAGCCATTCTGCCTTTTCTCTAAGGTCATGGATTTTCTGTTGCTAAGCGGACTTTGAGCATGAATATCCAATGACTTTGAGCATGAATATCCAACTTCAGGCCAAACTTTCTATTTTGAAAGCGACCTACTTGCTTGTGTTTGATTGTATTAGCTATTTCCTCTTTACTCTCTCTCAAGGAAGACTTCATAAGGAACTGTGACAGACTTTGTTTCTGTTTTACTGCCACCAGAATCTTCCCTACACAGGGACATTTTTCCATTTTGGAAAGAAATATTATCTTCCTAGCTTTGGTCTTTGACTAGTATGAAAATACTTTTGCTTCCTTCATTTCTTGTGGGAATTTACATCTGTGAGTTAAGGTCAACCCAAGTGAGACATTTAGAACTCATCATCTTTTTTAATCTTTTTCTTTCAGCTCCCAAAGATGTGCTCCTGCCCCATAAACCAGACCCTGAGGTCTCTCAGAGTGAACCTGGTAAGTGAGTTATTTTATTTTCCCAGTTAAAAAGTGTGTTTTTCAAAAAATATTTTTGAGATAAATATATGTTCATGGTTGTGATGTGGGAAAAATATGGGGAAAAGTATGGATACAAAATGTATATTTTGGAGGGGAAGTTTCATCACATATCTGGTTGAAAATTTTTTGCCCTGGTTAAATGAAAGAATAGTGTATAGTTAATTTATTTTCCCTGGAAGTATTTTTGTTCAATAGGAGATCATGATAAAATTATGAAACATAGTTACTAACTTACCCAACTCTTTTATGTCCTTTCAAAATGTAAATGTAACTACACCTGTGGGTGTAATTTAAGTAAAAAATGTGCGTGTGTACTCAAAGTTACAACAAATGAGAACGTTGAAGTTTTAGTTAAACTAAGTTCCCTAAATGGCATCTAATAAATTTCCTCGTATTTATTATAATTCTGAAAGAATGTGTAAGTGATTAAATTGTCTAGAAAATACAGAAGCTATTTGACTTCACCAGGTGGTAATTCTCATGGATGTGTTTCTTTGGTTTGTTTTGACATAGTTCTGCAACCTGTTACCTTTAGAATTGAGCCACCAAAGACAACAATAGGTAATGGTTTTTCCATATTGACCAACTCTGTTTTTCTTTGCTACCGTCAAGTTTGCAGGTCATTCTCAAGTGATCATATTGAAATATCATCTCTTCTCAATACATTTCCTCATTTCATTCTCATTGTTATTATTCTTTCCAAAGTACAAAACTATGGTTTCACTACTGTAAAGGCTTTGCTCTGAGCACCACTTTAAGACAACCCATTACTGAATCAATCTTCATCTACCTCATCTACCCCCATGTTCACATCTATCCCGGGTTCACAATGAGTCCACCTTCCTCATCCCATCTAGTTAACAATTTCCGCTGGTATAATGGTTCTCAGCTGTGCTGTTACAACATACTAGCACAGGGCAAGTTTGCAAGATGCTACAAGTAATTATTATTAATATCGGTCAAATATGGCAGTGGCTTCTTTATAAAACTTGAGCAGACTCAAGAAGATTTTCCCAACAATGATGATATTCTCACTCACTTTGTAATCCTATCTGCTCTCTTGGGTGAGAAAGAGAGAGGGACAGAGCTACAGCTAACTGTCCAGGACTGATTCGAACCCACACCTCATCTTATCCTGGCATTCCCATGGATCATGTCAAGCAGAGAATACCATTTATTATGTGTCCTGCTGGAAAAACAGTTGATAACCATCATTCTAGTATTCCACATTCATTTCCCAGAAAGTTCTGTGCAACATTTAACTTTCTTCTTTCCTTTTCGTATTTCAAATGAAGGAATCTCATCTGGTGCTGGCTTTAAATCTAAAGCTTTACAACCTTGTTACTTTTGTTTTGCAGCTCCTTTGGAGACACGAGACATCCCTTTCATACCTATGATTTCCCCAAGTCCTAGTGAAGAGGAACTACAAACCACTCCGGGTAAATTTTGTTTTGATATTTCAGTTCAATGAAAGTCTACTTTTTAGGAATTTCCCTTAAAGTAGCCATAACATTATATTCATGGGTTGTTTCCAAATAATAAAAGATTATTTTTTATCATTATAAAAAAGATCACTGCTTCACTTGATACTTTTACATTAATTATATATTTGTTTAATAGTTATGCTGATTTTCAACATAAAATTAGAATGTTTTAATGCACCTTGACAAAATTTAAAATACTCTAAAAAGATAGCATTGACAACAATCAATACTGTTCATTTTTGTTGCTTTTTTTGTATTTTAAACTGTACTTAAAAAGAAAAATCAGTCATCTAGTATTTATTGAGCTTTTCCTGGGTGCCAATAAGTACAAAGCTAAGTGATGTGAGTTCCAGTAAAAAAAAGAAAACTATTTTAAAGGTCACGGTCTGCTTACCCCAGGGAGCTCATCCTCTAGCGTGAAGATGGGATTTAGTAGCAACACACTGCTTCTGTGCTGCCCACTCAGTGTACTGCAAGTGTTTTTAATTTAAGTCACATAACAACTCTGTGAGGTAGGTTCCAGTACTTGCCCCATTTTACATATTGGAAAACCAAGGCATAGAAAGCTCTAACAATTTGACCATGGAGAAACAGCTAGTGTCAGAGCCAGGACTGGAATCCACACACCCAGGTGGCAGAGCATTAACCCTGATGTTTTGCTACACTACAAAGATTGTGGCAAAGAAACAAGCAGACTACCTGGGGGCATCAGGGACAGTTTCTCAAAGTAGGTGATGCTTCTACTGGGTCTTCAAGTTGGAATAAGAGTTGACCAGTCAAAGATGCAAATGGTCCTTTCAGGTTAAAGATAGATGGGAGAGAGGCGCAGGGCAGGACACCTGTGCTAACCTCGTGGGCTGCCCAGAAGAATGAGGGTGGAAAGTCGGGATGGCTGAGGGGGGTGAACTGGATGTGCCTTTAAGGAGTTCGGTACAAACCTGTTCACTATGTGGGGAAACTCCAGTTTTCTTGCCTCTGTCTGAAAATGAACCAGAAAGCAAAATCTCCAGGCTTGTGTAGGGTTGGCACCTCTGTCCTATCCATGCGGCACCTAAACATAGCTGGGTTTAAATCAGCGGACTTTTTTTTTTTTTTTTTTTTTTTTGAGACAGAGTCTCACTATGTCGCCCTTAGTAGAGTGCCATGGCATCACAGCTCACAGCAACCTCAAACTCCTGGGCTTAGGCAACTCTCTTGCCTCAGCCTCCAAGTAGCTGGGATTACAGGCACCCACAACACCTGGCTTTTTTTTTTTTTGTAGTTGTCAGTGTTTAGCAGGCCTGAGTTGAGTTCAAACCCACCAGCCCCAGTGTATGTGGCCAGCACCCTACCCACTGAGAACAGGCACCAAGCCCAGTGGCCTTATTTTCTTTATCCCTTTTCAAATAAGTCTATCCTTTGTGAGTGTCTGGTGAAAATAATTTACTGATCATATTTTAAAAGGAAATACTTCGTGAAGAAAAAATTAAAATTGAATGAGCAAATATACCCTAATTACCAAATATTCATCCATTCCAGCCTAGGGCTGCAGAGTCAATGTCACCCAGGATGGGAAAGTAAAAAGTATCTTTTAAAAATCAGTACTGAATATGCTCATTGTTTAACTTCCACTCACTATGTATTTGTCGTGTCTTGGCTTATTGAAGCAAGAACCCCTATCTGCCAATTATCTTAAGTATCTTCCTTCTAAGCAGAATTAAGAGAATAAAGCAAAGCAGAGAAAAAGATGGCAGTGTGTTATTTACAAGTATTTCCTTGGATCCAGTATGTGGCAAAGTGAACCATACAATTTTCTCTGCCTGTACAATGTAATGATTTCAAGATAAGAAGGGGGTGGAAGTGTTCCATATGTAATTTTCTTATTTTGTTAGGAGGAACCTGTCCACATGTCAATGAATGTACACTTTGATTTTCACAGGAGGAGAATAGAAGAATATTTGTTTGTATGTGGTGTGAACATGTATCTTTGCCTATGGTATATTTACTTTTCAGATCATCTAAGTAACTTGTGGAAATTATGAAGTAGGGAGGACACATAATGGAAACAAATCCCTTAAGACAGGAGACTTTCATACATTAGCCACATCCGAGAAGAGCCACAACCAGCATCATGAGATGATGATGATCCTGAGCTAAAAGCTCTTGGAAATCCTGATAATAATTGTTAAAATAATAGCACAAGACAGTAAATTTAACAAATGAGCCTTATTAAAATGCATTGCTAAATTTGAGTTGCTATGATTACTAGGCATATTTTTAAATACAATTTATCCTTTTACCATTGCATGGGTCAGAAAAGAGCATGGGATGTTTTGGTCATGGTCATGATGATAATTATTTATGACAAGCTATCCTACTGTGTTTTTCTACAGAAGAAACAGACGTATCTACCCACGAACTCTTCACAACTCGGATTCCGTACACAACTGAATTGGCAAAGACAACTCGGGGTAATATGAATTCCCTACCTCTATATAGTAACTTTTCCTTATTTACTTTTAATCAAGAAAAAAGATTCTTTTCAGCATTTCTCATCACAGTGAATTGATTTTTCTTGTTTCATAGATGAGGGACATCAGCTGACCACAAATCTGAATGCTCACTTTAGTTGCAGGTGGGGGAGACGAGGTCTTTACTCAGAGATTTGCCCTGGAATCTATTGTTGACTGCTGGAAGCTAATAACTAAGAAGGAAAGCTCTCATTTGTTCCCCTTTGTGTGACCTCCGTTTGCCTCATTTTCCACATCTGATTAAGAACCTTTATTATCTTCCCCCTCTCTTTTTCTCTTTTTTCCCATCTCCCCCACTTGATAAAACACTGATATTATATATTGTGGGCTGAGAAATCTGTTAACAAGACAAATCATTTTTAAAATGATGATAGTATTAAAACATGAACGGAGGTGTTCTTGTGATTTTCTACTTTTATTTCATCTCTGAATTTCCCTACTTTTATTTTTTCTTCTCTACTATTTCCGACTTGGGGGAAAGTGCACTCATCTACGCATAGCTCTGTCTCTTCTTCATCTCCTCTCAGAAGTCTTTTTCTTTTTTAGTTTTAACCAGTTGTGGATTTCCAATATTTTAGTGGGGTTTTTGAATGACTCTTTGCCCACCTGTACCTCCCTCAGACCGTAGGACTCTAAAAATAAGACAAAAAATAAAAGCAAATCTCTAGGGAAGACGTTTGAAATAATAACAGGAAATGATAACAAAAGAAATCAAATTTTAAGATACATATTTTGTCAATAGAATCATATTAATTCTATAGGAACACAACTAAGAAAGATTGGATGGTGTTGGACAGTCCCTTTAAATATGAATTTATGTGGTTTAATTTTTATTAAATTAATAAATTAATTTTTAATTTTTTGTTTTAGAATTTTAATTATTTTATTCAATTTTCATTTATTTATGAAAACACACAGAAGTTAGAGGCATGATATAATGACAGCCCTCCCACATCCCCCTTACCAGCTTCAACAATCAATAGCAGATGATCAGTTGTGTTACATCCATATCCCACCCCGGCTTTTGTCTATTTATTATTTTGTCTTTTTGTGGATCTCTTTAATATCTGCATTTGTAGGAGACAGCTGGATTCTCATCATCAAACACAGTGTTTTTACAGCAAAATATATAAATGTTTACATTAAGCAAGATAAATAGAGACTCTTATCCACCTGAGGGTGTTTCTAAATGAAAAAAAGATTCAACTTTTTAAAGCTAGTTGATAGATTTCAGAATTGAGGATAAAAGATCAGAGACCAGCCATTTCTGTGTTTTGCTGTTTCTTACTTTAATGGAAACGTCAATATTCTAGTGTATGTGGCATTTTTATTAAATTCCTTCTGGAACGCTTTATTAGACATAAATTTCAGTTAATTGTGTATATATGCAGGATATTTTATTATCATATGTATGTAGTGTGGATTACCGTAACCTATTTGTGTATTTTAATTATTTTCTTATATTCTTAACTTTTATGTTTAAAATTGAAACCCTAGAGCAGTTTTTTTCAAGGCCATGTGTTTTTGGTTGGTGATGAGTAATTCACAACCTAAAATTAAATTATACTTCAGCTCTTTAATAAGATGTCCTATTCAGATTTAAGTAAATACCAGGGGAAAACTCAAATAAAAACTCTGATCCTGGGGCTGATAATCATAATGAAAGTAATGCTGACCATTTCTGGGCTGTAATGTTAGTCTCTTTCTTGTCCAAAATTTTAAGATTCATGTATATTCTAGAATGAGATAAGAACCATTATTCCTGTATTTTTTTAAGCAAAAGCAATCTAATATTCAAAAAGATTTATATAAAATTAAAATAGGTTAAATTGACCGGGAATCTTACCACTCTCAATGAAAATCGAAGAAAAATATTTGCAGATGATCATGAGGCATGTTAGGGTGTATGGGAATCAATTTTTACAGCCACAGTACCTCTGTTCACTCTGCTTATGATACTTAGGAAGGGCCCCACTAAACCTATAATGCCAGGACACACCTGCTGTTGGCCTGCAGCACAGGCTGCTCCTGCTCATCAGTCTTTACACAGGAAATTTATAAATGAGGAGCTACATCGTAACCTATTTCACAGGCATTTTTTTTAACTTGGTGAGCAAGGCATTGCTGATCTACGGTTATATAAATACCACTCAATATGTGAACAAAATCATCAAAACAAGGTAATCTACTTACATTGTTTGCAAGACAAAGTTTTCCAGTATTAGCTAAGGAAGCATTACCAAGAAAGTTGGTGGCCAGAGGCAGTGTCGGGTATGGGAGCAGGGGAGAAGGAGAACAGGGGTGGGGAGAACAAATTCCATGATGAGTGCACATTTTAGAACCTTAGGAAGCAAAAAAATTTCAGCAGGTTTTCACAAAATTGCTTGCATATAACAATCACCCACTTATTCCTCTCACTCAGCAAGACTTCATTAGGAAAAAGCAACAAGGTGGCCCCAGGGCTTATCTGAGTACTTTCTCCTTGCTTGCCCTTTCTTGATGGACATGGAGCACAGTGTCATTTTTTTTCTCATTTCTACTGCGTTATGGATGGCACATTTATTCATTTCAGGGTTCATGAGCGAAGACAATTTGATAAAGACCACGTAGTTCTACTCTTTTCTTCTTACCTACCTTAACATTTATTTCTTTTTACCTTTAATATTTTTTACCTTTAATATTTTTACCTTTAATATTTCTTCTCTTCTTTGGCAAAATAACGTGCCAGAGTGACTCTTTATTGAGAGACATGGATGGGTAGATGGATGGATAGACAGATGGGTGGACTGGCAGATGGATGAATGGCCTCTGTGTTTATAAGGTTAAGCAACCACGTGGTAAGGGGCATGCTCCTGCAAAACGTGGACTACATGATGACAATCCTTTTTTTTTTTTTCATGTATGATTTTATTCATGATGACAATCCTTAACACGCATTGCAAATGACCTATCTCACTTGGACTATGTGCAGCTTTAATTTTCAGTCTTGAATATTTCCACTTGTTTTATTGTCCTTTAGCATGAGTCTTTAATGCATAATTGGGAATTCAGAATATTATTTCTACTTCCATGCAGAGTGTACAAGTTGTTGATACCTAGGGTGCTAGGTCTCCATTCAGTGGACTTTACAGTGTTGATTATTATTAAATGTGAAGTGTTTCCTCCGTTTCAGCACCGCTCAGATTGTACACTACTCCTGTGAGGCCCAGAACACCAGAAAAACCACACGTCAGACCTGGTAAGTTGTTTCCCATTCTCTGATGGCCTAAATAATCTGCAGGTTGGGAAAGATACGAATGAATTGAAACAACCAAATACACCAAAGGAAGGAGGAGGTATATTACCTTGCAATAAAGGGCATGAGAAATTCTTATTCTTAAAGATAAGTGGAGGGATACTGCTGAATCCATGGCAGTGACAAGTCTTGACTCAAGTTTTTAAGGATGATCAGAATCAGAGACCATTATGAAACTTAATCAATATAAAAGTATGTTTAAAATAATGTTTGTGTCTAAATCACACATGTCCCTTTAATTTTCCATGGCGCTAACAGAGAGAGTATAAACTAACCTATCATTTGATACTACTTGCTTTCAAATGTTATTTCTCTTTTAAGAAAAGATGGTCCATCTCAATATAAAATGACTCTTGGAAAATATTTTTATTGATTTCTCTAAAGGATAAAATAATTTTCACAGCTTCTAAACAGCAAAAATAAAGTTATAATTATATATTGGGAAATAATAGAAATTGACTAAATTCTCCTAAGGTTCTGGGATCTCCCTTCCTGCAGCTCATTTAGGAAAATAATAAACTTGGAAGGATTGATTTGACTTATAGAAATCATTACTATGCTAAGGCCCAATTTGCATCAGACTCTTGTGTTTTTTGTCCTGTCCTTCATTGTGTCTTCTTAACGTTCTACATGATGAAACACATTTAGAAGTGGATGTTCTTGGTGACTGTATCTACAGGCACATGAAAGAAAGAACAAATGATTTTTTAAAATTCTTTGCTTCATGGAGAGCCCATGTATTTTGCTATAATTCTCTGATTTCTAAAGGTAGTTAGGCACAGAAATCTTTTCAAAATAAGTGTATCTCCATGTTTCTTTTTGTATGGCTGGCTACAGTAAACATTTCTACAAAATACTGAAACAGTAACAGCTACCAAGGACTGTTTGCCAACTGGGGTGTAGCTGAGGAAACTGAGGTGCTGGGAGCAAGCGGGGAGGGATTCAGAGGCGCACAGTGTGACTGTTGTTTGCTCATTAGGAACACATGCGTAGAGCTCCTCTTTGAAGAGTCTTCTGAAAGGAAAATAAGTGACCTTTTAAATTTAGTCTGGGTGATGCTGTAGCTTTCTACAGAGCACAAGAGAAACTTAAATGCTTTCATCAAGTTCTGTATTTGACAATGGCCTTAGGCAAGGACTAGTATGATGAAACATCTGTCCTAGAGAGTCTTACAAAAGGACTGCCAATTTATGAGTTATGAACTAAGGCCTCAACAAATACATATGATTCGGGTTTTGGTTTTTCTTTAGACATGTGTTAGTCCCAGTCTTTCCTCTGTTGCACTATGGAATGTATCGAATGCTCACATATAAATGAAGCAAGGGATTTGCCCTTTAGAAGTTCCCTTGTCAGTTATTTTTTCAAGTCAAGTTTTGAAGCTCAGTGGTCACCTCAGAGTACAAATTCAGGTCTCTCTTTCCAAATTCAGGTTTATGATTTTTATACCAGAACGTGGTTTATATTTTCTGAATAATATTTTTTGGTAAGCAACCAGTTTTGCTTTGCAGTTAAAATGACTTTTAATTCTCTAGGAAGTTTTGTTTTCCATGACTGAAAATGTTTAATAAGAAAATGTGTGAAATATTTATTTCTCACTTCATTGTAGTTCTGAATAGGACAACTACAAGACCCAGTCGACCCAAACCCAGTGGGATGCCCAGTGGGAATGGAGTGAAAACAGGTAATGATCACAAATGTATTCCCTTTTGATCTTGTCAAAACTACAAGTGTGATTATTCAATATGTATAACTTTGTTGAATTCACATTTCAATTTCCTTTTTACCACTGTTGTAAACTCTTAGTAAAACTGCAATTGAAAAATATAACTTATTCCAAAATCAAAACTTCAAATATCTCTGAAAATAAATGTAGTCTATTAAATTAGTTACTATATGCAATCCTGCTTTAAAAAAAAATCCTGACTGGTACACAACTATGGTTTAATAAAAATAAATCCTCATTAAATATGAAGTGTGGAATGAAAATAATAAAAATAGCTGTTTTCCCTGCTTCAAAATGCTTTTCACATACAAACTGGTCTTTGAGCTGTAATTACTTGGTTGAACTTTATAATTTCACAAGTACTATTATAATTTTTTTAAGACCTGGATCTATTAGCAATCTGTAATATGAAATTCAAACAAAAAGAAGCAGATTTAACCACAGCAATTAACAATTTTCTACACTGCTTACAGTCATATTAAAGTTTTCAAAGCACTCAGCTTAAATAAATGGCATAGTCCTAATCCAGTCAGATCGATGGGAGTAGATATCATTCTAGAAAAAGTAGGCCTGCTGATCTGATAAAAGCTCAAACACTGAATTTACTCCATGGTTAGCTAAACAGTAGTTATTAGATGACTTAACAAAGAATTGTATCATGCCTTAAAATATTTTTAATAAAGCCCAGGGCTGTGGTTCATGCCTAATCCCAGCACTCTTGGAGGCCAACGTGAGTGGATTGCCTGAGCTCAGGAGTTCAAGACCAGCCTGAGCAAGAGCAAGCCCAAGATTTCAAGGTTGCTGTGAGCTATGACACCCTAGTACTCTACCAAGGGTGACAAACTGAAACTTTGTCTCAAAAATCATAATAATAATAGTATAAATTTTGTGCTTACAGAACGTGTTAAGAAGATGAAAAATAAACTTTATTTAGTGCATATACATTTAGTCAACCCACGATGATTCTCTAAGGAGAAAGAGATGTGAATAATACCTAAACTTATATAGTATAGATTTGCTTTAGAACATGTTTTTTTGTACTGGTCTCTGAAATTCTAAGAATTCTCTTCACACTAAATAATGAGGCCAATGCTATAAATTCCTGTCTCATGAAAAGTGAGGACACATTCCAGTATCTCAGAAGCTCCTTTTATTCATCCCAACTGTGAGATTAGGCATAATTTCTCTGATTGACATTAGCAATCTGGCTGTTAACAAAGCCACTTTCTCTCAGTTCCTTTTGGGAAGAAGGCAGGTACAAATTGCTTAATATTCAAATAATGCTTAAAAGTTGCAAATACATAAAAATAAAGGCAAGTATTTATCAGTGAACAAAGCAAATGAAAGAATGAGTAAAGAAGCTATGTAGCCTTTAACCTTCAGACATTCTTACTAGGAGCATACTGTCTTTTAGAGGGGGAATAAAGGATTGTTACATTTTAGCTTATCAACAATATAAACATTTTTCCTAAAACCTCTAGCATCACAAATGTATCTCTGTTACCTCTGTATACATAAAGTCAACTTACAATGATAACTTACCCAACTTAACTTTGGAAGAATACAATCTCGTATCAGAGCTTCTTTAGTTGACTGCTGATAGAAATTGGGCTAGTGGACATAAGCAGGAAAAACTGAACACTGTCCCCCTTGCCTTACTCTACCTCCCTCCCCAGGCAGACTTTGTTACACCTGGTCTGTATTCCATTGTCTATCTATCACAGTCTTCTGTCAAGGCAGGACTTGCTGCCCACTTGTAGGGAGTGTGGTCAGCAGACAGAATTCCATTGTCTTCTCCATCAGGGTAAGCCTCAGCTGAGGAAGCTTTGAATGGAGATCTGAGTGGTACATCTCCATGTTTAATAGTATATAATGACCAAATGCAATTTACCCCAAGAATGCAAGGTTGGCTTAACATTCAAGGATATTAGTGCAATTCCCCACATTAATAGAATAAAGGACAAAAATCTCATGATCATCTGTTGTTGTTTGCCCCCATGGACATCCTTGGACTCTGGCTAGAACTGAGGAGGTTGGTGTGATAAAGACTCTCACAGTCAGAGAGGTGTGTACTCTAACTAGCGTCAAGATGCACTGGAAGAATGCCACCCTGACCCAAGTTTCTACCAGGCTTTTTCTTGTGTTTGGTCAATCGTTTCAAATATAGCATTAGCTGACTCATTACGATAATGTAGGAGCAAGGAAATTATGTCCCCACACATGACATATGGGTGATCTTGCATAAGACCCAAGGTGAATAGTGTATAATGGGTGGACAAAGGGTCTGAGTTAGAATTAACTTTTAAAGAGAGACATATTATAAGAAGGAGGAGATGTCACCTTTTAATCTCTACAGCTTATTTTTCCCTTCCAGCCCAAGCAGCTGCTTCCTAATCTAATCTTTTAACTTGTTCAAAACTGGTTGAGCATTCTATTCTCATGACTGTATTCAGCTTTCAAGATAAGTTTGGAGGCTCTTGCCGCTTGAACCCCTTACACTTTTCTGCTTTTTTTCATTTATAATTTTTCTAACCTGTTCCCACAATCATCTGAGTAGATGGCAAAAATAACCATTACACAAAATTTTAAATTCATTCACAATGAAAATTCTCAGTAAATTAGGAATAGAAGGAAGTTCCCTCAATCTGATAAATGGCATCTGTGAAAAGCCCACAACTAACATACTTAAAAGTGAAAGAATGAATTCTTTACTCCTAACATCAAGAATACAGGAAGGATTCCTACTTTCACAACTTCCATTGAATATAATAGTGGATGCTTAACTAATGCGATAGTAAGGAAATGCAGTAAATGACATAAAAATCAGAAATTACAGATAACATGATCATGAATGTAACATATTATACAGAAAAATTTAGCAGCTGTCAAATATTTGTCTAGAAATTGATGAGAAAAAATGTTTTAAAACCTATTCTCACCAATTTTTAAAAATAGACTTACCAGAGTTACCCTTCCTTTGATTCTACATAGTTTTGACCTGGCTTGTTTACAGATATGTATCTGTTCACATAAATACATAAGTTTATTTTCTTCAGATGCAATTTTACATTCCCTTCCAGCCTGAAGTGAGTCTCAATGAGAGACTGTAGTACCTGATTCCATATTCGACTTTGATGTCTTACACAGAATACTTATCTTTATTTTCTATCCCACATACCTTTTTCTGTACTTTTTGCTGTTGTTTGTTTGCTGAAGTTTCCAACTCAAGATGTTTTACATTTTAAAAAAAATAGTCGATAAAGAAAGTGTGTAGGGTGGATGGGACATATTCTTCATGGCCTTAGGCCCCCTAAAGTTGTGCCCTCAGAAAACTAAAAACATTATTAGGCCTGAAGACTATAGAACTTTGACTATTGGGATCTCTGTAAAAATCATTCAGTAATTCCATAAACCTCTCGAATCTCCTGAAAACCTCTCGAATCTCCTGAGCTCAGTGTTTTACTTATTTTATAACACCAGCACAGATATTTTTCCTGATGTATGTATATTTCACGCCTATATTTATAAATAGATATTTTTCTCCTCAAGGTTAGAAAGTACTCTGCAGAGACTGAGATTTTAGGTGGGCCATTTTTTTAGGAGTTTACATTTTTAAGGTTTTCAGAGAAACATCCCTGTTGGCTAATGTGTTCTACGTATTAGAATCTCCTTGAGACCTGCCTACAGACATCCTTGTTGTACGTGCCCTAGATCAGAGTATTGGGTAAATGACAACCCCAGGGGCCAAATCTGGCTTGCTGCCTTTTTTTGTAGCTAAAGTTTTGTTGGAATACAGCTTGCTTTCATGGTACAATGGCAGTGTCAAATAGTTGAGACAGAGACCATATAGCACATGAAGCTAAAAATATTTTCTGTGCTGGACAATCTCTCTGACATTCTCTCTGAAGAAGGAAGCTGTTGAGCTGTGCAGCTATTCTTTGATTCAAACAACATTTATTGAAAGCCCATTATATGCCAGGCAAAGAATAATTCTGAAACCGCCTTGGCACATGTGGGGCTGAGGAATGTGTTTTTCTGGGCTGTGACTAAAGCTCCCTGTCTGCTGGCTCATTTTTAGTCAGGTGCTAAGATTTGGGGACAAGGAGACCAATAATCCATAAACATCACCCTTTTTGGTCACAAGAAATAGAGTTGCTGGTTCATTTAAAAATTGATTCCCAGCTTTTACTGTGTGTGTTTGCAAAGTTTTTGTTACCATGGTTAAAAGTATCCAAACTATTACTTCATTTTGGATAACAAACTGCTAACGGGTGAACTGTATTAATCCAGAGATTCTTAGAAAACTCCCACAGGGCAGTTGGACACTCACACTGGAGGTCACCTCTGGGTGCTTACAGAGCTGAGTCTGCCCTTCAGAGGAAATGTTTGTTAATCCTGACGGAGAGCAAAAGAATTCTGGTTATAGCCAGGGCCCAACTCTTAGACGGGGTGCCAATTCCTGAGGATTCCTTCTCTGCAGTATCCCTCTTCCTGGTTTCCTACTCTCTCTTCCCATCACCTCTCTGCTACCTTTGGCCTTCATTTGCTCTCCTCTGACTCAGGGCCTGAACTGTAGCTAGGTGTGGGAGAGGCAAGGCCAGACAGAGCTAGAGCCCAGTCTCCGGTCCCCAGGTCTTTCCACTGAGCCCCTGGCTGCCTTTGGCAGGGCTCTTCCCAACACTTTTCTATGCCACTGGTTTCTATCCATTTCTAAAGACTGGAAAAAGTCCAGTTTAGCAGTTGGTTATTGATTTGGGTACTTACGTCTAAGGATCCTAATAGTCATAATTTTCTGTTTCCTTCTATATAGAAAGTGACAGAAAATGGCTAGTTTCTTCCAGTTTTCCCCTTGATTAAAAAAGAGAGTCAAGGAAATGTATAGCCTTGGTATTATGCATAAAGTAACCCTAGAGAATTTCAGGTTCTCTCCAGGGGTCCTAGATCTCTAATTCACCAGCCCCTTCAGGCACTTGCCCTGTGGCCTGGTGGATCTGCCTGTGCCTGGTTGGGACTGCTGTCAGCCTGGGCTATTCCTGGGTCACACACACTGGTGGCACAGCTGGATGCCATGTGCTTGGCAGCCACAGCCATGTAGGTCTCACATGGTGGGGCAGCTCAGCCCACCCAAGAAACAGTGTAGAGGGCTCTAGGGCTGTAGTCACTTAGTCATGAATAATGGAAGGAGGAATACAATGAGGAGACAGTAAGTTCTCTGTGCTATGCAAAATAGGCTTTGGGGCCAAGTAAATCTCCACACGGAATCCCAGTGGCTGTGAGACTTCAGGCAAATTGCTGAATTTCCCCTTGCTTTGGGCTTCCTCATCTGTGGAACACAGATAGTATCTCCTACACAGAAGGGTGGTAAGAGTCAAATCAGGTAATATGTGAAGTGTTTGCACAGTATGGAATCAAAATACTTTATTTCTCAAAGGGTAGAAAGATTTGGAGAAAGCATTAGCTGAAGGCAAACACAGCCTGTTAGGCTTACAGAGTATATCCTTTTTTTTTTTTAATTTTCATATAGCGATAAATCAAACCTCACCAAGCTGAGTGATCCCCGTGACACAAACAGAAGTAGTTTTCTTCACTATGCCATTCTCAGAATAACCATGCAAATGAGCCATTTCCCGGCACCATCACCCCTGACAGTGGGACGCAGGAAGAAGACTAATGAGCCATCTGTGCCATGCCTGTGGGATCAGCCACAAAATAGTCACTGTCCTGAAAAGCACTTCTTTTCCTACCACAAATAAGTATGATTATTTAACTCATGATTAAATTCACAATTCTCCATGTTCCTAGACTAAAATTGGGTTATAGCTTTCCTATGAAAGCTATAAATTAGTTTCATAGTAGGGCTGAGTACATTGGATACTTTTTCTTCCATCTTGGGATACTTTGCTAAGAAGAATATTTTCCAGCTCCATCCATATAAACAAGAAGGAGGTAAAGTCTCCATCTTTCTTAATGGCTGCATAGTATTCCATGGTGTACATATACCACAGTTTATTGATCCATTCGTGGATGGATGGGCTCTTGGGTTTCTTCCATGACCTAGCAATTATGAATTGGGCTACAGTGAACATTCTGATACAGATATCTTTATTGTAGTGTGATTTTTGGTCTTCGGGATATATACCTAATAGAAGAATTATAGGATCAAAGAGGAGGGGAGGATGGGTGGAGGGAAGGTGATTGGTGGGACCACGCTTACGGTTCATCCTATAAGGGTACATGTGAATCTCTCTAAATGTAGAATATAAATGTCTTAACACAATCACTAAGAAAAAGACATGAAGGCTATGTTAATCAGTTGGATGAAAGTACTCCAAATCGTATACAGAAACAGTACACTGTACCCCATGATAGTATTAATGTGTACTGTTATGATTTAATTAAAAAATATATAAATAAATAAATAAATTCACAATTCCATATAAACATTCTCCATGATTTTCTATCTTATCTCTTATTCAAGCAACAGAGGGTGTGGGATTGCAATATAAGGTTCATCCCCTGAGTTTCATAAATTAATGTGAAAATATCATCTAATTTTTGGCAAGCAAAGCTTCTGTTGTATGTTCAGTCAATATACCTGCCCACACATGAAATGAGGTTGAGTATGTAATGTCCCTACCCAGGCCCTGGACCACAGTGTGCCCTCAAAACAGGATTGTTGTCATGTGGTTGTCATTGTTAATGTACAAACTAGTATATTTGATAAATGTTTAATTATTTTTAATATGTACATTGTAGTCAGGTCCTCTAATTAGTATGGATGCTTTTGTAGGACAAGCCATTATACCTAAAGGTTATTTTTACTATTTATATTTTCTAAATGTCTGTCAGCCATATCAGGAAAGATTTTTTTATAAAAGAATAATTTTGTAAAAATAGCATGAAACCCAGTTGGTTCCCTTTATCCTAGGATAGCTACCCAAAATCTAAGCGCTGGGTATTTAGGTAAATGGCTGAGTAATAACTACCAGATTGTTTGAGGGATTTAGGAGACAAAATGCCACATGAAGTGATTTTCAGATCAGTTTCTTTCAAACAATAATTTGGAGTGCTAGGCCTGCCAGGGTGAATTTACGGACCCCAAAGTTAAAGGTCATTAGTGGCTTCCCCAGCCTAATAGTCACTGCCTCCCCAGGAATATTTTTTCAAGTCAATTCAGTAAGTACAAACCCAACACAATGGAATTCTAAAGCTTCTTTTTATTTGTTTTAAATGAGAATGGAGGAGTTGGGGGAACTTTTTTAAACCATAAAATTTACCCATCAGTGTTGTCAAGAGGTAGCCAACAACACAAATGAAATTCTGCTTGCTAAGGCAGTGCTGCCCAGGAAGGCAATGCATAACGATTGTGGAGTGTTGCAGAAAACTGAGACGAAACCACAATGCACAATCAAATGATAATTCTACAGAGAAAATATCACCCCAGTGAATGTAGGGGTTTAATTTCTTTAATAGCCAGATAGTAGAAGCCAATTAAGGTGTCTGGACATAAGAACACCAGTGCCCTTGCTCTGTAAAGAATGTACATTATGGCTGGGTATGGTGGCTCATGCCTGTAATCCTAGCACTCTGGGAAGCCAAGGCAGGTGGATCACTTGAGTTCACGAGTTTGAGACCAGCCTAAGCAAGAGGGAGATCCAAACTCTACTAAAAATGAAAAAACTTGAGGCAAGTGGATCGCTTGAGCCCAAGAGTTTGAGGTTGCTGTGAGCAATGAGGCCATAGCACTCACTCTACGAAGGGCAACAGAGTAAGACTCTGTTTCGAAAAAATAAAAGAATGCACATTACTACTGATAACTCTACCCCATCTCCACAAAGAACAACATTTAGTGTATTTTTGCTGTGTATTTATTCCCTCTCATTATTTTTGCTCACAGGGATCAAACAAGTGCCTCAGCCAACAGGTCCTGATGGCGATATGTCAGTGGACTCTAGCCACACCACAAGAAGACCAGGTAAGGAACAAGATGCTGGCTCCCTTGTGGTAACTCAGCTCTGCAATTTGGGTGGTAACTGCGGTACCATTTGTTATAACAAAAATAGCAATATCCATGCAGCCTCCTAAGGGTCGGGGCCGTGATGCAGGAGTATAGCTAGAAAGACATTTGAAATCTTTAGGGCAATGGAAAGATCCCCAGGTAGAAATTAAGTAAGAACATCTAATGGGATACTAACTTAATAATTTGTTTTAAGGGATTATAATGGATAAATTCCATAGAATCACTACAGGTTCTAGTTTTTAATCATGTTTTTACTCTTGTATTTACTCATGTATTTTACTCTTCTATGATTCATTGCAATATCCTTTTGCCTAAAATTATTTACTTTGCTGATTTAAGGGTATGCTCATGCAATAGGTCAAAAGTGTGAAGCTGTTGATTCAGAAACCTTTGCATTGAATAAGGCCTCTGCTTCATAAAAGGATACCATGAGACCTACCCTGATATATTAATGTCCCAAATGCCACTACTTCCCAAAACACACACACACTTTGTCATTTCTCTTTTTCTCTTTCTAGTATTATAGAAAGTACTTTTTGTGATGGGGTATTTTCCTAGATTAATAATTTTATGTGAAGATTTTAAAACCAGCATATATTAGGCAAAGAAAGAGAGAAATGTTGAAGCTATAATGCAAGACCAAAAAAATGGGGGTTAAGGTGGACTGCTCCAAGTACCTCTACCTTGCCAATTTTTGTGCAAAATAGACAACTTTGTGCAAATTATAAAAAGGTGCCTCTTGATCCCACCCTTTAAGTGGGATATATAATGGATAAATTCTGCTGAATCGCCAATTAGGAAAACATGTCCCCCATCAGGGCTGGTGCTGGAGCTCAAGAGTAAGCAAGCAGAATGGATACTAAACCTTGGTGCCCACTCGTACCTCCCTGGCCAAGTGCAGTGAACAACCAGAGCAAGTGCTCATATCAACCCTATGGTCCACAAACACCAGTTGGTTGTTTCTCTGTCGGGGTTGCTTTGATGTAATCATTTGAGAAGTTCTAAAGCTCTTTGTTTAATTATAATTATATAATCAATTATGTAGGGGATGGGATGGAACACCCACAAAAGGCAAAATTATCAACTTTAACAATTTTAACAATTGGAGTTAAAATGGTGTGTCAACTTAAAATAATTAAAAGAGTCAGAATCTAGTTTAGAAGGAGTTTATTCGAGCTCAAAGTTTGAGGAAGAGCTGCCAAAGAGCATGGATTCCAAAGAATGGAAGTCCAGGTTTCAAAATGTAGACGTTCGGAGCCACTCACATATACAGAGCTTTCAGGAAAATTTAACAGAATTTCAACATCTTGCTACTCAAGGCTTAATGTATAGTTACAACTATGCCTTAGTTGAGGTAGTCTTTTTCTTCAGGGAAAGGTATATTTAGTATTCCATTGAAGAGTAACTGTCATGAAGTCTTGGGCACTATCTAGACTGAGTTAGGCACAGCACACTATTGAGAGGACTTAATCTATAACAAAGATCAGGGATTTGACCAGACTGGATGGGGGAGGGGGTCTGTTTTCTGGTTTCTTCTAGTCATTTATAGAAAAAGAACAACGAGAAAGGGAGTTTATAATCTAAGAAGCAGAATTGCAAACATGCTATGTGACTCGGTCTCCATGGATTAATTTCTTCCTTGGTATAACAAATTTAGAGGTCCTAAAATTTTATTTTCTTTAACAGATACAAGAAATTGCAGTCTCAAAATCAAAGGCAATTGGGGATAATGAAGTTCAGAAATGCTACTTTTAAATATATTTTAAAAATCAAAAGATGTTAAATCTACATATCTATAGAGCCTTTCAAAAGGCAGATGTGCCTCTGTGCATGTGTTCTTCCAGATCTGTGGGTTCCAGGAGTCCCTTCAGATTCCAAACTCTGAGGATGCTGGAGTGGCTTATGTCACCTGTGCACATCTTTCTGGATGCTTTAAATCGTCTCTAGATTACCTATATTATCTAATCCACCATAAATACAGTATAAATAGTTGTAATACTGTACATTGGGGGGTTTTATTTTTGGTTTTGTTTTTGGTATATCATCGTTTTTATTACTTTTTTCCCCTGAGTATTTTTCATCGACTGTTGGCTAAATCAATGGATAGAGAACCCACAGGATACAAAGGGTCAACTGTATCAACTGTATTTCCATCTATAATTAGAAGATACGTTTTTCCATATATTAATGTGCTTTGTTATCCTTGGGTACATGACTAACACCAATACAGGAATATCAATATATTGCTCATACGCACTTTCTTATAGAATCTACTCTCCATCATGCACTGCTACTTAGTAAACATTTTTTTAATTAATAAAAGCCCATGATTTTTGTGCAGTGAATCCTTATGATGGCTTTATCTGTAATATAATCTCTTATCCACAATTCTAGGCACACGCCGCCCACCCTGGCCACCCAGACCTACACCCCCACGAAGAAAACCTTTACCACCAAATAACGTCACTGGAAAGCCAGGAAGCGCGGGTATGTTCATTGTCCACCTTCCTTCTCCCTGTGTGGTTTGTCTTACTAGCCAGCCACAAGCCCTACTTGGTGTGCTAGTTCAGGCAGGGGACAAGCCGCTGGAGTGTGTGGCACGTACTTGTGTTGACCCAGAAGACCAGACACTGTAAATGACAACCTGGAGAACTCATCATAACCCGTCTTAGGAATGGGTGGGGTAAAAGAAACCGTCCCTCTGCATCTAGACCAGTTTGCTGCTTAGAAGTTTGTGTGCTTGGAATTTAGATTGAAGCTGACACGGGCCCATCAGCAAGTAGCTTATTTGGATGGGATGCTGTACGTGCCAAGTTCCTGGGGGCAATGGAAAATGTGACGCCCTGTCATCAACTATTATTCTGTCTCCTGAAATGAAATCCTATTCGTCTCACTGAAAGCTCCTCTATCCACCAACCTTCCTGCCCTCCCCAGTATTACAGTACTCAGGGGGAGATTTGGGACTAAAATATTCAGGGTGACTGAGCAGATCCAGCCTGTGCCGCCAGGCAGGGGCATGTCGGGGAGCAAGCTGCCTCCCACCTGCAGGCCTCATAACTGTTGTTTTCCCTCCAAGAACAACTCCTCCCAGGCCTGGGATAGATACACCCCATCGTTTCTTAAAGAAACCTTCCCTGACTCCCCAGGTAGTCTTACCACGGCTTCTCTGGTCTGCGTTTCCTTGATACACACCTGTCAGAGCACAGAGCGAAGCGTTTGAGGCCGGGTTGTTTGCAGACTTGTCTTCCCTACCGGACTGAGCTCTGTGATGACAGAGCCCTGGATATTTTTTCCTGAAATCCAGAACCCAATCCAGTGCTTAGCACATAGGGAATATCTAACAGATACTAAGTAAGTGAATAAATGGATAAAACTAAGAATCAGTGAAAATCAACCCAGGTCAAAGGAAAGCCAGCCCTCATTCATTTCTCTCGAGGTCCCTTCCCCCAGGACCTGCCAGCAAACTGCTGCCTGTTTTCCATCTGTCCTCCCTCTCCCCGAATCTCCCCTCCGATGTGCTTTGTAGATGGAACGAAGATAACAGTGTTAAAGGCAACTGTGAAGGATGAACAGATGAGGATTTACGTGAAAGGGAGCGGAGGGCAAGAGAAGGGTATTGTGAGGGAACTTTCGTGACATCTCGCATACATAGTGAATTCTCACTAGATGGTTTTCCCCATGGGCCGGAGGAGTAATCAGCCCCTCACCCATGCATCTGGTGCCTTTCTGAGTCAAGCCCAGTGAGACTGGCCGCCTCCTCATCAGTTGCAACCTGGCAGCTGTTATTTGAGCTCCAGTGGCGTCCAAGTCAGACTGGATGAGTCAGACTGAGGCCTGAGTGTGCCCATGGGAAACGGGGCCACTGCCCCAGAGTTGCCCCTAAGGCTGCCTGTCTGCAGCTGCAGTTTGACACCTTGGTCAGTGGGCAGCTTTGTCACAGCTGGGCCCTACCTGAAGAATGTAGGCACCATCCACTTCTGAGATAATATCTGGTTGTGGCTCCACCCCCACCCCTAACTCAAAGAAACCCACTGCGTTGAGGAGACAAAGGCAAACAAGGGCAGCTGTAGAGATCTGGGCGGATCAGCATCACGGACAGAGTCTCCTGAATTCCAGCTGCGTGTCTGGGAGTCCTCAAAGGCTCTCGCATATGCCTGGGCACATCTGCCTCTTGTCCCTATCTCCAGTCGTGCCAAGGCCTCCCATTCCGCTCTCCTTGCCAGGATGAAATGCTCTGCCCGTGTTCCCTACTCACCAGGTCAGCTCACACTGGCCACCAGCATTACACTGGCCACCAGGCCTGAAGTATGCATATTGCCCTACGCATCTTCCTCCTTCTCTGGCCATGTCCCACGCCCACCAGCGAACCTCCTGAGCAGCCCTGTGTCCATCCCTTCCACCAGGCCCCCTGCTCCTACCCTAGTTCACCTCCCTGTCCCTCCTTGCCCACAGTAAGCACCTGAGGCTTCTGACATCTCTCTCACCAGCCTAGTGCCCTAACCACCCATCTTGTCATCTTATCATGTTACTTCCCATTGAAAATATATCAGTGGGTCCTTATTGCCTAATAATAACATTCAAATCTGCAATATACAAGTTCTTTCATAATCTATCTTGTCCCTCACCCCTAGCTGTTTCCTGCTTCCCTGGCAGGGCCCTTGTTCCAACATCTCCTCTCCACTCCTGCTCACACTCCTCTTTACTGGCACACCCTCCCTGAAGGCACCCCTGCTACCCAACCGAACAGCCCCCCTATCTCTCCCCATGGACAGAACCACTCCCTTTTCTTGCCTCCTCTGTGACCTTACCTAGTTCTTTCACAGAAACCATAAGGCTTCAGTATACTTGGCTCATCTTATTTCTCTCCAAGCCTGGCCTCTAGGGCCATGCCACATGGTAAATGTTTGCTCAACATTCATCAGATAAATAAATGGGAGACTTGGCAGTGTTCCTTTAAAGCCTGACTATTTTGGCTCTACATTACAGGAATCATTTTATCAGGTCAAATCACTTCCCCACCCCTGAGGGCAACACTCAGACCTACTGGAGCCCCCTTGGACAAAATAGAGACGGAGATAAAGCAACCAACAGCCCCTGCCTCCGGAGAAGAACTGGGTTAGTATGATACACGGTTCTCACTGGATGCCTAGCTCTGATACACGGTTCTCACTGGATGCCTAGCTCTAAGGTATTAAAAGATTTCAAATGGGAGGGAAGAAATCAGTTCTGGGTCTTCTGTTTTACTCAGTTTTATGACTAACATGGGTTTTTTTAATTTTAAAATTACACTTCTTTTCAATACTTCCTTATAGAGTACACTCTTTACCTTAGCAGACATAGAAGAAAGTGTCCAAGTTTGGCTCCTAAAAAGATCTAGACTACCCAATGTGTACTACTAAATTACATGTTATTACTAGCTACACATATTTTAATTTATTAATGAGTATTCACCACTCGGTTGTAATGTTTAATTTATTATTTATTATATTCCAGAATACTTTGCAAAAAGTAAAAGTTAACATCTTTTATTATAGATAAACACATATAATAATAATAAAGGAAACCAAAGACAAAGGAAGACAAAGTTAAACGTCATTTATTATAGATAAACACATATAATAACAATAAACAAAATCAAAGCTGCAAGCAGTTTCCTAAGGGGAATATTGACTACCTTTACTCTTTACTAATTTTTCATTATATTGTGATGCTTTTTAAAATCTGTTGCCGAAATTACTTATTATCTTCTATTCTCAGGTAATACAACTGACTTTAGCTCAAGTCCAACAAGAGAAACTGATCCTCTTGGGAAGCCCAGATTCAAAGGTATTTATGATGGCTCCAAATCTCACTTTTTTTTGAGACAGAGTCTCACTATGTTACCCTCAATAGAGTGCTGTGGCATCACAGTGCACAGCAACCTCAAACTCTTGGGC